ATATATAAATACTATATAGGTTAGTTAGGGATTAGTAATAGATATAAGTACCTATAGAGTTAGGTCTATCTTAGATAGTTATAGTAATAAGATAAATAGTTTTGCATATAGCAATTATAAGTAGCACTTATACCTTTCTAATAGTATTATTAGGATAATAATTAATATATTTTCTTAGCACTAGGGTAAGCAGTAGACACTTAGTTATAGACTTTGCAAATAAGGTAGGTATAGAGTAAGGGATTTATAGGTATGTATAGGTAGTCTTTATATAGTAATAAGCTATAGTAAATCTAATACTCTTTTAGTAGGGCTTAACGTTCCTAGAGGAAACTATTATAGTTTACTTAAAGAATAGCTTTAACTATTTCTAGTAAGTTAAGTTCTATCTTCTTTTCTATAGAGGTAAAGGTTATTACTACTACTATTTCTAGGTATTACTTAGCTAAGTTAGAGTTAATGCTAGGGTGTAGTTAGTAGGGACCTAGCAACACTTAAGATTAATTATCTAGCTAGGCTACCTTAAAGTTACTTAAGTCTTATTTGCATTAGCTTAGGATATTAGCATATTTATTCTACTTGCTAGGCGTATACTTAATCTAGAAATTAAATAGGCTTAATACTTCTACCTAATAGGCTTAATATATATTAAGAACCTTAGTAATTATAAAATATTCTAATAATTAGTAGTTAGAGTATACTTAGACCTAACTTATAATTAATATTAATTTAGCTTACTATTTTTTAAAAGCTTAGAGGATAGTAAATAGTTCCTTGTTATAGATCTCCTAGTTAAGTTCTACTCCTACTAGGACATAGCTATAGAATATAATAGGATACTATTACTTATCTAGGTATTCTTAAGATAAGACACCTACAATAATGCTATTTAATATATTAGTCTTAATCCTTATAGAGTATATAGAGTTAAAGTAATATAAGGTTAGTATAGCTAGAAGACTCTATTTAAGAGACTTAAAACTAGTCTAATACGCCTCTATCTACTTAAACTTATTACTTAGGCTTTAGAGCGTAATTAAGGGTTTAGTAACTTAAGAAAACTTAGGCATAAATTGTTAATAGAAACTAGTAAAACTAAGGTATAACTTAACTCTAGTAATTGTTATAGGGGGCTTCTAATTATATAGGACTTGTACCTTCTTAGGGTCTACTTTAATACCTATATTAGTAAGAATGTAGCCTAGGTATTTAGTTTTAGTAATATAGAACTTACTTTTCTTAATATTAATTTAGAGACTAGTAGATCTAAGCTATTTAAGAATAAGCTTAACGTGCTTCTTATAAGTTACTTTATCCTTAAAGTAGATTAGAATATTATTAAGGTACGTAATATAGAAGTTGTCTAAATAATTAATAAGCACGTTATTTATATACTATTAGTAGGTAGCTAGACTATTATAAAGGCTAAATAGCAATACCTTACACTTATAGGTGCTATATTAGGTATAAAACATAGTATACTCTTTAGAGGTAGGATCTATTTAGATTTAATTAAATACTGCATAGATATTAAATTTGCTAAATATCTTAGCTTTTAATAGGTATACTAATAATTTATCTATATAAGGTATTAGATATAAGTTCTTATAGGTAAGGTTATTAAGCTTCTAGTAATCTATATAGATCTATAGACTACTATTTAGTTTATATATATATAAGACTAGGGAAGTAAAAGAGCTCTAACTATACTTAATCTACCCTTGCTTAAGTTATTCTTGCACAAACTTCTTTATAGCTTTAAGTTCTTTAAGGTTCTACTTATATAAAGGGGAGTATAAGTTTAGTAGGGGTTCTTCTAGTATAATCTTATAATTATATAGTTAGTAAGGTAGTAACATTTCTACCTCTAATTTGCTAAACACATTAGAGTACTAATAGTAATAAGTAGGTAGCTATTCCTATAGGAGCTAAGTATTATTAGGGTTATCTTAGTAGTTGTCTAGTAAGCGTTAGATTTTATATAAGTTAGTAATAAAGAATTTGTTCTAATTTTATTATATAGTAAAATAAAATACATTTGCTAATAAGGTAGCTATAGTAGTAACCTTAGGTAGAGGTATTTTAGAAGGAAGTTAGTATAAAGGGTTAGGTTTTAGTAATACTAAGGGTTATAAACAGAACTTTAGTAAGTAGATTATACCTTATAGATAATAAATATTTATTATAGGGCTCCTTGCTTATTAATACTCCTCTATATCCTATAGTTATTCTCTTTTCTTAATGTCTAATTATATATTAGGCAAAGTAATAAGTTAGTAGAGAGTTATTAGCAGGGGTAGAGCTAGGTTATATAAGTAGAGGTATTTAGTAGACTAAAGTAACTAGGAACGTTTTATATTAAGTTTAAGTTTAAAATAGCATAACTATTTTATCTTAATAATATAATCTTATAATCCTAGGTTAATAATAATAAAGGGGTAGTTATATATCTTTTATCTATTAATAATTATATAGAGTTAGATATAATAGGATATAGGGGACATAATCTAGTTCTAGAATCCCTTAACCTAAACTAAAAAAGGTAGCTTCTAAATAGGGGTTTAGAGGGCTATTAAAATAGAGTTTGCAATTAACAAATTTAGGAATAAGAAACCTTAGGCACTAGTGTTAATTAAGGAGTAGAATTATACACTATAACCCTTACAATATAGCATAGTTTCTAAAAGAAAATAAGGTCTACTAAATAAATAAGATAAGGAAAGATTTAAGAGGTTATATTAGTTTAGGCCTAAGTAGAGTAATTCTCTTAGGTAACTCTATTTCCTATAGGTGTTAGGTCCTTGTCTATATCTTCTTTAGCGTTTATAAACTCCTCTTATTTAACTTTAATTTTGCGTACCTAAGGTATTGTGCATTCTTTTGCAAAATATCTAGGTTTACTATAGTTATAGTAAGTACTAGGCGTTAGATCTCTTATAGGCATTAGTATACTTAGTGTTACTTATAGGTTTAGAGTGCTATACATAAATATAGTTAAATAAGATAGGTTAAGATAATCTTATTAGTATAATAGTATAGTAGGCTACTTTAGGTCTAATTAGGGTTAGAGCCTAAAGGGTAGGGGCTAGGCAATAGCTAGAGGTATTACTATTAGATTGTTCCTTTGTTCTATATTATAGGTAGTAAGGTATTCTACTATCTATAAGAAGGAGTTTACCTATTACTATTTAAAACCTAGGTTAGGTACTTAAAGGGCTAGAGTAAGTTTAGTCTATAGGTAATAAAACTACTCTAATTAGGGTACTTGTCTCTTAATAGCTAAGCTAAGGAAATAACTTTTAAAGGCTAGAAAAGTTTTATTCCTTTCTATTTAAAGTTTATTAAAAATTACTTAACTCTCTACCTATTTGTTTCTAGTAATAAAGTATATTTATAGAAGTAATATTATCTCTTCTATAGTATAGAAATAGTTGCTATTATTGTCTAATAAGTACTAAGGTTCTAGGTACTCTTTAGCTAACCTAGAGGTATAACCCTAAATAAGGGCTATATAAGCTTAGGTAGACTAATATTAATCTAAGTTAATCTCTAATTAATCTTATATTAACACTTACTATTACTAAAAGGTAGGGCTCTTCTTATTAGTAAGTACTTTAATATTAGGAGTCTTTTTACTTAGCTTTTCCTTAGCTATAAAGATAGTATTTACTTTAGAGGGTTGTCTAACCCCTTAAGGACTAGAAGTCTTAGTAGAGGGGTAGGGAAAGTTAGGGGGTAGGAGACTAGCACAAAGCTTAGCTAGTTCCTACTTAAGATAATAGATCTCTTGTACTAATGCTTATTATAAGTAATTAGACTTAGACCTGCTTTTATCTAAAGGTAGGGGTAGTCCTTAGCTTAATACAGAAGGTAGTTTATTAGACCTTCCTTTTCTAGATTTAGCTTAGGACTAGGTAGATAGTCCTATAGTTATGCCTAACATTATATTAGGTCTAATTTAGGTAGGTTATTAGTAGTCTCTATGTCTCTACTATAGCACTATCTAACGCAACTTTTCTAAAGTTATAATCTAAACCTAAAGGCTTTAGTTATTAAGAGGTCTCTAGTATCTTAACTAAAGGAGTAAGTAATTCTAAGAGTAGGGTAGTTAGATGCTTGTTAGACTACTTGCTTACAAACTAAACACTAATATAATATTCTTTAGAGGCTGTTACTAGCTAGGACAAGTTTTTAAGTATAATATAATAACATAGGTAATAAGACTCTCTAATATAGTTCTACTTCTACTACAAGGTATATAGGAGCACTAGAAAAAGTAGTAACTAGGGAAAATCTTATTTCTATAGGTCTAATACAAAGGATACTTAAAAACTATCTATCTTAGGCCTATTATAAGCTTGCCCTTTATACCTACTAGCCTTAGTTAGTTATAGATAGGCAAGGAGAGATAACTAGGTAGGGTCAGATCCCTATTAGAGGGGTGTTAGATCCTTAGTAGCTACAGCTATGCTAGAGTCTTGACTTAGGGTTGAGTTAGGCATGAATTAGAGGTTGTTTAAGTTAGGTAGTATCTTAGTTGGAAGAATCAAGATTTTGGAATCCAATTCTTACAGTATCGACTCAATGTCTTTTCTTAAATCCTGCTCTGTGGCTGGAAGAAGCTATGCGAGCAACGCGCACCTGTATAGGAATATAGCTGTAAGACAAATTGCACATGTTAAAAAGGGTTGTTCTATCACAACTAGTTTTATTGTTAAGGAGACGGGTAGTCTTACACAAGACTAGTTTTGGAGGAGCTCTAACCGCAAGCAGCGCGCTAAATTCTGAGTATCGCACCATTACAGATAAACCGATTTTTCTCTACGGCGACTAGGTATGTGCTCGAAGGCAATGATAGAGAATACAAATATGGGTTGGGGATAAATGCGCTTCTTAGCGAATTGATATCATGTTGCTATATCTGGGGCAGCTCCGAACCAAACGTTTACAGTCAGACTACCTCCACGAGATGAGTTGAATTGCCACATTTGAAAGGTCGACGAGTTTAATGTAGGTGACTGCTTTATACTTGGTGTTTATCGTGAGACAATTACCACTTCCGGCTGCAGGAAGTAATTCGCGGACGGAGGCTATCGACCATAAAGCACGTGCACGCAGCACGGGTGACTCACTCCCGCTCCATCCAACTCCGCTCCTCCCACATGTAACCAACATCCAACAAACAACTTCTTCTATTCCGAAAAGCTTCTTCTTCAAGCGTCTGAAGAGCCAAAACCACAATGACTACCTACACTACTTTAGTCATCCCCCGGCTCTGCGACCTCCCTCAAAACACCCTTACGCCTCTTGCTCAGAAACTTCGCGATTTCAAACTGAACGCTTTACTCTCGGACCCAAATGCTTTCTCTCAGTCTCACGCCACCGAGTCCCAACTGCCGCTCTCAGCTTGGGAAGCCCGGGTATCTAATCCAGACTTCAGAATCGTGGTCTGTCTTGTTGAGAGCGACCAATTGAACCGTCTAGGGCAAGAAGAAGGCGTAGAAAACAATGAAACGGGAAAAGAATTAGAGAAAGTAGTAGAACGACTGCTAAAGAACGATTGGGCGGGCACTTTCACGCTCGTAGGACCTGTAGCACGTGACGCCTGGATATTCCAGTCGTCAGGACAGCCCACACCCGGCACGGACGAGAAAGAGAAGAGGTGGCATTTGACGAGCCTTTTCGTACTTCCGAAGCACCGGGGCCAAAAATTAGCGGCCAAACTCACGCTCGCGGCTGTGCAGGCTGGGACATCCATTTCTCAGAGCGTTCCAGCACCAGTGTCAGGAAGCCAGGAAGTGCGCCTTAACACGCGTTTCAGGCTCATCGTACACCCGAACAATAAACCGGTTGTGGGATTGTATTCGAAGTTGGGATTTGTGGAAGGCGGATTCTATACGCAGAAAGAGGCGATGATCGCGATGGGAGATGCGGCTGGAATACCGGATGATGCGGAGGGCGAGAAATGGAATAGCAGGTTTGGTATTGGAATGGAGCGTATAGTTCAGGGCTAATAGACGGCCTTAGATCTTGGAGAGGGCTATCTTAAGATCATTGTCGATCTTTCGAAGCGTTGGGAACTGGATCTATACACAAGCTGCCGGACTCATGATGAGGGTTGGAAAGGAACATCATGATATATCGATCCAACCAGACAGTAGATAGCAGGCGCGTTGCTAGCGGACGCTGATTCCCTGGACCAACACAACTAGCACCGTCACAAGGAAACAGGTGGAGAATGGCGCAATAAAGCAACAAGGTCAAGCATAAGACAAATCTCAATTTAGTCAACGAGAAAACACACACTCGGATGCAACACCATCGATCCCGTCCCCACAAATCAGTAACGTCTCATCAAATACCACGTAAGCTCAACGTCTGGTACTCGGCTGCAAATGAGCTCCTGCATCTCTATCTGTCCATCAAGACGCTGCTCGAGATTCCTGAGCCAATCCCTGCGTGAGGTAATAACGGCGACCACACCAACCTGCAGCCTCGGGAGCGTGCTATAGCGCAGAAAGTCAAGCGTTCTACCGTCAGCCGTAGAAAGCAACCTGTTATCCATCCAACATTCGTAATCGTAGGTGTAGATACGAATGCACCGGATGCTGGCTTTGGCTCGCGGGCTCAGACTATCGTATATGGTTTCGTAATGTCGAAGTCGCTCGGGAGGAAACGCGAAAGTGAACGTGTTGGTCTCGAAGACTGTCCAGCGCGCCTCGCGATGGATATGGCGACAGACGAGAAGGAAGCCAAAGATGCGATAGTTCACGGGCTGACGAGGTAGGTCTAGATGCGTCATGGGGAAGACATTTCCACCAAGGACAAGCTCGTAGATGCGGTTTCTGAGCTCGCCTGGGAGACGGAGGAGTGGCGAGTTTGTTGTGTTCAGCTGTTCACTGGAGAAGGTTAGCATCTGGAAGCTCTAGAAGAGGAAACAATGCGTACAGTCTGTTGCGGTGGGCTCTGTTGCGAGCAATTACTTGCTGTCGCTTTGCGTACCAGTGGCTGGCGCTGATGGCGAAGGTAGAGGTAACTAACAGGGCGAACGCGATCATGACTTGAATCATGATTGCCATCTGTTGAGCTGTTGAGTGTGCAGAGTGTTGCGAAGTCGTGTTGTGGGTCTGAAAGAGGGGAACTATATAGGAAGCGAGAGCTGCATCTCGAGAGTGAAGTGTCCACCAGCTCGTGGACTCACAATGTATCGAGATGAGACTGGACAGCGAACAAAAGTGAAGCCATATAGAGCGCGCGATCCAGAGTTCGAAAGCAAGTGAAAATGGTTACAATCTCTCAAAGCAAGACTGAAAAGAAAGCAAGAAGGAAACAATATATACCCGCGAGTCAACACCAAGTGAAAGTCCAACTGTCGAACCAAAGAATCAACAACATCTCGAAGTGAGTGTCGCAACGTGTTTCGAAGAACCCACTTACCTACACATCTCCTTATAGTTCCAAGGCTTGTTTCCTGCGACAAGTAAAGTTGACCTGCACAATTAATTGCTCAAACATCTGAAGCAAATACACTAGATCTTTATGCCCATCAGAACAACACCACAACCTCCACGTCCACAAACCGGACTCGACCACAACGAAGCCTCTCACAGAGGTCAGAAAATCCTTTTGTTGACCGGGGCAGATGGGTTCCGTAGAAGCCACCACGGTCTCGGTCTACGTCAACGGGATGTGTGGGAGCGTTGCACATCAGTATTTGGCAAAGGACATGCCAAAAGCATGTTTGTAAGGAAAGGCCGTGTCATCGCATACTTCCTGGTAGCCTGCAGACAGTGCAACTGGAATGCAGAAGGAGAAAGTGTGAAATAACGACAGGCGGCTGCTCTCCCGCAAACACCGAGCCCCGTGGCAAATCATTTCATACCGGAGACTCTATGCAATAGAACTACCTACCCCTGCCGCCAAACACTCCCCACCCACCAAGCACCTCCCTCTCCCCCCAAAATACCCACTCGTCTGCCCCCACCTTCCCAAGCCCCTCCTTCCTCTTCCACTCCCCCAACTCCCCCCACCGCATCAGCAGGTTCCCATCCACGACCCCACGCCCCACACCCCCAGCATCCCACCCACCATCCTCCACATCACTAACCCGGAACGCCTTCGGATTGAGTCCGCACGCTGCCTCCAGGGCGTTAGCCAGAAACGCGCTCAAGCCGGAGAGACGGCGGTAGCTCGACTCCGACAGCGGGGTGATGAGCGCCAGCGTGCCCGACTGCGAGGTGTGCAGGATCTGGCGGAGGGGCTGGAGCGCGGCGTCGGGCTCCGAGGCCATATCTTCGTCGTCGTAAGGGTTGGCGTTTGCGAAGTCGGTGCTGGAGGGCGGTTTGAGCGCGCTCTCGAGGAGCGTTAGGGTGGAGGGGAAGTGGCCGGTGTGGAACGTGGATTTGTGGAGCAGACGCGAGCCGCCTGCGGATTTCGGGTCTGGTGCGGTTAGTGTGGGTGATGGTGGGGAGAGGGGTACGGGGGTGACGTACTTTCTGGGTCGTACTGGAGGATCTGTAGGTTCATGTCGGCGTCGGCGACGATGATGTGGAGTTGGTCGTCCGAGGGTAGGAATTCAGTTGTGATGCATTCGAGCTGGTGCTTGCTGCGGCCGAATAACATCATCTTATATGGTTCCTCCTGTCCATGGTGTCAGAAGGTATTGCATTTAGTCAGTTCAACAAACTTACAGTGTAGCCTGTAAACCACACGCCCTTAAAGGCATCGCTCATCAACAACATGCCTGTGTCTGGCAAGTTCTTAAGTCCGGTAACATAGCATTGCATGTCCATAAAGGCAACAGGAAGCAATGTGCCATCTTCTTTCAAGCCTCTGACCATACACTTCTGACCCTGTGCCATGAGCAGGAAGCCTTGGGTGCCGAGCTCAGAGACAGCGGACACCGCGCCCTTGACCTCGTCCTTGACGATTAGCTTCAGGCGCTTGTTCGTCTCCGGGCGGTCGGGATCAGGAACGACGTTGATCACCTCGAAGATGCGAATGTTTCCCTTCGTGGCAAGGTCTTCGCCGTGGACGATGGACGTTCCGACTGCGATGAGTTCTTTGCGCTGATGAGTAGTTTCTGACACTTCGAGGTTGAGCGTCTTGATGCACAGCACGACTTCTTGAGGGTCGAGAATGTGTGTATCGATTTCAGTCCAAGTCTTCTCGTCGATCACCTTCAGTACACCTCGCTCGACGCGTGGCTTGAAGGCAGTGTCTTCTTTCGGCAGCGGTTCGTGGTAGGTGTCTTCATGGTTGAGACCAAACTCTTCATATTGCCCTGTACCCACGATGTAAAGACCTTTTGGATGGTATGTGAAGGTGTGGACCTCAGAGCCGAACGGCAGTTGCCGTGTAGCCCAGCCGAGATGTCCAAAGTGTGTCTGTGTGGGCAATTGGGAGATGCGGAGAGTGTCGGTTGTGTCCAGATAGGCAAAACCACGTTGACAGGATGATGTGTGGAATCGTGTAAGGCCCTTCACGGCCTTACCGCTGATGCCAATGACGCGAGGTGCACTTGAAGACTCTTTGAAAATGAAGGCTGGCGACGCTCCTCGCTGGAACACAGTGCTGTAACCGCAGACATTGTCCAACGCGAGGAGAGTGCTCTCGATCTTGACTTCTTCTGAGGCTTGTTCGACCTCTTCTTCCGAGAACTTCGGTACGTGCTGCTGGGACAATTTGACCCATCTTAGGTTTTTGGTCCACAACTCAGCCGAAGATCTTGCTGGTGCATGGAAAGCTTTGTAGATGACAAGATCATCAGTGGAAGTTCGAATCTGGCAAATTCAGTATATATCCATCAACTCGCGAGTACGATACTCACAATAAGATGTGGTGACCTAGTCGTCGCGTCGCCAAGATCAGCGGCCAGAATCTCAGTAATGGTCGCTTTGGCTGCACTACGTCGGGGCACATATTCCACCGTCAATACAGGCGGCAGGAATCCCAGGCCTTCTGCGACGTAGCTCGGCTTCTCCAGTTCCGACATGGCGAAGACATGGAGGCCTCCTTCGGGCGTCAGCAGAAAAGCGAAGACCTCCGTGAAAGTGGACGATCTGAAAAGTGATGCTGAGAGCCACTTGGTCGAAGATAGCCCGCTAGCCTCAACATCCTCTAACTCGCCGTCACCACTCGCCTTGAAGATCTTCACGCTGGAATCTTCACGCAAGATAAGAAGGTAGGGATCGGCAAAGCTGGCGTTGATGACGCGTAATTCGTCACCCGACTCCTCGTCTTCCATGGGCAGAATCTGATCCATGTTGAGCTCTGACATGGTGTTAACATATATGCAGTAGCTTCGATGTGTTGCTTACCAGAATCGTAGGTTCGAATTTCAGTACGCATGACTTGTACGACTTTGGTACCACGCGCGAGCACACCAACGCTCAACGTTGACCCCTCTTCGCGTTCAAAGTCACCCTTGTCAGTGGCTGTGAGTTCATTACCGTTGACTTCGTACACAGTGGTGACTTCATTGCCATCCTCACCAGCTCGACACACCACCAGATACTGGTCGAAGTCAACATCAGACGACATGTTGGCTTCAGTGTCTTCGCCGAACGCAGCAGAGACACCCTGAGGTACTGCTTTCTTTGCATGCACAGCCCACAAACCCTTCGCTGACTCTAGCTCTGTCTGCGCCAGCTTGACAGGGTGCAATTCTCGATTGAGAATGGTGATGGCACCGGCAGCGCCCCGACCAGTTGCAGTGACGATTTCACCCTTGTTGATTGAGTCTGTATCTATGCCGGGGTGGAGAACAACTTCGTTGATGGGCGCTATGCTCGGCAGGACGTCATGTATCCTGAATGTGTACGACCCTGGTTCTGAGGGTTCTGCAGCAGCAGAAGTAATTTTCTTCACAGCCGGCGCGGTGTCATTATAGAGATCGTCGTCAAGATCGTCGACTTCATCCTCCAAATCCGACATGCCATCATCCTGGTCAAGGCCGGCATCTGACTGTCTCCGTCTCAACTGGCTCAAAGAACCTGTCCATCCTAGCAAGGCCGATTCGCCATCTTCACTGCCGACGAATATTCGACCACGGCCTAAACTCGTTGTGCAAGAGGCGCTAGCTTTAAGAACATGGCCACCATGCTCTGCATCCACAGGTTGCACAGTCATGCCAGACACTGTACGTCCGTCAAGAGTGAAGGTCAGAATGAGCAGCCTTCCGTCATTCAGCACGATGAGAACATCGCCATTCTCCTGAGACAATAGCTCTACTGTGCAGCCCTCGAGACGCAGCGCAAGCTCAGACTGATCGCTCAGGGGGAACGACGAGCAGACCTTGGCAAACTCATTGACGGCCACGCCGTTAGTCTTGCCAGCCTGATCGACATGTATGACTTCGTTTCCTCCAAGCAACAAAGCGCCGCCGATGGGATGTGGCAGGGGCACGACCCTGTTGACATCGTAGGGCAGGCCGGTGACGGAGAGGAGCGTAGTCGACGCCTTGTGCTCGAGATCGAGGGTGAAGACAGTGTAGGTGAGGATGTCTTTGCGATAGGCGAGCAGCGACGGAGCGACGTCCTGCGAGGCGGCGATGACACCGAAGGTAGGCTCGCGGTACTCGTGCAAGAAGGCGAGGTGCACAGGGTGGGTGAGGGTGGGGTCGAGGTTCGTCAGGGGCAGCACGAAGGAGCTCGAGTAGGGCGTCGCGTGGCCTGTATCGCCGCTGGTAGCGTCTTTGTTCTTGCGGTCGTCGTCCGAGTCGTAGTCGTCCTCGGCCAAGTCGCGCTGGCGGAAGGGCAGGATGGCGAGGTTGTGGGCGCCGAACTTGAGGGCGGCACATCTGTTGCTGGGGTCGGCGGTGAGGAAGTTGTGCGTGTCTTTCAGCTCAGCACTCCACGGGGCAAGGCCAGGCAAGTCGGGGTTCTCATAGTAGTGTATTGATATTGTATGGAGGTTGTAGCTCTCCGGGTCCCACTCCACCAAGCTCAGCTTCGCGTCTCTGAACGCCACCAGCAGCGCCTCCGCCTTCGACTTTGTGTTGAGCGCCTTGATGCGCGCGAGCGAGATGACGGAGCCGGCGAGGGGGAACTCGCCCAGCAGCACCAGCTTGGACGTGTTCTCGGTGCGCTGCACCTGCACGTCGGCCGCCTCGGTGTCGAGGTTGGCTCCAGCGTGCTCGGCACCGTCCTCGCCGGGCAGCACCTCGGTGACGGTGGAGCGCAGCTCGAAGATCTGCAGCAGCGAGTTCTTCGCGACGACGAGGTTGGTCGCGCGCGCCGACACAAAGGGCAGCGTGACGGCATGGCTGACGGCCGTCGGCGGCGCCAGCTCAGTGTAGCATTGCATTGGGGCGGATGGGTGCTATGCGCTCGGCATGCCACTCGGCCAGCAGCAACGTCGCCAGGAATCGAAATGTCGCGGTGGAGGTGCGAGGTGTCGCGTCCGACGTGCAGCCAATTGCGCTGGGCCGGTTGCGGAGTTGGCGCCGTCGATCCCGCGAGAGCTGGGAGAGCTAGATCACTGTCGTCATCCTGCAGAGATCAAGGCGGCAGCATCAACACACCGCGCACCGCACTTCCAGGCGCAGACACGCACGAGCACGTCAATCGCCATCTCGCACCACCATCCCCCACCACATCCGACTGCGATTGCAGCTCCACGCAACATGGCGCTCATCCAGACCAGCCTCATCTGGGTCGCCTACGCCGTAGCCGTCGGCATCCTACTGGCAATCGCCTCGGTCTTCGTCTTCGTCTACCAGACGCCCCGTGACCGCGCTGCCTCGGTCACCATCGTGTGCATCTTCACGACCCTCGCGCTGCTTGCGACTGTCCTGCTTATCCCCGTCGACGTCGCCCTCGTTTCGTCCACCAGCCGCTCCAGCCTCGGCCGCAAGAAGGACTGGGCCACGCCCGAGAAGGTCCACGACATCACCCACACCCTGCAGATCGTCTACTATCTGCTCTACTCGCTCGACGCCATTCTCTGCCTGCTGGTCGTCCCCTTTACCTACTTCTACAATGAGGAGTACGATGAGGATGCTGCTGAGCACGGCGAGCAGACAGTTGGCCAGAGGATCCTGGGAGCATTGAAGTACACCATTGCGTTCCTCCTCTTCGTCGTCATCATCTTCCTCGTTGGCTTCTTTGTGCCCTTCGCAAAGCAGGCAAAGCACGACAAGGACATGGACCTGGACTTCTTCAAGCACCTGCTCGCCGAGAACCGTAAGCTGCAATATCCTCCACCTCATTCGTGCGCTAACCCCTCCAGATGGCGAGCGCGCACTCTCATTCGCCCTCGGGCTTCTCATGACGATCGGTACTATCCTGTTCGTTCTCTACACTGGCGCCGGCATGGCTCTTCTCCCCGTCGCCATGATCAAGTCTGCGCCCTCAATCTCTGCGCCCACCCTCGCAGCCAATACCGCATCTCAGCTCGAGGCCAACCGCGAGCGCCAGAGGCAGCTCGAGGGCCGCGCTGAAGGTCGCCAAAACGGGCTGGATGCTAGGGACAGACGTGAGCTGGAAGCTCTCAACCGCGAGGAGCGCACGCTCATCCGCCGGGAGCGTCTCGCTGCCGAGTCCAGCGGTGAGGACCGACACCTTATTGTCAAGACTTGGATCAAGATTGAGGCCGTCTTTCGACCTCTGAAGCTTGTCGGTGGATTGATTCTCATGGTCTTCGCACTCTTCATCTTCTCCAGTATGCTCATCACCAGCATCGACAAGGCCAAGAACTCCATCTGCGGCGCTCACTGCGGCTACATCTTGGGCCACATCAACATCTTCCAGCCACTGAACTGGGTCCTTGTCAAGGCATCTAAAGTCTTCCCAATCGACTACGTCCTCTTCTTGCTCCTCACTTTGTTCCTCTTCTCTGCCTCTGTCGTCGGTATCGCCACGGCCGGAATCCGCTTCCTCTGGCTCACAATCTTCAAGATCCGCAAGGGCCACACCTCCCCTCAGGCCCTCCTCATGGCCACCGTGCTGCTTACTCTCATCGTTCTGGCCATCAACTATTCCGTAGCCATGGTCGTTGCGCCCCAGTACGCCACCTTTGGCCCCCAAACCTACTGCGACCTACCAGTGAACCACGTTGGCGACCAACCCGACTGCTCTGAGCACAAGGAAGCCATCAAGGCGTGCTCCGAACTCGCAGACAATCCCGTCGCTCACGACGTCTGCACGCCTTCGGTACTCAGCACCTTCATCAACCGCGTCACCATCAACTTCCCCTTCTTCGGTGTTGTATTGTTCTGGGCTCAATTTGCCTTCTTGGGCGTCTACATTGTCGTGTTCCTTACAACACTCTTCAAGGTGCCTAAGCTCGACCAGGAGCAGATGGACCGCGATCTGGAAGAGGATGAGGAGGAGGGCCTGCTTGCTAGCACAGGCCGTAGGTTCGGCGCCACATGGCAGGATATCACCGGCCGATCGAAGAACAACTACGGCGCTGCCGAGTCCAGGAACGGCGGGCGCAGTGGCGAAGGAGAGGGCTTGCTATAAGCGTCTCCATGTAATCACAGGCTAAAATTGCTTTCTCGCGAGGACGAACTGCCCTCATTTGTTATTAGTACATGATGTTTATGTTTGCTTTTTAGGTTGGGACGGATACATGTTTATGATACCTCACGTTTTGGATTTCTGGTTCTGCCATCTCTAGTCAATTCTACGCGTTCGCCGCTTAATTGGTTCTCGAGGAAGGTGCAATGTGCGACTTCCTTCTAGCTGGCGTCACGCCACCCTTACGGCATCAGCGCGACGTCCGCTCGTCAGTCTATTCTCACGACAGTGCAAACTCGAGGTGATCGCCTCGCACCGCCTGGACTGTCACATCCCGACCTCGGAAGCTCGAGCGTCGGTCACTCCTGTCCTCTTGCTTTTCATCCGAATTCCAACAAACAGCTAAACAACGTCTTCTCAAATGAATGTGCGACGTCTGCGATTTACTCACCTTGCCACACTAGATTGTACACAACATCTCCATTGGTCGCGGTCGCATTTACGAAGCATCTCTCTATGTTTCACACCCGTTCTCCTAACGTCTTCCACCTTCTCAAGGTGCTTGGAACAAGTGACAACTCATACAGTACATTGCCTAGACACGGCACGGTGTCACTCGCCTTTGGCTGCCATTGGTACTCCGGCTGAATGATCCTGTCCCTAACGATGAAGCTGCAGACTCTCGCAATTGCAGCCGCAGCATGTTGACAGGTTTCCGCAGGTAACAAAGGCTATCAGCGGTCCAAGCATGGCGGCCTGCTATTGAGGACTCGTTGTCTCCATCGTGAGCTTCCTATTTGGTCCAGATTCGCACTATCCATTCGTTATTACGCGAAGTGCTGCTAGGTACTGGACACTGCATCGAGCGAAGGTATACCTCGCCAGACGTGGCGAGATCTCAATCAACGAACCCGTCGCACTGCAGCGTCGGCACACCCGTGCCAACGGAGCAGGCTCGGGTGCACGGTGGCAAGTCTGCTAGTCGGTATCTCTTAGGCCGTACATCTCGACGTTAGCCACTTTCGTGCTATTGCCTTTTAGGCAGGCACCAAAGTTGGCTTCGGTTGGCAACGCTTGGTTTAGTGGCGGTGCGGGAACAAGAGAGTGTCGTCGACGGCGTTCCGCCCCCCGCAAACAAATCTTGGCATGGAAACAGCATCCTCCGAGCCCCAGAATCCCGCTGTTCGACCCCAGGAAACACTGTGATATCGACAATCCTGTGTCGCAATCTCTGCGATACTTTTGCAGCGAAATCTTTGCGGCAAAATGAACGACTACTCATCTCAAGTCGTCCAGTCCCGCCCACCGGGTACCTGCTACTGGTTCGCATGACAAAAAAGTCTTGGGCCTGCAGCGAGTGCTTGCTCCGCGCGCGTCCCTGGTCGACATAATCTCGTTTTCTTGGCTTGCGCCCTTGCAGCTCCTATTGTATTCCTCCGGGAGGCACCAACCTTCGGAAAGATGCCCGCCAAGACGCCGGTCATTGGCACATGTTGCTATCAAATGGCGACAGATCTTATCATAAGCGTATTGCTGTGGCGAGTGCACAACATCCGGAAGCTAGAAATTACACCTGCCTGAATGGTGAACTTACGTGATGATCTCACCTTCTTCAAGTAGTGTAGCACGCCAAGCAGCTCAATGATGCCCAGGCCGACCCCAAGACATGAGTACCTGAACGAAGACGCAGTGCACAGAAGATTGGATGCCAGTAGCAAGGCGATGTCTTATAAATACTGGCAGCGTTGTCAGACAATGTGCTCATTCCTGCTCAATCCAACTCCACTGCATCTGCCGCCAAGATGAAGTTCTCTCTGGCTTCTCTCGCATTGCCCGTTGCGGCTAACGCCGCCGCATTCTCTGCCCAAGAGTATGCATCGGGCGCTGTGCACGCTCACTTGATGAAGCTCAAGACTGTAAGATCCACTTTGAATGCGCCAGTCGAAATTCACTGACCATGTACAGGACCAATGGGCACATGATGAGGAATCGCTCGCCGCTGTAAACAACACAGAGCTCTGGCCTTCATGGAAGAACTACGCTGCTGTGAAGTTCGGCAAGAAGGAGAGGGTCGATTGCAAGAACGGTCTCGCTGTCGTTGAGCAGGGCAATGCCAACCAGACCTTCCGTTGCAACAACATCGACCTTTACGACTTCGCTAACCACGCTGATATCGGTGGTCCCGAGGGCCGCGGATCCTCTTCGTGGGGTTGGACTGCCAAGAACGGACGTGAGTTCGGTATCATTGGCCAGTTCAGTGGTGCTGCCTTCATTGAGGTCACCAAGAAGGGCAAGATTGAGTACCTGGGACGCCTGCCTGCTCAGGACCCCATTGGTTCTCGATGGCGCGAGATCCGAGTCCTGAACGACTTCGTTATCATCGGATCTGAGGCCGTCAACCACAACGTCCAGATCTTCGATCTCAACAAGCTGTTGACCCTCGACCCCAAGAACCCCAAGGTGTTTGACACCCAGAAGGATCTCACTGGTCTCTTCACCGACACTCTCCCCATCGGTCGCACCCACAACGTTGTCATCGACTGGGACAATGAGTATGCCATTGCTGTTGGCGCTCAGCCCCGTAACCAGACCTGCGGCGCCGGTCTGCAGTACATCGATCTCAAGGATCCCTCCAAGCCTACTACCCCTGGTTGTGCTAGCCAGGACGGTTACGTCCACGACGCTCAGTGCGTTACCTACAACGGCCCTGATCGTCGCTACCGCGGCCGCAACATCTGCGTTGGCTACAACGAGGACACAGTCACAATCTACGACTCCACATCCAAGAACGGCAAGCCCGCTTCTGAGGTTCTGTCCAAGCTCACCTACCCTGGTGCTTCTTACGTCCACCAGGGCTGGTGGACTGAGCGCAACTGGCACCAGCACATCTTGTTCAACGACGAGTTGGATGAGCAGAACAAGGCCGGCGTTGCTGCTTCCGGCCGCCCCGTCACCCATATCGCTGATCTCTCGGACCTCAAGAACCCCAAATACACCGGTTTCTTCTATGCTACCGACAAGAAGGGTATTGACCACAACCTCTACGTCGTCGACGGCCTCGTCTACCAGTCCAACTACGGCAACGGTCTCTGGGTTCACGACATCCGCTCCGTCAAGAAGGACCCCACCGGCAAGGGCGTCACAGTCGAGGCTTTCTTTGACATCTACCCCGAGGATGACGCTGGTGAGGGTACCGTTACATTCGTCGGCACATGGAGCCACTTCCTGTTCCCCTCCGGTTTCATCCTCGTCAACACCATTGAGCGTGGTGTATTCATTGTCAAGATTGACAAGGGCCGTGGCGGTGGCAAGGGCCCCGGCTTCGGCGGCAAGAGCAAGGGCGGCAAGAGGGACGCGCTGTACTAAACTCATCTCGGAAACGAGAAAGATGTAATGTCTTATGATGAGCAACGTTAAAATAATACCATTGACGACTACACATTGGTCGCGTGCCACATGATTTAATGCCGACCTTCATTGGGAAATACTATTGTGCCCCGTGAAATCACATTGTTCCAAGCTAGTCCCGCGCACGAAGGCTTGCAACGAATGCGCTAATACACATGAAATACGCACCTGCCTGGCTGTCAGCGGGTTTCAGGCCGGTCGTTCATGCTGTAGAATATGCTGGGCTTTCGGTACATGTGCGGCGCATTGCGTGAGTGGACGCTAATTACATATTGGTTTTTCTTGAACTATAGAATACTGCAGTGCCTTGAAATCATGGCTCATGATTCATGGAAGAAGCTCTTTGCTTTATCTGCTGCATTTCGAGGTTCTGCACCGTGTGCCAGGTTAAGTGAATATGGCTTTGGGTTTTCGTGTAGCATATCAGTGGTTTTGTATCTTCGCATATAATTTGATTCGATTGAAGGAATATTGGATCTATAGAGCGTATCGGAACTTTTTGTTCTCGAAATCGGTGATATCGCCGATGTAATCAAGATCGTTCACACCAGCATCATCTGATATCGGGTGCTCAGCTGCTTCACGATCGCGTCGAGCATTCCGCCACACAAGCAGAGCTCGCAAGCCGAACGCGAGAGCAACCTGAGTGACTGAACATGCTAGGATGGTCTTGACACCTGTCTCGTACTTCGGCGCTTCCTTTGCGAGGAACGCCTGAGGGCCTGGAAGTGAAATTGTCAGTACATTCGGTCGATGCAAGGACTGGACGACTTACCGATAATGTTACCAGCACAGTAGGCCAGAAACACGAAAGCTGTGCCTGTGGTTCGTTTTGTGTATCCTCCCACGTTGGATGCAGGGAACTGGAGCGCAATCACCAATGAGCCTACGTATGAACCGATCTGGTCAAGTTAGCTTCAACCACTTCTCAACTATATATAGAAGGGCATCATACCATATAGTAGCCGGCAAGATTACCACCAATGTTGGTCCGCGGCAACTTCCAGATAAGACAGGTGCCGAGGATCGTGGGACAAAGATAGAGCGCCATGATGTAGGTGCGCGCATTCGGAAGACGGGAGGCAAGGTATGGGCCAGTAAGGACGAAGAAAAAGTTGCCGACTCCCGACGGAATCCCATATAAGGTAGTCTTGAGAGGGTCGCCTCCAGCAACATCCTTGATAATCAGCTTGCCGAAGTTTGCAATGCCGCCGTTGATAACTTCGTTCAGCAAGGTGTAGATGAACAAAACCCAGAGCTGCGGATCGCGCAACGCTTCCCATACCTGCGGCAGCTTGATCTTCCTGTTGTAAACTCCGGTCCGGTTCTGCGCCGACCGCGCAATCAACAGTGCCTTTTCCTCAACGGTGAAACTCTTGGCTGTCATGATGTTATCGGGCAGCCTGAAGAACAGAACAACGGCCCACAGAACCGTCATGCCGCCGCAGATGAGGTAGATGATCCTCCACACTGCAAAGTTCTTCGCGTACCCAACTCCGTAGAACAGGATGCCTCCCGTGGCACTACCAATACCATTGAAGCAGTAGAACATGCCCGCGCGCGCCGGCTGCTGCTTGCCCAGATACCACATGCTCACGATCATCATGAACGCAGGCGTGACAACTGACTCAAAAACACCGAGCAGAAACCTCATCGCAGCAAACCCCGCAAAGTTGTGCGTTGCCGCCGTGCACAGCATCACCGTGCCCCAACAGAAGCAGTAGATCGACACCACCCGCCCGGTCGGGAACCGCTGCGCAAGGTACGCTGACGGCCACTCGAAGGCGAGGTACGCGAAGTAGAATATGGACGCCAGCCATGAGTACTGGGACCCTGTGATGCCGGTGGTCGGGAAGAGGTCGAACACCGCCGAGTAGCTGATGGCCTGCTTGTCGATGTACTGGAGGAAGTATGTTCCACACAAGAGGGGGAGGAGGCGCAGATCGACTTTTCGGACGAGGCTCTTATTCAGGGCCTTGTCTTGGAGCAGTTCCGTGAGGTACTCGGAGGTGTAGTTGTGCTCGCGCAGGAACTGGCTGCCTTCATCGAGGTCGGAGATCTGGCCCTCGACAGGGACGCCAGGCTTCTCGAAGGGCTCTGGGTTGGAGTCGGTTTGTTGGAGGGTGAGATCCTTAGCCATTGCTTTATCGTCGCGCTGGGCGGACTCGAGGGACGACCGCATGGTGGAGATGGATGTATTGACGACGATGGAGGCTGCGAATGCACCTTCTCGAGCAGATTCAAGTCGCGTTGTAACTGTCTTTATGCCATCGCCCCACCCCGCATCTCCGTACTGAGAACATGATCCACTTTAGAGCTGATATGGGTATCGATACGGTGGCTGATAAAGACTGATAAGGCATCCAATCATTGCTTTTCGTGCCTGTGTTTATCACCTATCTGCCTTAACATTGGGGCAATATTCAAGGGACCGGATGCTGGAGAAGCGAACACGGAGATATCGAAGTGGCGCTCGCCAGCGTGGCGAATCGGATGGGGGGAGATGCAAGGTGCCGTTAGCGTCCGACGGCACTGTGAAGACCCTCTAGCGGAACAGGGTATAGCCTCCGTTAGTGTTGTGTCTATCACGGCATCCTCAAGCAACAGTAATCCCGAAATCAAGTTATCGTTGCAGTGAGTTCTGTACGGCTCTAGAAATGAATGCCGTACCAAGGCAGCGTATCTGGGAGATATCAGTTGATAGCGATTGAGAGAAGACCAGCCACAGTGCAGCAAACAGAGATGTCGAAGCAAGTTGTCTTTACGAAGAACGCGCCCGCAGCGCCACCATATGCCTCGCAGGGCATCATCTGCAATGGGGTTGTTCACTGCTCAGGTAGTCTTGCATTCGAGACTGGCACAATGAACATAATTCCTGGTGGGATCAAAGCCGAGACTGTAAGCTTGCATGATTACGCCGGTTTTGCTTGAAACTGATACCAACAGCGGCAAATTCTCAAGAACCTCGATGCGGTGCTCAAAGAAGCTGGAAGTAGCCTTGCCGAAGCAATCAAGGTCAATGTCTTCATTGTTTCAATGGACGACTTCATGGGCATGAACGAAGCGTACGACGAGTTTTTCTCAGGGTTGCCGCAAAAGCCGGTAAGCACGCTCGAGTCTTGAACTTTCTTTGCTGCCGCTGATACCGAATGCAGTGCCGAACTTGTGTTGGGGTCCACGAACTGGCCCTTGGTGCCAAAGTGGAGATCGATTGCTCGGCTGTTGTTACAACAACGCGCTCTAAACTGTAGATGACCTCCCACAATTCGACTCTATCTATCTTTCAAGTGCGCTTTGCGGTATGCTTATCTAATCTGTGATTCTCTGAGAAGTGACGGCAAACTTTGCCTGAGGTGTCTCATGCATTGCGTGACACGATGTGTAATAGGTAACATGACTCGATGTGATTCATCCGACGGCAGCTTCCGCAAGCGTACCTACATTCGGTAAAGTAATCGCACCTTCGCTGTACACCATCTGAATCTAAAGTGCGAACGCCAGTGTTCATAGATATTTCGCACATAACTCAACTGCTGTTACATTTTGCGAACTAAATTCTTCACCTTTGAGTCGAAAACCGCGATGCCTAACATTATTGTGATCGGGTATGTTTCCAAAACAGTGGACATGGCAGATTTACTCTCAGGTAGCTGACATTTGAATCTCAAGTGCGGGAGTCTCTGGGCTCACCTCGGCGTATCTCTTGTCAAAAGACAGATCGAATGTCGTTACTGTTGTCGCCAAGCATATGCCCGGCGACTATGACATAGAATACGCATCTCCATGGGCTGGTGCAAACTTTATGCCGTAAGTTGGCAATCAAGACACTCAAATCTCCTGGCTGACTTGTCCTTATAGCATGGCATCCAAAGCGAACAATCGCTGGGAAACTCGATCATGGCCTTATCTGAAACATCTTGCAGCATCCGTGCCAGAGGCTGGCATCCATTTTCAAAGTGAGTCTTGATTGCAGCGTGATTTCAAAATTTCTAAACAGTCCAGATTGCCGTCTGTATCGTCGGGAGAAAGATGTAAGAACGCTTGAGGAAGAAGATTCGTTATTTAGCAATGTCTTCAAAAAGGATCCTTGGTACACCGACGTCGTGGATAACTACAAAGACTTGAACCCTGAAGAACTACCGTCGGGAATCGCCTCCGCCTCTGAATTTGGATCAGTGTGCATAAATACCGCTCTTTACCTACCATGGCTCATTGGACAATGCAGAGCGAACGGCGTTACCTTCCACCGGAAGAACCTTACTCACATCTCAGAGCTACACTACCTAGAAGAAGAGAAGTTCAGACCCCACGTCATAGTCAATGCCACTGGGCTTTCATCTTTGAAGCTGGGAGGTGTGATGGACCAAACTATGTACCCCGTCCGCGGCCAAGTAGTCGTCGTGAGGAACGTAGCTCCGCGCATGGTCGTACAGTCTGGAACAGACGAAGGCGACGGCCATGCTTGTTACATCATGACCCGGGCGAATGGCGGAGGTACCATCCTTGGAGGCACTGTACAAGTCGGCAGTTGGGAGAGTCAGCCAGATCCCAAGACCGCAGAACAGATCATGAAGCGAGCTGTAAACATTGTCCCTGAGCTTACGAATGGCAAGGGCATTGAGCATCTCGATGTTATTCGCCATGGTGTTGGACTAAGACCGGGGAGAGAGGGAGGCGTTCGACTTGAGAAAGAGAAGATTGATGGTGTTTGGGTCGTGCATAACTACGGGCACGCAGGCTGGGGATACCAAGGATCGTTTGGTTGTGCGGAAGAGGTCGTAAAACTTGTCGAAAGTATACCGGCACAAGCGAAACTGTAGATACTGAAATACTTTCGAACAAAACAACTAGTAGTTAGGTGAGTTGTCGAGTACCAAACATGAGGAGATGAAGATCATCCAATTGAAGTTCTCGAGAATTCGATCGCGTGAACCTAATTAGACTCACTGCTGAGATAGCTCGACCTTGGACCACCAAAACTCAGACTCCTCCCTTCCAAATTCGTCCGCCACAAGAACTGCCGGCTCTCCGATATCCTTACCTCCCATGAACTGCGTGTTGTCTTTCCCGAAGATCATCAATTTTGGGTCCTGTTTATTATACGAACTCCAAACTGGCCGTGCGCTATAAGTACCGCCAAGCGTATTTGGAGAACCGGTGCAGATGAAGCTGGTGATGTACGCGTGCAGTGTACCAGACAATTCATCCAAACTTGGCGCAAGAGCGCAGATTTCAGGATCCCTCATTTCGAAGAACATGTTGTCAGCGTGACGCGCTCCCTCGACGATGTTTCTTTTCAAGGCCCAGTGGTATAAATACACAGAGGTGTCTTGGCTGGCAAAGAAGGCGGTTTGGCGAACTGGGGCTACATACGCATAGTGCGCATATGCTGCTTCGATCCGCTTGTACTGTGCTCCCACGCCATGATCGAGCCTCGTTTCCTTGTAAATAGACTCGGGAACCTTTTCCGGATCAGGGTAAAGTTGATCAATCGCTTGCACTTCATCATCGCTCAACTGCGGCAGCAGCATTCTCCAGAAATCCGAGAATTCTGATGAAGTCGACATCTTCTTATTCACGTAAAGCGAACCTTCGTTGCCTTGGAATCCAGTCATGATCGGCATTTTGTGCCATCTACCTGTTCGCCAGGCATCGATTGGTCTGCCACGGATGACTTCTTTATCGATCACTGGTTGAAAGGCCCAGCGAAGACTGGGGTTATACTTTTGAAAAACCTTAGTTTGTGCTTGAGCAATAGTTTCCGTTGGAAGGCTGCGAAGGTAGCTGAAAACTTCAGAATCGTGTAAAGATGCAGGGGTGTCAACTGCTTCCAAGAAGTCCTTGAACTGCTGCTCGTGAATGTCTGCATCTGGTTGTCGCACAGCACGAGATGTCGGTGCGCCAGATTCAATGATGACACGATGGAACTTGGGTGGTCTGCTTTCCTCGTAGTTTAACAGATGATGCCCAATCTGTAGCAAAGTCAGCTCGTTGTTGAGGGGAGGAACTGCAGGCTTACGGAGTGTGCTCCGGCCGAAAGCCCAACGAGGGTCACGTTGTTTTTATCACCTCCAAAATGATGAATGTTTTCCTCGACCCAGTCCAGCAGGTAGATCTGGTCCTTCAGGCCCAAGTTGAGCGCCCCTTCCAAAGCGCTCAATCGCGAGGGCAGAAAACCTAGAGCTCCTATCCGATATCCGAAGGATACGCCAATGAACGGAAGCTCCGAAAATCCCACCATTGAAGCTGTGTTGTGACCGGCAGCAGTGCCACGATTGAAAGCTCCTCCGTGGATGTAGACTGCTACTGGAAGTGGAGATGAGCCACTATGTTGTGCTTGCCGAAACACATTCACAGTTAAACAATCTTCGCTTTCCTCCAATGTTGGTCCACACTTGATGAATTGCTGAGCCGGAGCTCTATATCCGAATTTTGTTGCGTCGATTCTCTCGTTCCCTTTCGGCACTTTGACTGGTGGTCGAAACCGCAGCTCGCCTGTCGGTGGTAATGCATACGGAATTCCTCTGAAAGCTTCAACTGCGCGAGGATATTCTTCGTCAAGTGTCGTACCCACGGCGACTCCCTGAGCGAGTTGCACTGAAGGTCCTGGCATGGTGATGGTGGAAAAAGAGTATGTCTGGAATCCTCTGTATGTCAAATGAAAGCGATAACGTGGTCAGGTCCTGCGACAGAGATCTGAACAAGTAAGAGCAATATACTTGGCTGAGGATCCACTGCCGCGACAAACGCAAGACTATGATCTACCGATTCGTCACCTGAACGAGCCGTCACTTACGTACGTTCGGCGTTTGAGTGATTCGCTATCGCATCCGTCGGATCTATCCGGCTAGCCCGGCTTAGGCCTGGTGCGGCACACACCATCGGTAATCCGAGTCATTAGACCTATCGCGGTCTGGTCTGAGATTGGACAGAACCGAATCTCGACAACCTGTATGATTTCAAAAGCTCAAGACTCAGAAGCTTGGGCAATCGGGATCATACGCATCGAACGCATCCCACCAGCTAAATGCATTCTGCGAGATCCCGTTGAAAAATAAGTCCGCAGGAAGTCCAGGAGGAACTGCTACGGATGGGCTCTGCGAAAGAGGAGCGGACGGTATCGGTGCTTCGTTCAGCTCATTGAGGGGCAGTAACACAGATCTCTGAGGAGCCGCTTGTGAAATCTCCTCATCTTGAGCAAGCGACCCATTGTCGTCGGGCTGGTCGATAGAAGGTCTTCTAGACAAATGAACCCAGTGCGACGGGCTTGTGTCCGCTTCTATCGTCCGGGGAGTCGTTTGCGCGTCACAGATCCCGATAGTAGCATTGTCGCAGTATGGTGGACAGATGTCCAAGATATTTCTGAGTCGTGATAGATCAACAGCCACACTTCCAGATCTACTAAGATTGGATGCGTACGTAGTCGAGATGACCTGGCTCAGATCGCCCAACTTCTTGTCCTTGACAACACGTGAGCTTTTTGATCTTCGTTCGACTTAATCAATCGAAACAGCACGAAGAGCGCAAACAAACATCGTTCACTCACCAAGTCAGTCATTGACGCAAAAGACGGCGCAAGACTGCGTATAAAGCGCCGACAGCTTTCGATGTTGCGTTGTTTCTTTTGTGCGGCGGCCTCATCGACGGAGTACGCGAGCTGAGATTCAATGGTTGCAACGACAGCGGCGCAGTAGCCCAATATCGGGTCTGTAACGCGGAAGCATCGTGCCTCAATGAACGCAATGAAGTGCAAAAGCCAGCGTACATGGCGTGCGACGTAGAAGGACGATTGCTCTCGAAACAGTTCGGAGTCATTGCCGTTGGCCTGAAGCTGTAGCGTTACCATAAGAGGATGATTGAGCAGGCATATCATAGTATGATAAAGAAAGCGACTGAGGAGCCATGGCGCCCAGTACTCGCGACTTTCTTCAAGGTCGTGGAGGGTCAGGTCGCGGAATGCAATATGATTGTATCTGTGCAATGGCTGTAAACGAGTCTCAATGCTCATCACATCTGCCATAGCCGCTGCGTATCTGGAGGTGGTTAACCATGGGGACACGTCAGATGTGAACGCCAGACAGGCTCTGACGTAAGCCATCACCTTGCCCCATGCTTTGCTCATCTCCAAGACAAATATCATGACTCCATTATCGCCCTGCGACTGTTCATAGGCTTCTCTAAAGCCAGGGCGAAGAGCGGATCTGGTTGGCATGAAACAGCTCGAGGGAAAAGGTAGGGCTGCCGAGTCTAAGATGTTACTCAATGGCGAGACTAGACCGAATAGGTTTCGGAGTAAAGTAATGCTCCAGTAGCAACATCTGGTTTCTTCTCGGACCGAATTATCGGGAGCTGAAGATGTTGCCCGAAAATCCACGTTTTGGGCCAGCATCGATGTGAGAGCTAGTATAGAGGAAGCTGTTGTCGGGCTACCACCTAAGATCATCAGGCTGCGTGTATCAACATTAGGAGTATGCGAACCCACTTGAATGATCATAGAAGACGATAAGACACAACGTTTGCAAGGTTGAGATGTCGACTTTGCCTTGACCGATCTGTTTCATAGCTAACAGATGCGCAGAGTCCCTGAGGGCGCGATCTCCTTGGCCAACAGTGTCACTGGCGACACCTCGGGAGTATCGAAGGGCATTCGCGATGATCGCAGACAACGTCGAATCATCCCTATCGAATAGCGACTCGAGAAAGTTCTCCATAGGAAATAGAGGCAGTGGCTGGTTAGCGCAGAACATCAAGTACGTCTCACCGAGTTCTTTGATTTCATCTTTCCTGAGCCGTCTGACTTGCTCTGAATCTGCTCCACCATTGAGCATCACCGTAAGGGGTGGCACATCAGCGCTTTCAGAGCCATTATGCGTATTATTCGCATACACCGTAGATGGATTCTGGGTTTGCGTCCGACCGACAACTTCAGTCGACTGAAGTGTATCGAGAATTCTGGTTACAGTGGATTCAAGTGTTACCATGCGATCATCCTACCAAGTATCAGCTTGTGCCGGACCTAATCAAGGCGGGTACCAATGAATACCAAGTTGCGCCCATCATTCGCTATTTGCACAGAATTCGGAGAACCCGAGACTGTGAAGACGTTTTGAATAGCTCCAACAGGGTGATGAAACGGGTGCAAAGGTTCGCCATAGTATACGCAGTGCTGTTCAAGCCTCCAGCAGGTGCCGCAAGTCGGCCTCTCTCCAGAGCACTTGCTCTTCTTGCGTCGGCATGGCTCGCAAGCTTGCCGGATCCTTTTTGCAGGGCGGCCATGATTCATATCAGCGACAAAAAGAGATGCGGCTTGTCGACTAGATGCTCACGCAAGCCTGTGGCAGTGAGTCGCAACAGATCCTCTAGGCTAGTTTCGCCTAGGTTGATGTTCGGAGCCGTGCACGCACTAGCCGCTATCGATAAGAATGTCTGCATTCGTGATCGCTTGCTAACAGCCGTTCGTCGAACAACCAATGACACAATCCGACTTTTTTTTGGGTCCCGGGAGCCAGAGGGCTGTCAAAATGCTTCACATCTGAAACTAAGGTAACGCTCTCTGCCGTTTACCGCTCAATTAAGATTAAGCAACCTGCACATCCGCCATGATTATTATTCATTGCTTCTGTGATGACCAATGCTCTGGAAAACCCACATGTTCATACGTTTCACGGAGAAATGTCAGTAATCTCCAGATAATGGCAGTGGCAATTGAGTACTGGGCTGGGGATATCTGGAAAGAGCAGAACACATGGTTAAATCACTCAGAGGTCTTGGACGAATATTTCATAGCCACGGTTTCTGGATTGTGAACGAGGAAGACTAGCGTGGGTAGCTGCCGGCATACATTCCCTTGGTGCGATCATAGCCCAGCTCAAGCATCCTTGGCCGACATAATACGAAGTGTATGGTCTGATTGTGTGCTAGGCGACTGGAACCCACTGAACAGATTAGTCTGTACACAAGTGGGTGTTGTGCTTAACAATCTCCTGAGATGTAATAAAAACTCGATCAAGTTGCGATCACTAATCGGTCCCCGGACCAAAATCTGGACGTCAGCGGTCCTGGAGAAGAGGCAGCTGCTTGTTATTGAGGATTCAAACAAAGGGCCAAAGTGCTATAAATATAAAGCACGAAGTGTTAGACACATACTGCAACTCAGCATCTCTCACATCTACTCTTTATCTCTTCACGATCAACAAATCTGCATACCAGCAGCTCAGATCATGCCTTCCACCACCTATCTTATTACAGGAGCCAACCGTGGCATTGGCAAAGGTCTCACTGAGAAGCTTCTGCAAAGACCTAACACGACCGTCGTTGCTGGTGTTCGAGATACCACTGCGTCAGCATCCGTTTTGAGCAGCCTGCCAGTGGCAGCTGGCTCCAAAGTCGTGATTGTCAAGCTTGACTCTCAATCCGAGACAGATGCCAAAGAAGCCGTGTCCCAGCTCAGTTCGGAGTACGGCATCACATCCCTTGACTTTGTTATCGCGAATGCAGGCGTCGCCCACTCCGGCACATCGGTTGCAGAAACGTCAAGCGAGAGTCTTCGTGACCACTTCAACACAAATGCAATCGGTCCTCTGATTCTTTTCCAAGCTGTGAAGCCACTACTTCAAGCGAGCAAAAGCGGGAACCCTACCTTTCTGGCGATTTCAACTATTATTGGTAGCATGGGAGCCCAAGAAGCACTTGCCGGGCTTCCGGCTGTGTTGAGCCCCTACGGCGCAAGCAAGGCTGCGTTGAACTGGCTGGTTAGACGACTCCATTATGAGGAGGCTTGGTTGACATCGTATGTAACTCATCCTGGCCTGGTTCTGACAGACATGGCGTCGAGCATGATGGGCTCGCCTGAAACAGCTGCGGCGATGGGTGCTATCACTGTCGACGTCAGTATCGCTGGCATTCTGAATACCCTCGACTCTGCCTCTAGGGATATCAGTGGTACTTTCCAGAATTACGATGGTACGACACTGCCCTGGTAGGATACAGCGCCCGGGAATTGGGGGATGGAACATCAACGGTCTATGAAGTACTTTGCATTACTACCTAGGACAATAGAATCTCGATAATCTACATCGCGATTGTATTCATAACGTAACTAAGTAACCTTTGAATGCATTGTAGTTCTAAACTTTTCGTCGACCGAGTGACTGATCGCTGATTGCCCTTCAAATCTTGTTCAAGGGGTCAAGGGGATGAATACTGCAAAGACAGCAGCGACCACACAACCACAAGACATGGACAATTAACTACCACACCTGAGTGCCTCTAGTGATGACGAAGTAGTGTTTTTCAGCAATCAATATCGACTAAACCGGCATTGAGATACCGTAATACAACAGTCGAGAAAATGACAATAGAGCTCATCAGTAAGGATCCACGATTGCATGCCTTGATTATGTAATGGGTTTAGTGTACGTCAACAAAAGGATCGATTCGGAGTTATTGGGCCATTGTAGAACACAATGTGCGGAGGAAAGGAACATTATATGTCAAGGTAGGTGGAAAGGAAATTTGATACTGGGTCCGCGTCGCCCATGATTACTCGAAAGCACAGCTATAACTCAATCACCAACTTGCTCCCGGACACCTTTTGTTCGCGCAACTTTTGCAACCCAGGAAGTATAGCATCAATACCGCCAATCTCTCGCGTGATAGGAAGAGGCTTTAATAGATTCGTTAGTCGTGGCAAGGCTGCATAGAACCGGACCAGTAAATCACGATCAGACGGCTTTGCGGGGAACTTCGGTCCAATAGGCGGCAGCCACTGGAATTCGTGGCCAAATAAAGTATATGCCATGATGAGCTCGTGCTTGATTGCCGGTGTGGTCGATTTCGAGGAGGGCAGTAGAGTTATTACTTGGCCACCATTCTTTCCAATGACAGTATCACAGATCTTTGTTGACTTGCCCTCCGAGAAACAATCGACTGCGATCTTGATGTTAGGGAAGAGGTTTGAAATCTCAGCACCAACATTCGCATCTCGGTAGTTGAAGACAGCGTCTGCACCATAGCTCTTAACCAGGTCGAAAGAATGCGGCGAAGCCGTTGCGACAACTTTGCATCCAAAGGCTTTAGCCAGCTGGATAGTCGAGAGACCAGCGGAAGTTGAACCGGCATACACGAAAATGGTTTGAGCCTCCTTCTTGTCCTTATCATTTGGCTCCAGCAGTGTCTCGATGTGAGGAAAGCCGAGACGACCACATAGAGCCAGCACTGCCGTAACAGCCGATACACCGTATGTAGTTGCAGCAGCGTTATTGATCGTGTCGGGAACCTTCCAGGCAAGATCACCATCGATCTTTAGAAACTCGGCGAATGAGCCTCGATCCGCGTACAGGCCTCCATGGACGGCACCAGCTACTCTGTCTCCGACTTTCCAGAGCGTGGCTACACCTTTTCCCACTTTAGAAACCTCGCCAGCATAGTCGCAGCCGACAATGCAGTTGGGAGGAGAGATAGCGTCGATATGCTTATAGTCGGTCGCGTTCAATGCCACGGCGTGTACTTTCACAAGAATCTCGTTATCTGAGATCTCGGGTACTGAGATCTCTTTCCATTGGGCCCTGGTCGCGGTAAGGTTTTTCCCGAGAGTCAGGCTCGCGACTCTGGAGTAAAGACTGTTCGTAGTGATGAGTGCTTTCATGATGCGTAGACTTGATGAAGACGAGAGTTGGGCTTTACTCGCAAGAGGTCAAATAGCGATTGTTGCTCTCAGGTCTGGCAGCGAGCAAAAAGCATGCGACAACCAAGGTGTGTCATCGATACGTTCTCGGTCTGGCTTTGGAATTCGTCCATGATGTCGGAACCGAAAGATTAGTGAACATGCGAGATATTTGTCCGCCGCCTCCCTGAGTCTTTGCGCGACTGAGTTCCTTGATTCCTACCTAGGTAAACAGAACTGGGTTTCTACAAGCACTCACCTACAGGATGCCAGATACATTAGGCTGGAGACGGAGCAACAGTCACCCCGAAGGTGTATGTTTCTCCCCGATTGGGACACTAGCGACCTAAAAGTGGGGCCGGCCGCTCGAGACCCTTATCATAGCACCTACCTATACCCAAGCAATCACTAGCTTTGCCTTTCAGACAAGACTTTCAGGTGTATTTTCGAGCCACTGATCCTCCCGATCATTGGAATAACCGATTCCGATGGAGTAGGTCTCCACTGTTCACCTGGACCAATTTCCCCCAAGAACTGGATTCATGAGTTCCACGTTTCGTCCTTTGTTACACTGCTTTAGTGAGTGAAATCGTCAGACATACGGTTCTCGTAGCTTGCAATTGCCTTTACCCGGTTAGGAAATAGTATACTTCTTACAGTGCGTTGATGTGTTTAGCACATGTAGCCGTCCCCGCTTGTCTCTAAAAAAGCTACTATTGATGAATCCAGTACACCTGACCAATTTTAGCACGGATCTTCGGAGGTGACTGCTCAGCAGGTTTCAAATTGCAACCTCTGTGACGAAAGTGAGTGCTATTCTGGAGGTCAATCTGCAGAAGAGGTCTCTTAGATACTCTTATACCCTCTCTCTCGTCGATTCTCGCAAGCGTTGAGTGGCAATGTTGATATTGAACCCTGAAAATACGCATTTTGTGAATCTGATCGAGATTTGTAGTGATGGTATGACACCGTCCACCAAGTCTTGTAAGATTTGTACCGCACCGAGGTCGAGGTCTACGTACCGAGCTCTTGATAGAAATGCATGAAAAACGCTGATTGTTCGGGTAGAGTCTCAAGTAAGGCTTTTTGAAGCTGTCCCAAGGACTCCTGCCTTGATCATTTCATGCTGTCTGACCTAAAGACCACCTTGTATATCGTCACACCGCAAGCGCGTCGCCGACGATGGCTCGCGCAGCTCGTCACCCACAAAAAAGTCGCGCCTGAGTGAGTCGACCTTGGCCGCCTCGTACCGCGAGCGCCTGCAGACGACGTACGGCGACTGCTGTGCATGCAGCGTCGCACACTACCTGCATGCGGCGCACGTGATTGACAAGGCTGCGCCCGACCTGCCCAAGCTGCGTAGACAGGAGCTGTCCAGCCGAGCCAGCATGCCGCATACTGCGCCAGCCTATCAGAGGTCGCAAGCGCGCCGGAAATACCTCTTCAACTTGCTGATTCGAGCATTCATTTGTACGAGCGTCGCGGTGAAGACTCCCTTAGCCCTGTCGTCAAGGGGACGCTGATGTGTGTGTGCTGTTTGGTGATCTTGCCCGAGACGTGGAAGATGGGCTGTCTGTCAACCTGCGTCCCATACTACACTGTCCAGGCCGATCCAGGTCCCTATGTCCATTCCGTAGTAGAAGGCGGTGTTATCATAGTCGTCTGGGCCGAGATATCGGCCTAACAGCTCGCCGCTCGAGCTAATCGGGTCCATGGAGACGTCCGCAGAAAGCCGGGAGAGGGGCTGTGGCGATCTGTGGCTCTCTGACTGATTCTGTGGGAGAGTCAGTGATATGGTGCCGGTTCGGGGCGCGGGATTTGAGTCGGGCCCCTGCTCGAGGGCGTTGTCGAGAGTGCCGAGGAGGGAACAAAGGGCTTCCATGGCGATGGTCCCGGTGCGCATCCGTTTCTTTGCAAAGCGGGCCGCGTGGTGGATGAGCTGGTTGTGATCAGCAACGGCCGGCTTCATGAGTTACAAGAAGAAAAGTCTCAACGCACATCCAGATCAGTCTTACGCAGCATGGTATCTGGGTGCCTCATCAGATGCACCGCTAGCACGTACAGCGCATGTAAGGCCGCGTTTGTGTGTGGCACCAAGAGCGCAGCCTCGCTCTCCTCGGCGTCGATGAAGAGCTTGATGAGCTTCCGTGCAGTACTCGCTACCATTGGCTGGCCGTTACGAATCACGTGGCCCCAGGGCTCATCCTTGGAAATTACCTGAGTGACTTGGTGCGCCGTGTCGCTGATGAGAAGGGAGTTCCGGAGCAGCGCAAGCAGCGCGTTGTAGTAGTGGAGTGAGATGAAAGCAGCGTGGGCGAATGTGCGACGCTCGTAGATCAAATCGGAGCCCGGGCGCAGGTAATCTGGTAGGCTTTCTGCCCAGTGCATCAGTTGAATGCAGCATTCTGCTGTGATTTTGACTTTTTCTGCGACCAGGCGCTGAATTTGCGCAGTGCCGGATGCTTCTTCTCGGTCGCGGATGTCGATGCAGCGCGTCCCGATTTCACCGAGGACCTTTGCAAAGCCGACGATTGTCTTGAAGAATTTGGCGGCTTCTGTTTGCTCTTGCGCGGAGGGTTCGTTATTGTGTACACCCGCGTTGTCCATTATTGTTGTGCAGCTCATTTCCGCGTACTCCTCAAAACAAAGAGAAGACTTCCGGCCCGTTTCGAAAGAAATGAGATTTTCAAGGACAAAGATCGACCACCAAGTCCGCATCCCGTCTTCTCGATTATAACTCAAATCTGCTGCAAGGAGATTTCTCGATTTGCCAAGTCCTACGGCTATTGCCATGGAGCAACATAGGGTGAGTGTAGACCATGCCGAAGCAACATCGTCATGATGGTACATATCGAGTGCCAGTAGGAAGAGGGCTTTGATGTTGGGAAATGTAGGACGTCCGATCAGCCTGCCCAGTAGATCCTTCACGAACGCATATACTTTGCGATCCGGATCAGCTTCCGGAATCCCGCTGGAACCAATGTCAACGGCGACCAGCGCTTCGACAATCTGCGGGAGGCTGTCTAGGGTTGACACCAGCGTCATGATTCCATGCGTCCGTATCTCTTCTAGCGCGGTATACACGTTGTCTCTGTTTACAACGGGGTACACTGGATGAACGTTCTTGAAATAATGTGAAATCCGGGTCTCTGTATCTACAAGATTTGAAAGTGAGGGAGCCGTGCTAGGGAATGGATCGTGATGCTGTCCGACCATGAGCGGAGTCCTCGGTGCGAAACAATGTCCAAGGCCTAGCCTGAACGAGGCTACATTAAGCCAGCCAGTAAGAACATCAACGCTTGTAGAGCTGACTTCATGCTTGAATATTGGTAACAAACCACGGAATCTTCGACCAGTGGCATTGTTGTGGGGATCATGGTTGTCGTCTGCTGATGCATGTACTTCTTCCACCTGCGCGAGCGAACCCTCGTCAGTATCATCAGCATGCACTGCGAAAGGCGCAGTTCCAGGCGATGAATTGCTCACTGTGCGAGGCTGTAAGAGGTGCGCTGGAGCATCTGCGGAGTGCGTAGATACCGAGGGGCTGTCGGGTCCTTTGCCAGCTTCACGGCGTTCGACAAGGTGATGGGGTCTCCTCGGGTCCGTAGTCACGCATACCAGTCCTGCTGCAAGACACGCGTGGCAGGAGGGCTTCTGCTCATCACACCTGGTCTTGCGGCTGCGGCAGTAGTTGCAAGCCAGATTCAGCCGTCGGCGTTTTGGCGCCGGTGTGACTTGATTGCTTGCATTTCCACGGGCATTAGGCACGTCAGATCCGAGCAAGGACATCGGCTACGATATTGACTGGGCGGGTCGTATTGTCAAAAGCTGAGATTTCGAAGCGAGGAAAGGATCGATTCCGAGGGATCTTTGTGAGATCCCGAAGAGTCTTATGTTAAGCTCGCCAATCGGAATCATGTGTGTGACCCGAGGTTGTGTCAGGGCGGGGAATTAGCGCGGCACTAGCCGTCAATCGAGGACGCACACATTCACAATGTGCAAGCAAGCTACAACCAGGTCCTTGACGTAGCCGAAACAATATCCCGCGGTCGTAATCTGCTCGGGATGTGGAGATCTGGGGTGCAGATGCGGAGAATCTGGGGAAGATGGAAAGCTGGCTAGCCCAGGACAACGTCAACCAGACCTCACCCGAACTCATTCAAAACATCAGCGCATTGTCCATCCAAACAGCAGCTACTGGGTATTGACAAACCCACCCTTAGAGTGACCATACTTGTCACTACGGTGGTCAGAGCCGAAGTCATGTCATCACAGACGACCCATCAAAAAGACGCCATGAGCACCATCGAGGACATCGAAGCGAGCCAGGAAATTGAGCATCACCGGGCGCGTGGGACTGTGAAGCTCCTGGATGACAATACAGTCATTCTCATTCCAACTCCAAGCCCCGATCCTAAAGGTAGGTACTGTTGTTGCGAAAGTGTGGCAACCCAGCACAAGCTAATATATCGATAGATCCACTAAACCTACCTAAATGGCACAAGTTCACAATTGTTTTCATTGTAGCAGTCTATGGCGCCTTCTCTGTCCTCTGCACCTCAGCTTTGGGGGCTGTTGCACCGGTCCTTATACATTTGTACCCTCCAGAGGACGCAGAAAGAGCCACGGACCTCCTGACGTATCCGACTTTGTTCATGGGCATCGGTAACTTGATATCGATGCCTTTATGTGAAGCTATTGGCCGACGGCCAGTCTTCCTGGCAACTTTGGTGCTTTGCATTGCATCTTCCATCTGGTGTGCAAACGCGAAGACGCTCAGCAGTCATATTGCTGGGCGTAATGTGTTCAGTCTGGCTGCGGGACAGAGCGAGGCATTGGCACCCATGATCGTCCAGGAGATATTCTTCCTCCATGAACGCGGCCGAGGTCTTGCGTGGTTTGTCGGTATCGAAAATGGTATTGCGCCTTCATCTATCATCTTCGCTTCGTTAAGCTGATCAGTCCCTAGTCATTGTCGCAGTCATGTTCTATGCCACTACAGTCATCATACCAAACCCACAATTGGGGTTGAAGTGGTGGTATGGAATTATCGCAATCATCAACGCGGCACTACTTACCCTTGCATACGTTTTTCTTTATGAATCGAAGTACAACCGGCCGTCCGATGCTGAATGTGAGTCCTTGCGAGAACTCAAATGTTGTAACATTTTTTGACACATTATCAGCGGGAGAAGTGCATCTGAGATTCAATGACAACGGAGAAGTTGACAAGCAAGGACAACAAGAGGCCATATTCCGTGTCACGACAGCTCAGACCCATCGAATTGACGAGGGTACTTGGGGGCCGCGTACTTGGAAACATTCTTTGAAATTGATCAGTAACAAACCTAACTGGTGGGCGACAGTTCGTTTTTACAAGGAAACCGGACAGGGCCTTCTGATTCCCACTCTCTTATGGCTTTTATTACTCAACGGAGCATACCTTGGAGTGTACGTCTACCATGCGTCGACATTCGCTCAAATTCTCGCACAGCCACCCTACCTATTCAAAAACCAATGGCTTGGACTTATACAATTGAGCCAGGTTGTGGCTGCGACGCTGGTAGTACCTCTCCTAGGATACGGCTCTGACATCATCGTCAAAATGATGAGTCGAAGGCACAAAGGAGTATACGAACCAGAATTCCGCCTCATCAGCCTGGCTGTGCCTGTTGCATTGATGATCATGGCGTGCGTCATCTACGGCCGTGCAGCAGAGGAGCATTGGCATTGGGCGGCCATCGCACTTACGTATCATATTGGGTTCTTTGCTTTCAATGGGGCTAATCTGGTTGCCATCACCTACCTGGTCGACTCGGTAAGCTGGCCGTCCGGTATATGGGCATAAGCTCTGCTAATGCATTGTTAGTTTCCAAGCAAAGCAGGTCCTCTGCTCCTACTGGTATGCGCAGGACGAGGCTTTATCTCTTTCGGATTGAGTTACTCAACTGTGCCCGCAGTCCAGGTACTTGGATACAAAACCTCCATGAACATTTTTGCCATCGTTTGCGGTGTCCTTGGCGGCATTGCAATCCCAGCATACTTCTTTGGCAAGAGAGTTCGAGAGACCGCTACCAGACTCATTTGGAAGCTCTGAAGGGGGAGTTTAGTTAATTCTAGTTTGCACAATCTGTAGGGTTGAACTAACAACTTTGTCATCGAAGGATTCTGATGTAGGATAGATACTCTGAGTAAGAGCATGTCTGTAAATGAGTTCAAAGGCTTTAAGACTTTTCGTTTTATAGAGGAATCATTTTGTCTTACGTCCATCACTTCTATGCAATGGCTTTTCCAAGTTGTCGATTAATGACAGTTCTGGACATCTATATACTGGAGAAAACTCAGAAAAGTGCTCACCATTTCGTTCGTCTCACCATATTTATCTGTTACCAGTATATTCTTGTGCACACCAGTACCCCGCACTTCGGGTGTACAGTATACCGATTATGCGAGGAAGATAGGTCATACTAGTATGACTAGTGTTTGTTAGATGGAGGCTTCAATTCACTGTTTACATATGCACATCTGCAACTACGTATCATGTCTTCCGTAGGCATACCAATGCAGGCGTTCGCCTTGACAGGGTCCAGGATAAGGAGATCAAGGAGCTGGTGAATGTCGGTGTAGAGTACATGGGTCAGAAGCACAGCTTAAACTAATGATGTGTACAGCTCGCATTTTGTTCTTGTTCTCATAAAACATGGCTTTCGGCTCTAGACAAATGGTAAGATGACGTGGCTAGGTGTTTCACCTCCTACATGAAGTCTGTGAGTACCCTTGTTGTTGAGATGATCCAGGGTCCCGAAGTTATCAATTGCTCGCGACCGGCCGCTGACCTGGACGCGGATACCCTCGCCTGCCTCATACTCGTTCCCGAACGCCCAGATACCAACGTCCAGCCTCACCACTGTACCCTGAGGTATCTTCTCTTCCTTGTCGTGTGGATGAAATGGCCAATGAGGGTGCATACTCTGTGATTCATCAATAGAGCGTAGAGAAGCGCGAAGTATACCACTCGGACCACGGTATTGTACGACCTCGGTTGCTTGCTCTGGTTTGAAGTCACTGAAGGTCTTAACTGGGAGGCCTGACCATGGCACGTTCAGACTAATCATTGGCTCGCCAGACACGGAAAGCTTCTCCAGCTGAATGTAGATGTCCATGTCATCGTGATCCGGACATGACATGAATAGGACAGCTTTTGGAAGACCAACGAGGCGAGTTGTCTTGGGAAAGACGTAAGTGAACGACACGCTCTCGGAGCTTTCCGAATTGTACGAGAGCACTGCAGCATCGGCCGGAGAGCCCGATGTCAGTTTACCAGATGCCTCGAAATACATCTTCTTGTATTCTGTCCTTGGAATTGGAAAGTCGTCTTCGATCACATTCTCGTACGACTGGGGTTTGTCTGGATGTGGTTCTCCAAAGCGTAGGATTGCCATCCTGACTCTAGGAGTCTTCTCCCATCCGTTGTCCTTGCCCTGCAGAAAATGATCCATAAACTGGAGCAGCTCTTCGTTTGCCTGTGAGTTGCCCCAGAGATCATACCATTCTTGCCAAGGATGCCATCTAAGCCACTTCTGTGCGCTGTCGACCTGGAGCCATCCTCTGATGGCGCCCATCCCATGCATGGTGTTGGTCCAGGTGCCCGTGATGTATGTAGGGATATTGATATCTTTCATGTTAGGTCGCTTGTCGTTCCACCACTTGTTTGCGAGAGGACTCTTTTGAAACATCTTTCTGGACGATTCCACTCCCTGTCGACCATGCAGCATATACTTGACGATCAAGTGGTCAAACAAATCGCCGGAATAGATTCCACCTCGGGCAAATTGCTCGCGATACAAGTCTCCGCAGCCTTCCCAAGGAGCAATGGCTACAAGGTGTGGTGGTCGCGTAGCTGCGATGAACCACTGTGCAATCGCAAGATGACTGTTACCTGCCATTCCTACTTTCCCTGAACACCATGGCATCTTGGCTAATGCTTCGATTGTGTCGTAGCCATCTTCCGCCTCCTGTGACCCTAAGACGGCCATGACACCTTCCGAATCTCCTGTGCCTCTAGTGTCGATGTTCACGATGGCGTAACCTCTAGGGACCCAGTCTGCTGGATCAGGTGCTTCGAACTTTTCCAAGCCGGATAGCGTGCCGGGTTTGATCCCCAAGTTCCAGGGAGTCATAAGAGCTAGGCTCATCAACCCATTGAACTTCTTCCCGAACGGTGACCAACAGAGAATTGCAGGCACGCTCGTTGACGGTTCCGGTGGCCTGTAAACGTCCGCATAAAGTGTGATCCCATCGCGCATCTTGATGGCGACATCATGCTCCACAAGGATTGGCGAGGAAAGAGGTTTGGCATCGGGATGATCATACTTCCAGCCAGCAGGTAGAACCTCATCATGTGGATTAAAGGTGACGTATCCACCCTCTCCGAGCTTTGGAGCCGAGATCGGGTCGATGGGTATTTCCAGATCGTATGATATTGATGTAGGCATAACGAATTCTTAGCTTCCAAGTGAAAGAAGTTGTCGCGCCCGGCTTCAAAACGGGTTGTCGGTCTGCTTTTATCTCGTCGAGGAAGATGAGGAGGAAGATGGGTGATTTTGAATTAATGTCACACGCAAGCGTCTGCATCAGATGCTGATTCCGATTCAGGACTGAGCTTTTTTGTACGCTTTCAAGCTTATTGATAGCTGCCCGTGTAGCGGACCTCTCGGCATCCGTTGCCTCTACGGGCAGGTACCGTCGGCACCTCCGCAGCCGTGTGAGCCATGATCGTCAGGGTAACTACTTAGCTCCACATAGTTGATGTTCGCTGCACCACCTGAGATGGCTCACTGTTGATAATGCAACTTGTCGGCAAGTGGAGTGATTTCAATAGGTTAGTTTGCTTCTATGCTCCGCGGGTCGGTTAAACTTGGCTTGGAAGACCCACTCGGCTCGGATACATACGTTCGGCTCGGAGTGTTGTCTCCGCGGAGGCCTCACCATCCATACAATCCCCACGTCTCGGGAACCGCCTATCGAGATGCTTATTTTCTGGCAGTGTTAGACACTGAATATAAACGACATGTCTCTAATCATTCCAACTGTCAGTATACGCAGCAGCCAAATTTGACCTTGAAAGGCGCATCTAAAGCTACTTTAGGTACCTAACCTATTCAATATCTCACAATGGCTGCCGTCGCCGTCGCGTCCCCGTCCCAGTTCCCAATCTACCGAGAAAGCAGCCGAGACATCGGCACACGTCCCAGTGGTGACTTACAGGCCACTTATGAGGACCCAAGAACCGCACCGAAAACGAAGGCTTCGCAGGGATACCCGCTGTCAGTCCACTTGACCCCAAAACCGCCAGGTCCCAATCAGCTTTACAGACAGAAGGATGTAGTTTATGGTGATTGGCGCGATGATCTAGTCCGCGATGGCTTTGTTGTTGTCAAGGGCGTGATACCTAAGGAGCGCGCCCTGGCGTATGGAGATGCGGTCTTCGACTACCTCGAAAGCTTGTAAGTATGAGATCTGCTGCATCTTAGCCAAGCAGCCTTGTAAATTTCTTTCAAAACTTTGCTGAAATTATTGATCAGTCCCACTGGAGGGTTTAAACGTGAGGAGATTGCAACCGTCCTCGAAAAGAATTTACCTGTGATGAACGAGAAGGGCATGATATTCGGTTACGGCATCAATCACGAGGAGGTTGCATGGAACGTCCGTCAAGAGCCTGGTGTGATAGCTGCGTTCGAGAAGCTACATGACACCCCTGATATTCTGGTGAGCTTCGACAGCATGAACATCCAGTGGCCAAACCGTCCTGATCAGAAACCCAACACGCCATGGCCTCATCAGGATCAAGATCCCGCGACCGCAAGCACCTTCCGATGTATGCAGGGCATCGTCAATATCCTGCCCAATGGTCCAAATGACGGTGGCCTGTATGTCTGCAAGGGAGCACATGCCATGTCTGAGGAGTTTCACAGATTGTTCAAGGATGAGCCGGACAAGATCTGGTCGTGGACACACGAGTGGTATGGTTTCACCGCCTCTGGAATGAAGTGGCTTGAAGAAAAAGGCTGCGAGTGGGTCAAACCGAGCATGGAGCCCGGCGATCTGATTATGTGGGATTCACGGACGCCCCACTACAACCTTGTACCAAAGGGCAACATCCCAAGGATTGCCTACTACACATGCTATGGGCCAGTCACCGATGCGAGCCCTGAGCAACTACTGAAGAAGAAAGAAGCCTTTGAAAAGACCATGGGAACTACCCATTGGCCAAATGCCCTTCATGTCGGCGGCTTATTCCCAGAACGCAATGGCAAGCGATGTGAGCATGACACTGGAAAGCCGAAGAAAGAGGTCGAATTAACGGACAGAGGATGGAGGCTCACTGGCATCCCATACATTAGCCCACTTTGATGAATGTTTTATGACCATCTACTGTGCTCGTTACAGGATGCATCGCTACGTACAAATACTTGTTATCTATATAGTTATATCCTATATAGTTACACTCTATATGGCTTTACCCTATATAGTTAGATTATATGTAACAGCATCTTCAGTCGTTATATTACCTATGAGTGATCATATCCTAGGTAGTTATATCTAAAGGTTTTACTCACTAAGTAGGTATACTCTAAATATTTACGCCTTAATAAGTTATATCTTATGTAGTGAGTGATCCTATATAGCCATTAAAGAAGTTATCCACTTTGCTATACGATGTTAAGTAGTGGAAGAGCTTATTGGTGAGTTGCAAAGAACCAAGGTGACGTTTTGTATATACAGTACCCTATGCGCACCAGCCGCTTGCGTTCTGGAAGATCGGTGCGCCATTATTAGCGCTCAACTCACGCATTGTCTAAAGTACTGCTAAGATCCGTGCAAAAAGGAAAACAGCTCTGCTGCTCAAGAAGACAAACCCCGAGATATCTGGTCTTATGCGCCATTCAACCCCCGCATCGGTTACCTACAGTGACCTTCGGACCAGGTAACATGGCCTGCGTCACTGCAACAACGACCACCAAACTGGCGATACAGGGCCTTGACAGCGGCGCAGGCGTCAGAGCCTTCAACGTTGTACACCTTCAGCCTGGTCCGTGGAGCTAACTGTTATACATTACGCTGCAATGCAAATTCATGTGAGTGTTCCCGTCTTGGTGGTGTTGCTCCAGAGGTCTCGCTCCCAGTTGTTCGCTCTGAAATTCCTGCTCCTCTATGTTCCGTCACGGCCTAATGCATAACACACTCGACACTGCCTATGAATGAGTAACAGTGAAGCGCCGCCACGATTTAAACGATTAGCCATGTCATTAAGTCGCAATGAGGAGTACTGCCGTATTGCCAGTATGCTCATGCAATTCTTTCCATATGCCATCGAGATTTTTCCGATACACTTGTTACGTTGCTAGCGACCAGTCTGTTTATTGTCTTACGATGGCAGTTCAATCGCAACAACTTGCGCCCACGGCGCTGACTGACCACAATTCGCGACTGCGATTACACACAGCAGTTCCATCACCTCGTTCCACTGATACCTAGGCTCAGATCCCCTTTCGTCACTGATGGCCGCACCTCATATCCTGCGTACCTCCGGACCACCGCCAGATCTTGTATCCGAATTACGTACGCTCTTGGCCTTGAGGGCTTCGAAACAATGCTCCCTGTCAGACCAGCTTGAGTCCGTGCACCAGACAGCCAATGACAGCTGCCGGAACATGATTAAGCTGGTTAAGCATGCAAGAATAGTTGATGTTCCCGGATAGGTGATTACTGTTTGCTTTTGTTGAAGGCCGAATATGGGTCTTGAAACGACCTTGCGGTGTCTGGGCATAGGTTCAGCCTACGATGTTTAGAAGCGAGCGCAACAAGAGAGGTAGGCAGGGGAGGGCTTTCTACACCGCCGATACCTTTGCTCTTTGTACTCGCGTAGCTGGAACGTTCGACACATTGTTGGCTGATTGACACATTGTTGAACCAAAGGTACACCTCCTTTCTTAGAGTTAGGTAGTTGTTAGTAGAAAGGTCATGATGTATACAGTGGTAGCTATAATATAAGATTGAGTGATTCTAACAACCATATCAAAAAGTACAAGAAACTTGAATTCGGGGTCCAATCTGAATGTGATGGAGGTGGAGTGAGCACGTGAATGGTGGTGCGCATGCTAGTACAGGGTCTCGCGGGATTTCTCAGTGTGCCACCACGTGCGTTACCAGCCGGCCCGAGCGGCCCGAATAATTACGGGTGACTGTTACAGTCAGGGGGCCAAAACCAAAACCAGATTTTAGAATCTCAAAATCCCGAAAATCACCAAAATCCTACACAAACAGTGACCTATTACTGCATAACATAACAAAAGATCTTCTTATCCTTAGTACATAAGATACTACTTAATATTCTCTTTTAAATAAGCTATTATACATTAAATTTAGATAGTAGGGTTTTGCAGAATCTTTAGTTAAAAAAGGTAACTTTTAGACAAAGTTCTGCTATCTTTACACCCTAATATCTTTATAACCACATGTTGGAATTTGCTTGTTAATAGCTTATATAAAAGAGAATTTTAAGGAGAGTAATTTAGGTTATTTAGAATTTTAATGTAGGTAGGTTAATCTTTGGTATTGTAAGGGGGGGGGGGGGGGGTACCTGCAGTGCCTGCTAAGGTTTTAGCCGGAAGACAACCCCCCCCCCCCCCCCCTACCCCCCCTCTATCTCTATAATAACGTATCAGATATATATACTTAGTAGCTTGTTTAAAAGCCCTTGCTATATAGAGTAATTGCGCAGTTTAAAAAAGGGGGGTGACTGCTGCCGTTGTTAAGATATATAAGGTCAAAGTTTGGTATCTTAGTTTTGGATTTTGGATTTTGGTTTTGGCCCCCTGACCGTAACAGTCACCCGTAAACAATGGTGCCGCAGAAAGCTCGGGCATTATTGCACTTGTGGCGGTTTGGCTGCTGTGCGCGCGGAGACAAAGTCCGGGGACCACTATCGGGCTTCGAGCGAACTTGCTGGCCTGCGCCTTACTTGGCACGACCTTATATGCGGCTTGCGGTGTCGTTGTTTGTAACATCTCATGCCATCCACTGGGAACCGACAATGAGCTTCAAGAACTCGCCAGTCATTGAGGAGAGTATTGGCAATCTCGACTCTCCTATGTACATGACCCATTACGGACAGTCTTTTAAGTACTTTCACCAGCACATCCACCAAAGGCAATTGACAGGGTCTGGAAGGCTGTTCCACCGCTATGCTGAACTGCCGGCAGAGTTGCAGCTACGCGTCATGCAGCATTGCAGTGCACCTATACTCTTCCAACTCATGCATACAGATCGCAACCTTCGTATTGAAGCCAGAAAGCTCTTCTTCTCAGGTTCAGATACTTGGTACCGGCTTAACGCGGATTTTTTACTACAACGTCCCTTGGCGACTGAGTCTTTGTACGAACCTTGCTTCCTGGCCAGCATTCAACAGCTTGAGATCTACTCCCCGTATTTGGATTTGAAGGTCTGGTCACCTGAGGTAGATGAGAAGATATTTGTCTCTTCTGAGGAATGCTCCCAATTCATCGAAAAGCACACCAAGACAAATATCCAGGCTTTCTGGTGTACCGTACAACGCTTGTGTCCTCAAGTCAAACGTATCATGTTCACTAAAGACAGAACGTTCCCTGACTACAACCTGACAATCGACTGTTTCCAAAGAATTGCACAGTTGAGTCCGCAAGGCCTTGGTGTCTTCTTCTATACGACTGAGCCAGCAGAAGAGGTTGTTGGTCGCCGTAGAAAGAGGATACTATGGCAGCTGAGGGCAAGCGACGAGATCGCGATGACGGACATGACGCTATCAAAGGCTCCTGGATTGATTGTTGTTCCACCACAGAAGCCTCATCGCGGGCACGTGGGAGATTTCATCAAATCACGAACAATCTGGGAAAAGTATTGTGGTCAGCGCTTCGCAGCTGAGTATCACCGAGCGGCAGCTGACAACAACAACAAGCAGCTAGTGGCTCTAGATCAGAGGCTCAAAGAAGCGCAGGATCTTTTCTGGGATTGGTGGGGAGACTATCCAAGTGAGCAACGGACAATAGCCGAGAGGGAGGTAGTGCATCAGTTGGAGCATGACATTCTGTATGCACAGGACAAGCCCGTTTCAGAACACGCGTTGTTGAAATTCATATACGAGGTTGAGTGTAGTCAGTCATTCTAGACGGCAAAATAAAGGCCTCTACGATGCTGAGCAGAGAATGTTGGCACTATCCTGAGAATAGTTCAGTAGTCAAGCATCCACAAATTTTAGACTCTTGAACAGTTGCTAAAGAGCAGTCTATTTCGTGGCTAGCAAATTGCCCAGCGCTACAAATCCGAGAGCTTTGATGCTACTGGTATCTACCGTACGTCCGTCGATGTCTGCGTAATCCAAAAAGCTATGCAAAGACAACGAATGGAACTGCTATCCAAGAACGACTATATAAGAACCACTCTCAAAGAGAGAACTACCGTTAACAACTTCAAGACACCAGCCATCAAACACAGCTAAAGGTCCGACCATTGTTAAGCAGCAAGGAAGTCAAGTGCGAAGATAAAGCAAACAATTAATCTCCTGCGTCCGTGCGTCTGTACTGACCGCATGCTGCTGGTGACTATAGACATTCTTCTGTTGTTAGATAGTGTACAGAATTTATGTACTGTAACGAATTACTTGATGAGCAATGCTGCAGTAAAGTTTTGTCACGTCTCTTCGAAACACTCGATCAACTCTCTAAGGATCTTTCCAAACACCCATGGCAACTCTAGCACTTTGACATTGGGATCAATAAGATCCCAAACCGTCTTACTTAAACAAAGCGTTGGTTCGACGTCCGTGATGTTTGTCAACCATTTAATCAAATCATCGCACTTTGGCGCAAAAGCCCACGTTAGTGGGTTCGCGAGGGCCGCACTGCATTACTTAGTGTTTACCCCGAGAAGTTTCAGGAAACAATGTGGACATCAGGATGGAACTTACACTCTGCACACATCAATTGTCTCTTTGTGGTTGCGCATGATAATTCTGAAGAGCTGAGAGAAAAGATACCACCTCTTTTCTTGCTCCGACGCCGCAAATCTTGCATCTGCGATCTTCTTGCCATAATCAGTGGCGGTTTGTTCGGCGGTAGACCAGCCTTCGTCGTGTGCCTTTTTATATGTCAAAACTATGCAAACAGTGGGAGACAAAGTCGCTCACGTCTCGATTGCTGTATCCATTAATCCTCATGGCCTGGAAAAATTGAGCCCACAACTTTGTGCCAGGGTTGCTGCCATCGCTCGCGTGGAGACCGAGTGTGATGGCGCCACCGTTCTGAATGCCTTCGACGATACCGGCGTCAACATAAGAAGCCCAGCTATTCGGTTTTCCGAGGTCATTGTTGATGAAGAATCTAATGACGCCCTCAATGGCAGCGAATTGATTGCCTGCGTTAAGAGAGTTGAAGAAGTCTGACTGCATCGTTCTGACATAGTCGAGGCGGGTGGTCATGGTCATGGACTCAATCTGAGTGAACGAACAGCTCAAGTCATTGCGACAATCACTGCTTGATCTAATGACGGTAGCAATGGATGCATACGGATATAGTGCAAGACCGATGAAAGGTGAAAGAAGTTGTAGCTTCACCATGATTAATTCTGGCTGGGACGGGCGGGTAGAAGTAGGGGACTGGGAAAAGCTCTTCAGAAGCGGTCCAACCGCCTTTTATCTGGCCAATCCTTCCACTTCTCCGGATGACTGTGACTCTTTATTATGCTTTTCAATGCAGCCAAGATAGTTCGGTCATCCTAAAATGTCCACCTCCGTGGCGAGTATAGAGTTGCTAAGAATGATTGTTTGTTCGTATGCCGTAGGTCCGACTAGGGTCGACTCGAACCTTGCCCAGAAAAGACCTGATCCGTGATGGACGGCGAACGATAGGGAGACAAAGGACCGACTACGATTTCCTAGTCACGATGTTTCGGCCCTTTAGTGGTGTGCGCAGAAGCTCTTCAATGGTCCATCGCGTGGGCAACGGCTGTTCGGAACGTCTGGAAAAAAATTAGACAGAATCATGATTTCTACCGGGGTAGAACTCGATAGATCTTTACTAGTTGCGCATAGCTGGTCGCTTAACCTATCACTCAAGTCAGATTTGTAAGGGTTATGAGTTGACGGTAGGTCAGTTCTAATTAGGAGGCATGGTGGTAGAATATAAGAAGCAGAATAGTAAGAGACAGTTCCTGCTGACTATATACATCTTTGTCTTGAACTCAATGTTTCATAGTTGATCTATTCATAAATGGTAATACCTAGTACACAGTAGTCGTCTCGTAGACACCGGTAGATGGATACGTGCGCTAATCTGAAGCGGGCCGCGCCCGCACCACTCCACCGCCCCACAAGCACGAGCCTGTCCCCTGTCAGAACATCCGCCCTCCCGTTTGAAGCATCGGTGTCCTTCAACTTACGTCAAGCTCGAACAGTGTGAGCACGAAATCAAACATCACACTAAACCTATATCCTCAATCCACATCAAGTGATAATGATGCGACCCGCTCGCTTCCTGTACCCTGTTTTCCTACCTGAACACATCTAGCTCAAGCGCGAAGGATTCGTCCTCGACGTCGGGGCTTTTGGGCGTTGCATCTAAGACGCTATAGGTAGAAGCTCCGCGATGATATTTCAGCACATTTGACTCCCACCAAGCCTTACAGTGGAGCTCGTACTGTTCCTTGTCTCGCTCCCGTGTCAACACGGACGAAATTCCAAGTTCAACCGATTCGACCGCCAATGCTGTGCAATGCCTACCTAGCTGACGCCATGCATACTATTTTCATCCATTTGCGGATTGTTTTGTGTTTGCATCCCCCTTTCGACACTTTTGTGCATGCAGGTGTGGTAGAGAGTCGGTTGCATCGAGCATCCGGCACGAGGGCATTGGATTGCCCACGATTTACCCCGAGACCTTGTGCCAGCGTAGCATTAACCAGAAAATTAGTCATTTTGAGACCTAGTTGGGTTTGAAACCACGCACAAGACGCATAGCGATTGGCGTGCTTCCGCATGTCGGCCAACACATCTCGCAAGCAGGCACCCCCAATCGATTTGAGGTTCAAGCTTCCAAACGTGACTGAGTTCTACCTATAGTACCAATCCACCATGTTGTATATCATAGCTGGTGCGGTGAATGTAAAGTCCGCAGCGTCCGCGCATAAATCCGCAACGGCAATTCTAGGGAACACCCAAGGACGACTAATAGCATCACGACGTCACAAGCGCGAGTAGGCCATCGAATGTTCCTGTTGGTCAAGACAGTCCAAATATCTTCGGCGTGTCTTTGACTTTTTGGTGGAAATGCGCAAGCAATGAAAGACGTAGACACTGAGTTGCAGCTTGATGGGGAACGGTAGATCGCATGTAATTCGTACATTGTGTGAATAAAGAAAAAAACGGTCTGTTAAACAGAACAAATGCATTGGCCTTTATTGTGATAATCCTTAGGCTAGCTTATATCCATCCAGATTATCAAAGTGTAGTGTATACATTGATGCTATAATCTTATGTTGAACTTTTGAGTGACCTGATTACAGACCTAAATCTTGGTCTAAGATGTCAGCTTTAACTAATGTCGCAGATACTGGATAGCCGCGCACGACTACTAGATACTCTAGAATTACTGCGATAAGTGTGCCTTTTTCTGCTGCAACAACTAACAATACTTTGCTTCGATAGTCCAATACTGCGAATCACACTATAACGAACTGACGAGTTAAAGTTCTGACAGGGCTCTTAGGGCAAACATGATGCACAAGATTTGATTGAGCTAAAAGTTATGGTGACCAATCCCGGTTGTCTGATCAGTCTTGACATCCGCTCTGCACCATTTCCAACTTCCACAATGCCATTGCTGTTCAAGAGTGGCCCTTGGGTGTTCCTTCCAAGGTTTTGTACCACAATACGATTGGCAAGCATAACGAGGGATCTACTCCTCCTCAACTCGGATAGACCACACTCCTGGTAGTTCGTGGCATTGGTGGCTGGCAAAAGCAGTGATGGCATTTCCTCCGCAGTTTCCTCCACCATAACCCCTGACTGAGATACTAATTAGAAACGGATTCGGGAGGAATGGGTGTACTAACTCTTCAGGCCGGAGCGGTGGTCTATGACTCTCAGTGAGACACTGGTGGAAGAGACGGGAACGCAAGCGCCTTTCATAAGCCCTCGAACCGGACCAGCGCCGCCGCCGCAGCCCTTCTTAGGGGAATACCGAACATCAAAGTCAGCAGCCATAGATCCAGGAGTTAACAGCGCAAGGGCTGTAGCCATGGCGGAGAGGGCACTGATGAAGAGCATGATGGATCTTCGACTGGTGCAGATGCAGAGTCGTAAGGTGACAATTGGCGTGGTGTGTGAAAAGATCAGTGCAAGGTAGTTGTGAGATGAGCCAGAATCTAGAGAGAATATCGCTGCCTTTATAGTTGATCATGAACTGTCAGTCATCCACGTGATATTCTTTTGTAACACCAAGTTATCCTCTTTCCGGGCGTTCTGTGGATACTGGTGCACATAACTCATATGAGGGACGTACAGACCCCGCAGCTTGTTAAACGCTGGGATCATTGGATTCAAAATAAGTGGATTCGGACATCGTCAGTCCCTTGAATACTGGGGAGGCCTTAAAGATGATTTTACATTTACAGGTCATCGTAATGCGCCAAGAAATATCGTGTGACCTAAGCCGGCTATGTTGCCGACCAAAAACGATGGTAAACGGCGACATCATGTTGATAAAACATGAGCTGACATCTTATTAACATGCAAGCTTTATTGAATTTGTCTATGTGAGTTCCACCCAAACCACTTGCCGCTAAGCGTGGTGATCGACCTGGCTCCGAACTAAACGTCTGATCGCTCCAAAGCTACCATACAGTGTCGGCTGAGACGATCAATTGAGATCGTGCTGAGAAGTACGAACTTCTGATATGATCTCGCCCGACAAGATGGGATCAAAGCCGCGAGTGCAGCCTCCAGGGACATGGGATATTGTTACATCTTTATCCTGCTCACGGCATGCAAATACATGTGACGGTCCCATTGTAAGGGTCAGTCAGCGATCTCGATGGTCATATGCTCCGCCGATGATCAAACCACAGCGAAGGCCTTTAAGACCCGTCGGACGGCGTCAGCGTATGTCACCGTAGCTCTATAGATATTCTTGCATATATCTACGCCACGGATGATTCTGGGCACCTAGGAAGAGCTGGTTATATGTGAGCGTTCTCGAAGGTGACTGATATCCGACCTGCCCCGACGCCTCCAACGCTGTGACACGGAAGCTGGGAGAGCCTCTGACTCGAGGTTTTCTATGACCGGCTCTGGGTAGCAAATATCTTCTACCGCCGTACGTCGAGATTCAAACACAAGAAAGTCTAGTTACGTGAGTGTGTACCGCATTGCTCATTGTATCTAAGTCTCTACCATACCCACACTGGGTATCTCAACCCCATCTGCATACCCGGAGATATCCTTAACCCATTCACTAGCCAGTGGTCGACTCATGATATTTAACGTCCTGCCTGGATACCTTGGAGGGTATCGAGCTTCCACTTCAATGACCTTGGCCTTACACCCTCGCATGACTGCGTGTTGCCGTACGAGCGAACACGGTATACTCCGTTAAAGTTACGCGTAAAGCGGTCCAGCGACTCCCTAGCCCAGTCCCGCACATCATCAGTTCCGACAGCTGTCAAGGCGCCATCAGCTGTGACAGCGAAGTGACAAGCCGTCGTGCCTGTCGCACCACTAGAAACTAGGGGGTAATAGCCGCTGGTTCCGTCAAGAGGGAAAATGTCCCAGTTCCCCGGGTTATTGGCACACCAGTCTCGGACCGCCATGCAGCGACCCGTGGTGGGCGCGTTGGGACCAGTGTCCCCGCTAATCGAACCAAAGGGGCACGAGTCTCGAAACCTGCTGTTGGGTCGCCATCTGTTCTGCGGGTCGTCACTAGGTTGCTGTCGTCTATGGAAAGCAGACCTTGTGGAGTGGCCTTCGAGCTCGGGCATGCCCGTGAGGTACGTCTACAAAGGAATCTTAGTGATGCTTTGCTATACTACCGCCCGATATCTTTATACATAGTGAATACAAGGCTAGGAGGAATTGCCTACAATTTCATAACTTTCTCCATCCGAAGCAGTGAAGTTCTCTGTCGTGTATATAGCAGGATTGAACTTGAGTTCACCCGCAGATTCGACGAACGGCTGGACGGAACCCGTAGAGGGGGTGGCAACGACAGCCCCAACAGCAAGAGACGCCGCAAGGCAAGCGATAAAGTGCATATCGAATGATCTATACCTATATGAAATTGTACTCGGACTCAAACGTTTCGTGTACGTATACAAGATCGAGCAAGCTGGTTCTAGTGGATGGAAAGTGGATTTTAAGCGGGATGAATATGGCTTAAATAGAAAACCTGAGGGAGCACTTACATGTCTCGTGTGATCATGACCGCGACCCGACCTTCCATACAAATTACTGCCACTGCGCGTGGAATCCTGCATAACGCCGACTATTGGCTTGTCTGCCTCAGTCTCATGCTCATATCTGCACTGTCAAAGAGTCGTCATGCAGCAGTTTCCATTTGTATCCTTACTTAGACGGCAGCTCGGCAGTCTCCACTGGAATCATAGCACGCTTACCTGCCTCGGTATAGGCGCAGCACACATACAATTGCCAAGGTCAGCATTCATACTTGTCCATTTAGCCGTCTTCGTGTAACAACCCTGTGCGAAAGTATGGACCTTCCAAATCTCTGGTAAGGTACGATTACATACTTTAAAAAGCTCTTGGTTACTTGAGCTCATTGGAGAGAATCTTTGCGTAGTTGGTAAAAGGGCCGGCTTCCGATTCCTGAAGGATTCCTTTACGCAACCATCGTGATTTTCTCGTATTAGGACTTCAATGTACCTCAGCCGATATAACCGATACTAAGTGACATTCTGTCCGGGTGGCAGTGCATGATGCAGTTTGCAGATAGGTCCGCAGACGTCGCATGCCAAGGCTCATGGCGACTGCAGGTAGCCTCTTTGATATCCGCACCATTGATACGACGGTGTAACACGCTGCATGACGAGAAATTCGGCGTTACACCAAATCCTTTGGTCCACGATTGCCATCAATCCACAAGGGCTTTGTCCTTACTGCCATCAAAGTTATGGCTACCTAAGTGTTCGTCCAAGATGTAGGAATGCCAGGTCCTATACACAAGCCAACTTGAATGGTTACATTTCGTAGAACATAAGAGGCCACTATCAAAAATCATTATTTTTGGTGATCATCGGTCCCTGCAAGAGTCCGGTTCTTGCGCAAAGCCCGTGCATGAACATTCCAACCGGATCAGCAAGCAAACTTAAGGCTCGCACCCCTGAAGCGTTCTTTGGCCAAGGGCCCCACTACTTGCGTAAGCCGCAGCTACGTAGCTAGAGTTGAGTCCGATCAAATTAATCAGGCGCAAACTGGGAGGTACCTGTAGCCCCAGGAATATAGATTTCGGGCTAACGTTACATTGTTTGTGCAGCAGCGCTGCCTTCCGACTCAAAGGCTTGAAAGGCTGGCGATCTGATTGGTTGGAAACTTGCCACAAGGATCATACAGCTCATTTGGATTTCGTCGTCAATGTGCGTTTCGTTTTAGTATGATACCTACGGTGGTGAACTTTAGGATAAGAGACTTTGGGGCGCCGTAATATATACTCAAACTTTTCCATAGACTTCAGGGACTTTAGTATGCGATCGCGGTACTTCCGTCATCTTGGTGTTGAAGAAAGGGTTGTTTCCATTCGGTCTACTCAATCTTAAGAATCTGCTGCAACATCGAGTAGCAATAGGGTAGCTAAAACGCAATACGTGAATGGTAGCCTATCAGTTTGCATAACAGAAGTCGCAGAGCATCTCTATCTCAATCGCAGATAGGCTTTCCAAATCGATCTCTTCCACCGCCAATCCGCCGCGTGCCAGCTTCTCGCTTCGGTGGTTCTTTCCTTGACTCATGTTATCGCCAGTTAATTTTTACCGGACAGGTGTACATCTACAAGTCTGGGGCTAGGTCGTACCTGAATCAGCCACATACCCACAGGACGTTGCCGACGTCAGTGACCGGGCTAGACGAAAAACGCGAGATCAACGTTTCAACCACTTGTATCACACGGAGTCACGAACATTGTAGATACTTAACTAGCCATCAGCTTCATACGCGAGGTTTAAAGTCAGCCACGGAATTCGGACGCCAGCCTGGTCTCGCCAAAGCGGTTGAGTAATTCGTGGGCGAGTGGAACTGGTGCCGCGGCGACCCCGATGTATCGACTGCAGAGTTGGGAACCTGGCGTGAGAAGGAAAGCTGAGCTGTGATTCCAGATCACTGCATGGGCCGCCATACAGCGGTGTTCTTGATTCGAGGTTCAGCTACTCGCAATTTGTATAAGAGTGGCTTCCGAGCCTTCCAGTAATGTTCGTGCAGAGCAAACTTGGATTTCTACCATCTTTCAACGACCTCCCATTAACAATTCCAACAACTTTTCATCATGTCCGAGACCATAATTCTGACCAAGGAGACGGTTGTGAAGGGCAACAATGCCCAAGCTAGAATCTTCCTGGTCGGAGTCGACACTCAGAAGGCTGATGCTGGCCCAAAGCCAATTGATCCTATGGCTGTGTTCATTCTGAACTCGAAGGATTTTATCGATCTTCAGAAATACATCCAAGCTGCCACAGCTCTCCCTTCTTCAGCTGCCCTTTTCGAAGCGGAATTTCCCCGTTCAGGCATGTCCAAATTCTTGGAAGAAGATCCAGAACTGTACGATGTACGTTGTGCCAGGTGTAACTTAACTCCTCTTTCTGGCTGAGCTAACATGACTTGAAATAGGCAATGAAGGAAGCCCTCCCGCGAATGCACCAGCGTTGTGCGAACTTCCAGATTGAGACGCTGGAACCTATGATCGTCTTGGGTGGTCGTATCTCTAACTTCGCCAAAAGTTCAGGTACTTACATTGATCGTATTGTTGGTTACCTTAACAAGATGGGTGAGCCGGGAGTGAGCAAGAATAGTCCGGCGTACAGCTCCGCCAAGCGTAACGCCGATAAGCATCTCGATAGACTCATTGCTCATGCTGGAGAGGTCGGTGTTCAATGCGGCGAAGTCTTCGATAGACTCTCGGCCGTAAGTTTCTCCAGGAAGTATGTCTCAAGTTAACACTGCTTACGCTCTGGATATAGTTCAAAGTCAAGACAACGACAGAGGACAAGACAGACCTCGACATGATCTGCAGGCGTCTACGTAAAATTATGCCTGATGAAGCAGCCAAGAATAGTAGAGTGCAAAAGCTCATCGATAACGCTAAGACTCTGGTCAATCAGGCGAAGCAGATGGTTGATGACCAGCTGAACGAGGCCCGCGAGAAGGGCAAAGCCAAGTGGTACCGTATGTATTCTACATTTCTTATGACGAAGTCCTGCACAGGAGGGTCGCTTTAGTAACCTAACCGCAGACTACATCCCTGTCATCGGCACCATTATCCTCATCGTTGATCGAGTCAAGCAAAACGGTCTCATGAACACCCTTAGGGAGCTGAACGACAAATACGTCCTCGCGAGAAAGCAAAGCGAGAATCAAATCGAACAAATAACGGCCACATCCAGTGAGTACTTTGGTGCCTGATGAACCTCTTATGCTAATTGAATAGATCAATTAGATACACTCTTTTCAGAGCTCAAGGGCGTTGAAGACACCATCCAAAATGCCATGGATGCTGTTGGCAAGATGCAAAGTAAGTGATAGGACCCAGCGACGTTGTATCGAAACGTGCCTATTCTTACATATTAACAGAGACATTCTCCAAGCTTCAAACTATGTTCGAGCACATCAAGAAGAAACTTGAGGGTGTCAACAGTGATATCGATGATGAGTACATCAGTGACTACATCGTACAAGTGGAGGACCTGCAGGATGCTGCAGAAACCTGGGAAAGGGTGGCAAGGCTAGCAGATGTCTTCCAGAACACTGGACTAGTACTTGATATCAAGTTAGCACCAGCAGAGGTTATCGAGGAGGAGGGAGGTACGGGAGACGCGTGATCTCGGCACAGGCTGATTCTCAATCGCGTGCTGATGCTTCTGTAAGCTGATTAGATTGTGATTCATTTTCTTAAGAGCGCCACTTCAGAGGCGTTGGGACCTGAAATGTTGTCTTCGATTAAGCTATGAACCATCAGAAATGATCGATGGAAAATAAGTTAACGTTCACACAATGTCACGTCTTTCTCAATGCAGTATGTGAGGGGCAAATCTAAGCTGCATATACTATCAGTTTCTGTAATAGACAAGATGCTAAGACCTTGGACCTTGCCGTTTTTCAGTCCCGTTCCTATCGATTGATCAGCTGGTGCGGCTGCGGGGACATCAGCATTGTGATGTAAAAAATAGTGTCTTACCCCTCAGATAAAACTCAGCCAGCCACAGAATCGTTATCGTACGAAGGTATAAAGAGCCCACCCCTATGAGTGCAGACTTACTTCTCATCCTTCTATCTGAGACTTTTCTTCACTCTCCACAACTTTAAGTTATATATTCACACTCTCGACTTGTTCAAAGATGTCAAACTACTCGTTCAATTTGCCCAGCACGGCAGGTTTTGCTCAAGCTTCCTCTGAATCTGCAGTGACGAGTATCACTTTAGACCCAAAGTCCTCCGCGGTTCTTGCCGCTACTATCAAATCTGGCTCTAATTTACCTGCCAATCGAGACCACTTCGAACAGTTGCATAACCGTCAAGCATTCGAGCAAGTCTTGGAACGTGATATGGGTGTATACGATGTAAGTCGTAGTTTGCGGACAGTGATGGACCACCGGAGAGCGCTGATACCATGAAGCGACTAGCAATCAACTTCGAGTCTATCCATAATTTGTGCGAGGGCTTCACGGAGCGAGGCGCCCCAATGATGACTGTAACTGGTACGCACATCGTGGTAACATCTACTTACTTCAATTTAACTTATATTAAACAGGGTCCATCATTGGTAGCACAAGTCAGAGAGCCATCGTGTTCATGGAGCAGATCAAGAGCTTACTTGAGAACGGCTTCGATGACGAGTCGCGTACGCGTGTTTTGGACTCTCTCGATGATCTGACCGCTCGGGCTAAGTCTCTGGCTTTCAAAAGTGAGAAAACTTCAAAGGTGCTAGCTACGGTAAGCTAGACAGGTTCTCGCTGAATAGACGATATCTGATCTTATCAGTTCAAGGTCGATTCTTCCAATCGCTTTGATGAGCTCAGGAGCACGATGTCCCGGTGGGACGAGGTTGCCCTCTCATCAGAAGAAATTAATAACAGGATAAGAGATCACACTGATCGGGTTCGACAGGTCATAGACCAAGCAAGAATGCAAGCACAAGCGGCCCAAGAGGAACAGGAGAGATCTCAGGTCTGGGGCAAGGCCAAGTGGGGTTGTAAGTGCTCTATGGGGGACTTCACCTACACCATTACTAACATCGCTAACTCTGATTCCATCTTTAGTTATGGCATTCCCTCTGCTTGGTGCTGCCATTCTGATAGGGGACCATGTCGCGGGTCCGAATGCCGACGAATTACGCGCTCGTACCGAAGAGTTGCAAAGAAATTACGAGGAGATGATACGCAAAGAGGGAAAAGATCAAGAACAGCTTATAGCAGCAAAGAGTATGTCTAAACTACAGAACGCAGTATCTTCTCAGCCCCATGAAGTATACCCGGAGTCTAACCGCGCGCAACAGTGAACGTGGATCTTCTTCACAATACTATGGAAGATATGAGCGTCCAGGCTGATGACCTTAGCTCAGCCTTGAAGCAGATCTACAGTGAGTCAGAATCACCTGTCTTTTCAAGCTGCCCCAATGTTGACGAGACGAACAGCTGCCGCAACGAAGATGGTCACCGAGAACGAAGACCTAGCACGTCGAATCAAAGCGCTCGATGAGGATCTTGACGATGCTGAGCAGGACTTGCAGAGCAGTAACATGGATGCTATTCGAGACATGCTTACAGACTCGCTGGAGGATGTGGTAGAGTGCATTGCAATGTGGCAACAAGTCCATCAGGTCGGTCAGGAGTTTGAGAGGGGTGGAGAGCTCGCAGGCTCTTACAGTGTCCTGCCAGACTTTGCAGAGATGCAGATGCCTACGGGATGGGAGTACTTCTAGCGTATTGCAGATACTCACATGCTAGTCAGAGCTTTTGAGTTTCACAGATGGGTTTTGAAAGCGTGGTAAATATGGAAGCTGTAGAAACTAGATGAAAGGTGACTGTCGCGAAATGTTCATTACCCTTATGTTCCGGGGTTGTCCTGTGTCAAAGGCAGAAAAGTAGTTGGTTCTTCATAAAGTGCCTGACTTGCGGGTACTTAAAAATATTGCTCTGCTTTAGATTTTGACATAGTAGCGATGGTATTCACGATCGTTGGCTGTCAAAGGGGAGATGTTGGGATTCATTGACACTCGTGCTTCAGGCAGTTCTCCCAGAGGATCGCCCCAAAACAATGAGACCGTATAACACTAACGTCGGCACAACATCGTGTCTCACTCTGAATCATTGACTAAACGTAATATTCGACCGAGCTGCGCCCCCATGTATGCATCCAAGCTCACGCGTATTATTGTAGCTTCCTCAGATAATCATAACCAGCGACGGCGACGGGCTTGACATTGGTAGTCGACTTTTGAAATACACCGGTACCTGCCTCGGATCCCTCCAGAGCAGGATTCGTGTCGAGAATTGGGACTTCTGTCATGAACATCCCCAGACGCCTATCAAGCTCCACTGATGTCTCGGGCATTAATGATAGGCCCGAATCAATGCTCCAATTGTTGGATTCCCGTGCTGCATTTTCGCAACAGGGTGTGATGCTTCGATAGTGAAAGTCGCGTCGATCGTAGGTGGAAAGTTCGATGCGTACATAGACTTGAGCTTCATTGCGTTCGCTCATGACTTTGTGAAAGATTTACAGCATTGCATTCTCAGGGGACACTGCTGCCTGTCTTGTACGTTTGCAGCTGGACCGAGAATCGCAGGTTGTACGAAGTAAGCGAGGTCACGTACAATTAAACTAAACGCTATAGGTACAGCGTCTCAACGAAGTTAATCGAGTGCATCGCCACTAGGTGCCCTTTTAGCGAAATTGCGTAAGAAATTAAGACGTGGAACGATCTTGACAGTGCTTGACGGTCCGACCAGCGCCATCGGATAGGCTTGGATGTCACCCGCAATTCGGCTCAATCGTTCCGTTCCAGTTTGGGCCTGCAGAGGAACTGTGCAGGCGGCCGCGGATCGACCCGATGGATACCTGCAGAGTGGTCCGGTGAAATTCGGAAGAACAGATGAGAGATTCGACCGGCGTTGCTTTCGGCGTTACATTACGAGCGCAGAGACAGACAGAGATCTTCAAAGACACTGCAGTCAGGATCAAGAGTTTGGGTAGATTATGAATGGTCAAATACTGATGATGAAGAAACTATGTGCTACGAAGAGAAATAGGACTAGCTCGCACACAGCGCGCTGCTGATGCCCCGTAAGAGGATATATACTAAACATCGCTGCTGAAGATGTTTAGCAAGCGGAGAAGCTAGTCTGGCCCTTGCAGCTGGCGGTGGTCGAGACCTTGCTGCTGTCACCGTTGCCCTTCTCAACACCCTTGTATTCCTGGCAGATCTTCTTGACGCCAGATCCGCACGAGCTCTGAATGTTGGCGGTGTCTCCGTAGTTGGAGTTGATGCCAACAAGCTCACTGACACCCTTGGCCTTGACACCAGAGATGACAACGTTCCTGGGGCCTCCGTTGTTGGTGCAGTCACCGCATCCACGGTAGAGCTTGCCAGCGTTGACGACAGTGAAGTTCTTGATGGTGACCGTACCCTTGCCGTTATGCTGGACAACCTTGTCCTTGGCCTCCTGGGCACCGCCACCCTCGATGAGAACGTTTCCGGAGCCGAGGGCAGAGATCGCGTCTATCACTCAAAGTCAGCAAAAGGATGGAACGGAGTCGCGTGATTCACTCACCCTCGCAAACGTCACGGAACCAGACGTTCTTGATGGTGCAAGCACCCTTGCAGTGGATACCCTCGAGCTGATCCTTTCCGATGATAGCGTTGCTCAAGGTGGCACCGTTCTCAAGGATGAAGACCGCGCTGTCACTGCCAGTGTCGGCATCAGTGTCACAGGCCCTGCCACGATCGAACTCCTTGCCCCCCATATCCTTGGAGCCGGAGATGGAACTGGGCTTGGAGAGGTGCACGATGTCACCAACGCGGGTGGGGATGTTCAGTGTCTGACCAGCAGCGAGGCCGACTGCGGCAGTGATAAGGGCGATTTCGAAACGCATGTTGAAGGAGTGAGGTTCAAGTGGTGAGAAGTGAGAGTCTGAATGAGTGTGCTTGAAGATGCTGAAGCTCTGGATGTGCTGTGAGACAATATGACAGAGCTGCGACGATACTTATACTTCTTGAGCCTGAAACATGGCTCTTTCGGATGGCACACAAAAACGCCTAAGAACTTATCCTCCTCCTACTGATTTGTTCATAGCGATCCTGGTATCGCTGTTTGGTGGAACAAAACTCATCGCCAATTAAGTTTGTGGCTCCTTTCGGTGAGTCGAAACAACCTGGACATGACTTGTTAAGCATGGCGCCCAGCAATGGATTGCGAATGTTTATGTCTCTATCTCTTGACGTTGACTTGGCTGCTCCACTTCGATGTGGGGGACCGGGGACCTATTGGTGGAGAGCGGGGATTGGGTTAAATCTCCGTCTTGGCGCACTCAATGTGCCGGTGCCTTCCAAGTCTCGAATTTCCGGCCGCGTCTATCACGGTAAGGTTATTTCGACTTGGCAACGAACCCGCCGCGGAGTGACATGGGAATCGGCCAACATCAGATTCCCATATCGCTGCATGAGCAGATGTCGAAGCCAGTACCCTATCTCTGTTACCCAGATAGCACATGCCTAGGTACTCTGAATATACATCCCTTATCAGACTTGTACATGTGGATCAATCAGAGTGTCTTCCTAGAGCCAGGAGAGCTTTAGTGTTGATCCTCCTTTATCTTGCGAATCATGTCCAGCCAGGCACAGACGATCAGATCAACACACAAACCCTGATCTGCGATGTAGATTGAAACAATACTACGAAATTACCTTATGGTCACTGGATAGCGCTTGGTATTTATAAATGGTTTGCATTAGGTATCGTCTAAACGGAGGAAATGTGCGCGAATAAGTGCTCAGAAACAGAATCTGGGCGAAGGAAAAGATGTGGGGCCAGGGCGGTAGCACCTCTAGACCTCGGAGCACACATGCCATTCCCAGCCAGTCTTACTGCAGCAGTTGATACGGTCAAAGTCCTTGGATGAAACACTGCCAGCATTCGTGTCAAAGGTAATCTCCTGACCTTCATGAACGTTGGTCGAGCCATACGCGGCGAATGGGATATTCTTGCCATTACCCGTAACTGAGATGGTGCGCCTGTTAGCGGCCTGTCCCCAAGTATCAAAGATCTTGCTAACAAGAACACCAGGCTTGGCCTCGTCAAACGTAGCAGTGATGTGGAAGCGCTCGTGGCCGTAGTAATAGCTACCAGCGAACCAGCTGAAGTGAATCTTGCGCGAACCCACGGGGCCATCGACACGGTAGAAGATACCCTGGCGCCATCCCGGACCATAAACATAAAGCTCGTCTTGGAATGCATTGAAGGTGTAAGGTCCGACCATGATCTGGCCTCTGACGCTCAACCTGATTTGAGTAGATGAGGTTTCGTAGATCTTGACAGGGAACGGCAACGCAAGGTCAAAGACCTCCCTCCACCAGCTGCGGTCGCTCTCGCCAGGGACCATGGGGACACCACCAGAGGGTGCACCACCACAGATCTTGGTGTAAGACGGAGCAGTTGGTTGAGGCCTAGGGATATAGCAGGTAGACGCCGATACGACAACTGTCTGGAATGCAAGCGTCTCTGTAGTCGACACAGGTGTGGAGGTAGTCACAGTAACAGTGGTAGATGCAGTGGCAGTGATGGTCGAGGTACCAGTAGCAATCAGCGAGCAGGCAGCGCTGATCTTGCCAGTCGGCCAGGCGCTGATGGAGGCTGGGGTCGCAACGGCACGCTTCTGGACGTCGTTGATTTTAGCAGCCATAGTGTCGTTCAGCTTGGGCAGAGAAGAGTCATCCTCGTTGGTCAAAGTCGTGACCGCGACAATAGCAATCTCATAAGGATCGACAATGATGTCAGTCTTGATCTCTGCCGTATCGTTCTCAGCACGTCGGGCATATCTTCGGTTGACCTGGCCCGCGTAGGCTGTGACGGGGGGTTGTGTGGTGTATGCAGTAGATGTCCTGGTGATGGTGATTTGCTGGAGTGCTGGGGTGAAGGTAGTGGTAGCTGTAGCTGTAGTGGTCGCGGTGGTAGACGGCTCACTGTAACCGATGAAGCTAGTGCAGAACTCCTGACCGCTGGACTTCAGATAAGATAGGTCGTTCGGGCAGACGGGAACGCCATCGTCGGTGGAGTCTGTGAAACTGAAGCTGTATTGGATGGTGTAGTGGTCATCTCCGCGATACTGGCCATTGTTGGTAGCGAAGGATTCATCCCACTCCTGGGTGTACATGGAGCAGTATTGACCCTCTGAGACCTCATTCTTGAGCAAAATGTAGGTGTTGAAGAAGCGGCACAGCTGGGGCTTGCCAGAAGCAGGAGGGTGCTCTACTGCGTACTTGTTGTGTTGCTTACAGGCAGTTGCTCAGAGCTTGGCGTCGAAAGCACCTTCGGTGAATAGCTGGTAGCCCATGTATGATCCTTGCTTGTTGCAGTCGAGCGGAGCATTGATCGCATTGTTCTTGAGCTCCGTTTGCTTGTAGCCATCGATAGACTGGGTGACAAGGGAGGTATAACCATTACTTCCTGCAATAGCTACCTCGAACTGCTCTCGCCATTGGCCCTTGTTGGTTGCGGTGTCGGTGTATACCGGCCCTCCCCAGAAGGAACACTTGATGTTAGCAATGGCCTCGGGGTCTTTGCAATCGGGGCCAGGGTTCTTCGAAGGATCACGCTCTACGACTGTGGACGGTTAGTTGGCGACAGCTGTGCACAGTGTTTTCCACTTACAGATATTGAACCCCAGACATCCAGACTTTGAGTTACACTCAGAGGCACACTCAGAAGGATCGTAGCTCGTTACGACCTTGTATCCGAGGTATCCATAGGCACTGCTTGCTCCCTGAAGGTTCGTGAAGGTGTTGAAATAGCCAGATGGGGTAGAAGCGCCCTTTGCTACAGACACAATCTTGGTGTCGGCTCGGAACTTGGCGGCGGAAGACAGATCAAAGCCGTAGGTGTTAGGATTGCTGGGCTCGAGGTCGCAGGCTGCGCGCTTCAAGTGCCGTCTGGCCTTTGGTACAGCCGTTGGCAGAGAAACAGGCTTCACGTCGAGAGGGTCGGCGGCAACCTGAGAGGCGACGGCAGCGATAGCTTGGCCCTCATCAAATGTGACAACCTGTTCTTTGAGTCCAGGAATGATGTTGATGACCGGATCGGGAACTGCATCAACACCGGCGAAGTCGATGTCTTGAGCACCGACAACAGCAAATGCTGCAACAGCAGAGAGGACAATTGAAGACCGCATTGCAGGAGTTGGCTAGCGCTTGAAGCCTGTGTAGGAAGGATGCGAAGTGACTGCTTGCTGGTTCCCCTCCTCAGATCCGAAGCTTACTTATATACTTCAGATGGCCCGTCAAGAAAAGTCCCCATCCTTGAAGAGGCGTCGATATGGACATCCTCGTGAAGTGTGGAGTGGCCGTAGCTGAAGCCATTCGACTTCATTGAAAGGATCCAGGCGTAGCTGAGTGGATCAACACCGTTACCATAAGGGTCGAGAACGCTGGAGTACTACCCCAACGGTGCAGGTGTTTATATTGCACCTGACTCCCTCCGGTCAGGCTTTTGAAAAGTGGATATGAGATATTGCTGCAGTTGGTTAAACCCCCAAGATTCCATCGAGAAGAGTCCTTATTTTGGACTTGGGGCTGAAAAGCGATCTCGGTATACGCAATGCCTGCGTCTAGATACTCAAGGCTGGAGGAACGTGCACCGCAAAGCTGACAGCCTTGCAGCAAGCGAAAGCGTGCATGGGTGTGGCTTGTACCCCTGAAAAGGCGTGCTCTTGGCACGTCAACTCGGTTAGATCTCTCACTATTTTGGATCAGGTTAAGCGAAGTAGAACAAAAAAAGGATAGAAAGCGGGCGCTAAATCAGGGGCTTTCCATTTGCAGCCACAACTTGTTCGGTGCAGCCTGGTGTTTACTTCGCCAAGCGACAATTATGCGCGCTCGCTTCCCCAAGGCACGGTGTGGGCGACCTTGTGCTCAGGTTGGCGTGCTCAAGCCTTGTGCACAGGACGCCATTTGTAAATCGTCTTTGTTCATCCCCAAGATTGTCTAGTATGCGAGAAATGTTGGTTTAGTAAGAGCAACATTCGCGTGGTGATGAGCCATGGCGGAATTGGTTTTCGCGACCCCAGACAGTGCGGACCGAAGCGGTGTCGAAATGTGAATCCAGATCGCAGTCACCTCGAGTCATCCCACGCTCCGGTGTTCGCCTCAATTGCCTTCCCGGCCTAGTCGCGTCAAGGGTATTGTTGAAGTGCAGCCTCGTGGCAGTCGAGACCAACACTACGTGCCGCAGCAAACACAATCTTTAGACTCATGGGGTCAACATCAGGCCATGAGCCTGTCCCTAATCACTAAGCACGGCCTCTGCCGCTGCGTCCTGATCGTCCTGAGGTCTGCGTCGCGACAAAGGTAGTGAAGTGGAAGTAGATAGATCCACTGGAGGTAGGGAACCGACACCAATCTACATCAAGTTCGTCAAGAAGCTCGTGCCTTGCTCTAATCATCCTCCGCTTGTCGGGACTACTGGGCCAACGCTCACCCGCTACGGCATGAACGTCTGCTGATGAGGTCTGTGATTGATCATGCTGATCTCCGCGACCATGCTTTGGCCTTTCGAAGAACTTTATCAACATCCGGTGCACGTACCCCATGGGTACTTGCATCTCTGTACTTGTCAAGATCAGTCTCGTAGTAAGACTGCACATTGCCCTCGACTGCAAGCAGTACTCTGTTATGGTACACTATTATGGTGCAACTCGATATACGTGAGAATGGATCGTGGCTACACGAGGATCGGCACTGCAGTATAAGGACCTGCACGCTGCATGAGGACGTCAGAGCTGCAGATGCAGGGTTTGGGAGGGTATGAAGAGTCATTTCAAAACTGCACGCTGATGATGCCGTTCGTGGCGGTTCAGCCGGTGAAGCAAATGTAGACCTGTCATTTGAAACGTATTACTTACTCGGTTGTACAGCTACTTCTGATCTGAATTGCTCGTGCATCTTGCCAGAGCAGCCTAGCCCAGGCTAAGCCCCAAATCGCATTCTCCAGCCTGTCACTCCTGTGAACAAGCCGCACTCTTGTGTTGATTTCAAACAACTTGAGGAGAACGTCCGCCAGGATAAGAAACTTGGGTATCTCATTGATAGAACACGCGCCCGTAAATGCAATTTACGTATGGTATGAATCAAAGCATTCATGCTTGACGATGCGAGGGAATTCGATATGATCTGATCCGCAATGAAAAGAACGCCGACCATGGGATTCCATGCGTGTTTTACAAGCAACCGCGGAAGCAACCGCGGAAGCAACCGCGGAAGTAATCGATATTTAGGCGTCCAGGCCAGAAAACGCCCGTGCGGAGTGCGGAAAGCGAGCAGGCATGCTCAGTAAAAGGCATCAGGGTTGTTATCGTTGCCTGATTGTCCATAGTTGCCTCCGACATCATCCAGGCTCCTGTACTGTGACTGGCCACCTCCACCACGACCACGGCCGCGTCCACCTCGGTCGCCGCGGTACCCGCCTCGGTTACCACGATTGTTGTACTGATTATTTCTGTGAGCGCCACGGCCCCGGTTCTGATGGCCGCCCCTGTATCCTGATTGACGGTTATCGTCTTTGCCGCGCGCGTTGTGTGACCGGTTGTCCCCGTGACGGTGGTTGGGCTCTGCAGAGCGTTTATGATAGGACTTATTCGGGAAATAGCTTTCCCACTCACTCTCGTTTGCGGTCTCTTCCTCGATGCGCAGCATCTGCTTCTCGCCCACCACGCTGTCGAACTCAAAAGCCTGATCGTCTGACACCGGGTGCCAGTTCACGATGCGCGCTGCATCTGCAGGTCGCCCGTTCTTGCGAATAGCTAGTACGACAGTCGGGGTAGGGTTTTCAGAGTAGTACTTCGCTGTCTTCGGTACAGGTTCGACCCGGGCGGCCCACAGCTTGTTCTCAAAACAAGATACGCCAGTAACCTTCCATTTGACCTTGGCTCCGATACCACCGACCTTATCGAGGATACTCTTCGGGCAAGGCTTTGGGGTGATCAGAATGCTGTTGGCAAGATACCTGACGTCGTTGTCCGGAGTTGCCTGGGGGAGCTTCACGAGCGAAGTCAACCTCTCAGTCATGCTCGCGGGGATCATGTATCCTGTGTAGAACACCGTCTTCTTGATCTGGTATGGTACAGTTCCAGGCGGCGCTGTACCATTTCTGACCTGCGTGTTGTGTGCGTTCATCAGCTTCTGAATCTCAGCAATCTCAGCGACGGGATCTAGCTGAGTCGCGTTCTCGGGAACCTGGATCACTTCAGCGACGATGGGTTTGCGGTTGCCTTTTAGTTGGCCAGCCATCAGATCTTTGTTGAACTGGAAGAAAAAATCGCGGAAACCTTTCGTATGCTTCACACGATCCTCGTAGATTCGCAGTTCTTCCGCATCTTTGTATGTATATACGATGTCCTTGAGCAATTCCTGCTTGAATTCCATCGTGTTCCTGAACTTTTGCCCGGCGGGCCCGATTGCGGGCTTCAGGCAAACCATATCGAAGTCGAGTTTCCTGCTTCTAGCGATGCGCTTGATGAGGTCACCGAAATTGGACTCGCCGCGGCCGGTAAGGAGAACGTTTAGAGCATCCTTTTGCTGCATCGATTGCTCCACAAGTGTGACAATCTGTTCATTCCACCAGCCTGCCCAGCCGCGCATCTCTTCCTTGTCAGCACCTTCGCCAGTGGCTCCTAGGATGCTGGCATCGTGCCACCAGCCTCCACTCAGAAACATGTCTGGGCTACCTAGTTGGCCTATCGTGGCGCTGTTCCATAGTTGCTTGTTCGGAAGAGGACTTGCGAATACTACGGCCGTCAGCACTGGTAGTAACATAAATTGCACCGAACGTACGAGTATTGTCGAAGTCGTAGACGTGTATGGCCTTGATGTCGTTGACAGCTGGCAAATCCTTATCATCACATGACCATCTCTTCAAAGCCGTCACCGTGTGATACGTTGGCTTGCCATTTGGACCTGCAACGGCAGGCCTGGTCGACGTTGCTAGCATGGGAAATACCGAGCGGCGGACGGGCGATATCGAAAGGCGTTTCGTGATCGCGATAAGCATTCGCTGCGACGGGGTCGATCGCGTCGTCGAATGAACAGGTCCAGTCCACGGGCGTCGTGAACAATCGCAGACCGCGGCAAGGCAGGAGCAGTGCGTGCTGCGAGCTGATGTCGAGGAATCGCGACGCGCTACATAAAATGTCCGTGCGTACGCCTCATGAGGTCACTTCCGCCCGATCAACTATCATCTTCCTCGGCTCCAACATCACCATTGTTGGCGCATGGGAACAACAGCAGAGGACAGCGACGAGTCCGAAGACACATGTGTGATATGTCTGTCACAAGTCACCGAAAGAGCTGTTACGGTCCCTTGTAATCACTACAGCTTTGATTTTGTCTGCCTCGTAAGCTGGCTGCAAGAACGGTCGGCTTGCCCTTTATGTAAGTTATGAAACCACGACGGCCCAAGAAAGCAATTGACATCAAACAGGCAAGACAGAGGTAACAGCTGTTCAGTATGACAGGAAGGGCCCAGATGATTTCAAGAGCTATAGCATTCGCCGCACCCATACTCCAAAAGACCCATCCAATGTCACTGATAATCAGCGGCAGTCGTCGGGCCTTACTGGATACGGCCCGCCAGGTCGAAGGAGATGCATTCGCCGAACATTCTCTCCTCCAGCAGATGATCCTGCGTTACGCAAGCGTCGAGAAATTTACCAAAGGGGGCTGTTTTCAATGCACGTTGGCAGCAATCCTCACTCGGGCTACCGCGATGTCACGCCTCATATGATTGCTGCGCATCCAGAGCTTCAGTCAAAAGCTCGTACATGGATACGTCGTGAGCTTCGCGTCTTCGCATTTCTACATACGGATCCTACCGGCTCATCATCCCAAGCAGCAACAACGAGTAGCAACGCCGAGTTCCTGCTTTCGTACATTGTATCTGCTCTGAAAGTAGTGGACATCAAAGCCAGCAATGGGCATACTGAGAATCTTTTGGCTGAGTTTCTTGGTCGAGATATCACTATTTTGTTCCTGCACGAGCTCCAGGCCTGGCTGCGAAGTCCGTTCACCAGGTTAAAGGATTGGGATGAAGAAGTGCAATACGAGGATACCCGAGAATAGTTTCATTAATAGCGACAGTATATCTGCAGATTTTCTCGGTCCAGGTGTCTATTACTCTGTTGATTTAGACGTCGAATATGCGCAACGCGCTTCGTACTTCTGGCTACATCTCTGTCTATCAACGTCGGCCAGGACTCCATTGCTTGAGAGGACGAATCTCAACACAGTTCATCGCTATACGTAAGATAGTTCTCTTGGTCAGAGCCTCTCTTCTCCGTTGGCTCCCACTCAAGCACAAACACTGTGGTGTTTGTATACTCGGACCACTGACAGCCTGTCTCAGATGTCGTGATACTCCGACGCCTTCTTCTCCATCATTGATACCATCGACCGATCTTCGCATTGCTCCAAAAGGACAATCGCAAGATCAGACAGAAACTCAGTGGGGTAAGGCACGTCACCAGCGCGTTGGTCTTTAATCCACTGGCCAGAAGCTCTCCACACATACAGATCGACCATGAGCGTCCGAGCTCCACATGGTCCGTCAGTGGCCTTATAGATGTTTGAAACCGCAATACTGCCAGGTAGAACGGGTTGCGTCTCCAGGGACCGTTCGTGAGCCTTCGCATAAACTGCGTCGATGGCATCCTTGGCGGCCAGGTCGTCATGAACGAATTTCACCAGCGCAAAGAGCTTGCAGAGTAGGTTGGTCTCGTGGACATGATCTTCACGGTTAGGCTTGACAGAGTCCGGCTTGCTTGGCAGTTTTTGTGTGTACATGTACTGAACGTACAAGCTGAAAACCTCCGGCTCTGTATTCGGAAGCCTGATAACGTCTGGCGTCTCGTTCGTCATGATACGATCAAAGAATACCGGCGCGTGTTTACGGAGGAGCGTAGTATGAACGACGAAGGTCTTGCACAAATCACCACTACCAACGATGACCTTGATGATTTCTTGACCGAACCTAGATCAATGAGCCAAATCGTTCGAAACAACAAACGCACTCTTACTCAATGTAATGGGACTGTTCGACTCGTATGTCTGGGCTGACAGGTACAACGCGATCTTGGGTGACAGACGCGGCAATTTCTGGCTTGCTGTTGGTGAACCTTCCTTGGGGCTTGACAGAGAGCGGGTTGGTTGAGGGTGGTGTGCCACGCGCTTGTGAGGATCCTGCTTGTGAGTCTGTGGAGGATCTGCTGAAGAATCCATCGTTGCCGAACGCCTTGGTTTGTGTGGGCGACCTCGCACGGTGTGCTGTACTGCCTCCGAAAGGACTGCCTCCAGAATCACTGCGTGCAAAACCGTACGGGTGGTAGCCCGCGCGGGCGGGCGATGTCTTTAAGGTTGCACAAAACATCGGGATTTTGATGTAGAGTTGGTAATGGAAAAGGACGAGGTGACAGTTTCGCTTTGCGGTAGGCAAACAGTAGAGCACAGAGACACACGTGACTTCTTTCACTCTTCACTTCACTTCTTTCCGTGCCAAACATGTACTGCTCGCAACACATTGCAACAAATAGCTTTCATTGTCAAGAACATCGCAAAATAAACTCAAAGATATGGGCACCATGCTACTGCGACTACCAGCTTACCAACTGCCGTCGTGGGTATTCAAGAAACCAGCTGGTCCGCCCACATAATCCAACTCCGGCCCCCAGCACCCTCTGCCGGGCAACCAATGCAAACATAGTATCCTCTACCGGTGTTTGCACCCTTTTGGGTCACCGAAAGCTGCGTTCGCTGCGCAGAGTAGCAGCTGCGACAGGAGGGAAGTCGCGGTCGGGCAGCCGGAGCAGGTGCAGCGACAACCGCGGTCGCGTTCTGAGGACGGTCAGTTTCCACATCATTCCCGACATGAAAATACGTACGGACGTGTTGTACGTGTAGTATTCATTGATGATGACCGGAGGCTTCTTGCGTGTGAGGCCGAATAAACCCATAGTGAATGTAGTGGTACGAATTTACGGGTGAGTTTATGGAAGCCTAAGTGTTGGGTAGTCCAACAGTTTGAAGCTTCGCTGATGCTTGTACTTGTAGTTCTTCGCAGTTCAGGTGGGCTGAGGGCATGTGTACCGCCGTCCAAGCCACGATAGTACATGGGTAAGCGAAGTCCAATGATCGACCGCGATGTTTTCCGAAATGCACATCGAGATTCTCAGAGCGCTTAGCTTTATCATGCATGGGGAATGCCTATCTAGAAGAGGGGTCTGATCGACATGTGCTGAGCCTCGTGCACATTCAGTCACCACCCATTGTGGTGGTGTATTAGGCTCAACAACGAACATAGCCGAGAATGTAGGTACCTATGTCAAAGCCAGTGAATACGCTTCTAGCCTTGACGGCCACGTGTATCTCAAGTCCAGCCTTACAATGCCCTACAAGGAGGGGTAACGGATGGCATGTAGTGCACAACTCTCCGGTTCGGACCGGGCCTCGTGTCAAAGCGCAAATTATTGGTCGGTGAAAGCCACCTGCTCTCGGCAATTAAATTCGAAACAAACAGTCGCTCATCAGTATTCAGAAACTCGCCCGATAGGCTGTCAGCCAGTGATAATAGTACTTTAGGCGCTACGGTCGTTCGTCTGGAAATGCCGCCCGACTCGACATGTCGAACGTCGCTTGACCTGGTTCAAGGCAAACCGCTTGGAATGGCAAGCTTCGTTCAATGCAGCTTTTGATTTGACTGTTCGGTGGATTTGACAGCCGGTACGCGCTCGACACTCCTAGAGATCACGTTTCACCAGAAACAAATTGTCCTATTCCCATGTTCGGCAGTGAATACACCATGAAGCACACCCAAATGACATCTCTCTCAACCTTCCCCAGCATGATTGGGTCATGAGACCATCTTCTCAAGTGCGTGCCCAACAGTACCTTATCCAAAGAAGAACCACTGTCGCTCATCACCCTCCTCCGTCCCAGACCCCGGCATGTGAGGAGGCACAGCCACCCGCATCATCCCCTCAGCCTCCACCTGTGCCGTCTTCGCGTAAAAGTCCACCAGGAAGTCTTTCGGCAGCAGCTCCGCCAAGCTCGACACTACCTCCTTCGACGCTTTGAGCAAGTACATATCCACCACGAGCTCCCTCGCAAGATGTTCCGGCGTCGTGACACTGTAGATCTTGGATACATCTGTCGAAGAGAGGAAACTGCTGCCGTCCATGGTAGTGATGTTCTCGGACGCTGCCTGGAGAGCTTCTAGGGCGGCATTTTGGGTCGTTGAGTCTTTGAGATGAGCACCCAGAGCGAATAGCTTGCAGAGGATACCTGACTCGCTTGTTTCTTTAGAAAAAGCCAGACCACTGGGTATGCAGCCAGTGTTGATGAGTTGTATGTACAAGGCGAAGACACACGGGTCGACGTTAAGAAGCTCAATTGGCGAGGCGGAGGAAGTAGAGAGTGACTTGGCGATGGTTTTTGATCGCGCAGATATTAGGTCCATAGATACTTCAAAGCTTTCTGTTTCGTCATCTCGACCGACTTTGAAGATGACCGTGCCTGCAATCGAGCAGCTCAAAGTCAGTTCGCCGCAATACCGACACGTCATCTCACTTACTGAACGCTCGGTGGCTGCTGCAAGTCCGTTGATTTCCTGCGTTGGACATCATAGTGTTCACACGCACTGGTAGGGAGATTTGTAGGGTTACTCTTCGGCGGTGGTACTGCAGATCTGATGCTGCTACCAGATAGTGCACAAGGCGGTGTAACGGTATCTTCTGGCATGACTGGCGGCAGACTGATAGGTGAGTGGTTTAAGTTAGGTCTTTGATTCACGAAGATGGGTGGTTTTGTGCGACTCCGAAACCGCACGATAGCTCAGGACTAACTCTCACTTTGTATTCGTTGCTTTGCCTTTCCACCTTCACCTGGAACTCAGGTATCTGTCGAACCAAGACCCCCTAAGTACACCTCCATCTTCAATGCGAATCCCAGTTCCATTACTTGACCCCTCAGCCATAGAATGTCATCCTTGATTTTGTGAAAGTGCTACTTAGAGAGATGGCAATCCAAGCGTAAATTGAGTCAGATGAAGAGACATGCACAACAAACTCCGCTGCTAAAGCAATGTCTTGAATTATTTGCTTTGCACATAACCACTTAGCTTAATGCGTAACATATCATCGCCCACCATGTGCTTCGAATCGCCCGTCCTAACAACATCTTCAGTACTAATATTGAGCTTCTGACACCGATAATCCCCTATCATAGCTTCAGGTTTCCCTTCTGCTCCATATACGACGAGACTTCCCGATCTCCGGTAGTGAAAGTGTCTTTCAGAGTTGCTCGCCTGTCAAGAACCTCCGCTAAAAGCTCTTGCATAAATTCCACAGGCCAAACAGCATCTTCCATCCTTCCACCAAGCCTGAATGGAGTTCCCGTACCCTGTTCGACGAAGCTGTCGACAATCAACTTGCGGGCCATTGAACCGTTTGGTGTACCATTGTAGATCGTTTGAACAAACCGCAAGCTGAGTGACACTCGCTTTCCGCCGACCTGGTCTCGAAGGGTACCCATCAAGGCTGCCATAGTCTTGTTTTTTGTTTCCACATCCTGCACTTTCTCGGCTAGAATGTAAAGTTTGGCCAGAATCTTCCGCTCACCATCAACGTCTCCAGTTGTGGTACCGAAAAGAGTTGGTGAGACTGCGATCTTGTCTGTGTAGAGTAGGTGGACGTAAACGGCGAAAACTGTCGGCTCATCTTCATGAAGTTTGACGGCTCGCTCGTCTGCCTCCGCCCACCTGCCATTCAGAGCTTTGTCGAAGAACGGCGATCGCCCTGTGAGCAGCGATTGATGCACGACGAACTTCTGCTGCGCCTTACCAACAAATACCGTAACGGGCTTACTGTAGCTGCATACTTCTTAGCGTATAGTCAGACGCGTACGTGTGGCTCTGAACTCACTCCTTCAGATCAAAAGTGCTAATTCGAGAGTCTTTTGGGACCGGGCCAACAAAGGCAGAGGATGTTGTGGATGACGTCCTCGGAGTTGTGAATTCGAAACCAGCCGAGCCGAGCGGTCGTCTATTTTTCTCCATTTCCACAGATGAAGGCAACGAAGCAGACCGTTCTGGTCGTTGAGAGTGGAGACCGTGCCTAAATAGCGTCAGGCGTGAGCAACATGCAGAAGTGAGATAATCTAGACCTTGGTTCCACACAAGACGAGGTTGTCTGTGGCGTTGTGAGTCGGGGTATAGTGAGGTAAGGAATGACGAGTGGGCTGAAGCATATCGATGGGGGAAAGCAGAGGCGGCGCTAGTGGCCGCGCTGCCAGGTGCATGTTTAGGAAGGAACTCGATGCGAAGGGAAGTAGCGAGGGTTTCCATTGGCATTTCGCGCACAAGATGGAAGCTACCCCGAAGCAAGTGCGGTGCATCATCTTTGATAGCACTCATAAGAGCGCCGCTCAGGTGGATAGTTCCCTTGGTTACAGTGATGATAGAAACCATCTCAGATAAGTCGCGGTGAAATTCGCGTATGTTGAATCAGAACAAGTGCTAGCTAGGGGTATTCAAGACTACTGTTACCTACAGTCGCCAATGCTTCATAAAGGCGTCCATTGTGCCATCTTATGCAATGTTATGGCATTAACAAAGGCGCTAAAATGCGGGAGGGTTCGTGAGATTTCATTCAAGCAGAAGTCGAAAGGCTAGTTCTCCAAGTCGACGTGCTGATCGACAGAACTTTCGTGACTGCGATCCAGCTCTTTGAGCGTTTTTGACAGCGCAATGCCTTGGCTGCGCCCACGTTCGATGTCGACAAGCATCATGATAGGGAAAGGAAGGCCGACTAGAAGGGCAAGGAACCAAAAAGCCTACACGAGCAATGTCAGTACGTTTCACACAAGTCAAGGGGCGATGGGTTTTTACCGGCCGAATCTCGCCATAGGTATCTGTGATAGCGCCAACAATAGCAGGGCCAAACACGCTGCTGCCCTTGTCTGTAATTGCATACAACGCATAGAAAGCTGCCTCAAACCCAGGGGGAATCAGCTCGCCGAAGAGAGCACGACAGTAAGAACTGAGTCCTCCAAGCACGAAACCGTACACAGCACCCAGAACGTACATCTCCCACTGTTGCTGCAGCCCGAGGAATCCTAATCTTTGGACTGACGGTAGGTAGCCGAGCAAGCCATAGATTGGGATCGTCTCGAAGAGAGCGATGCAGATCAGAATCGTCTGCACGGGGTTGAGATTGAGTGAGTGCGATATTCGCGACCATGTGAAGGCTCCAAGCACCCCACAAACAGTTGCAATGACGTTAATCAATGCCAACATAGCGTACGACATGCCTAGCGTGGTCTTCGCGAAAAGCACAGCCGTGCCAGAGACAGTTGCGATGCTGTCACTAAGAAGAAACCAGGCAGCCAGGAAAAGCAAAACGTCTTTCAGCTGTCGCGCGTGTTTCGCTGTTCGAGCCAGAGACTTCCAAGAGTATGCGAAATAGGCTATGGTTGTACGAATGTTAGACGAGTTTTCGCCAAGATGCAACGGTGGTCCCGGACGTGGTCGCAGCCACAGTGCAGTGGGGATTGAGAAGATAAACCACCATGCGCCGATTATGAACAGGACAAGCCGCAAACCAAAGTTTGAGGATTGGAAGGCGATGACGATGACTATGGACAGCGTTTGCACGAGAAGGGCGGCTATGTAGCCGATAGCAATCCCGTACGATGAGATCTTGGTGGACAACGCAAGTTCCTGTGACGAAGCCGAACGATCCTTTGTGCGAGGAATGGTGAGGTCAGGCGAAGAGTGCTGCGGAGGGAGGAGGGCGGTGGTCGCGTCCGCAACTTCATCAAAGATAGTTTCGTTTTGTGCAAGTTGGTTAGAGTAGCGTGCCTCTTGTGCTACGCGTGCCTCTTCGGAAAGATTGTCAACATCGTCGTCATAGTCGTCTGTCAAGTCATCTCCATTTGATGTGGCGTATCGCACAGTGGGGTGGAATCTGACCAGCAGCGGAAGGAAACTGTTCAAGAGCACAAAACTTGCGCCGAAGCACGTGTTTGCAATGATTGCCAACACTGCACCCAAAATGTACACGCTGGGTACTACAGGCAAAAATAACATTGTCGCAGTGCTGCCGATGAATGCGAACCACAGAAGGAACGTCTTTCTGAACCGCCCGTGGTCTGCAGCGCCAGACATGGATATGATGAGCAATGCCTGAATCAGCACTGATATGCTGAATGTATACATGGCGAAGCTTGCCGTGTTAACCTCAAGACCCAGGATGTTAACGACGCATTGTCCTTTGTCAGGATGGTATGGCTTGAACATGGCCGTGAAGTTGGTCGACGGGGTGACGGCGGGTAGCGAGGCCTTGCACGGCGTAGTGTGGTCATGAAGGAGGACGCCATTCTCGCGGGCGAGCTGCTCGAGGGTGACGGGAATGAAGGAACCAATGCCGCATACAACGAAGACCTGTATGGATTAGCTGGCAGCTGTGGTAGCGACAAGAACATCTCCAAGCAGAACAGACGATTCATCAATCGACAACGGGACCAAACTAGCAACCAGAGAAACCTCTACAGGAACGCACCTCTGCCGCCCATCCATACATGTAAAAGCCGGACAGCTCCTTGTCGCTCGTTAGGCGCGTATCTTCGCCCTCATATTGCGGGTCTGTAGCATAGGACTCCATATCAAAGCTGCGATCGGAAAAGCTCTGCTCATCGTCGGCCTCGTTTGATTGTGACGATGTGGGCAGCGAGAGTTTCGACTGCGTTGACGCGTTGCGTCCGAGCTGTGGTCGCGCCTGCCGGTACTCTGGCGGAAGGGAAGGTGCGCGTGGCGTCATAGCGTCGATTGGGATTGGCGGGAGGCTGCGTTACCGCCTCTGAGACATGACGAACACAGATCCAGGCAGGTGGCTCAGCAGTTATGTTGGACGCTGCTGTGAAGCGCTCCGAGTCTTGGAGTAACCAAGAAACTTAGAAGGAAACAAGATGAGCTGCGAAGAGGGTGCGCAACGTGTTGGGGTGGCCGGCAGAGCCATGGGCGTTGTGCAGATGATAGAGCGAGCCACACTCCATCAGTCTCGGATAAGGCGCTTTTGGGCTAGACAACTATCACGTCCTGGTCACGCCGCGCTCGCCGCTGGATGCGGGCCTTCAAGAGCGAGTGCATCTTGCGGTGTGACTGGAAACAGCGAGCCTACATGAACTGCTTCGTTCTGAGACACGGTTATTACCACGCCATCTGCGCAGTATGAGTGAGCCCTATTGTGTGCACCTGCAAAAGTCCCGGCTCTCGTCATCCATTGATGTTCCTTCAATGTCTTGCCTAGGGTGTGCGATGATGGATGCAGGGCGCATGTGGGTCTGCCAAGAACGAACGTCAGGCTCGCGCCTTCCCTCACCTTCGTGTCCAAGGTTAGGTTCAGATCGCTAACCACACCACACCGAGGTCGTCGCTACGACTCCGCCTTCTCTCCGCCAACACATACCGCGCCTTGCCGTGCGAGCGCGACCGCTTCAGTGCGCAGTCAGCCTTCACCCACCCGTGCGATGCGATAGCGACAAGTCGAGAATCGCCCAGTCCCTGCTTTGACCTCCTGCTTGCGATCAAGGCCCATTCACGATACTGCAGCGTGCTCAATCGACTCGCGCCTCTTAACCGTGTTCTTCGCCGACAGACCTTTGCGCCTTGATTGCGCGCCGGAATCTTTCGCCCGTTGCGATTAGTCGGAAGCCCTTGGAGGCCGCCCTCGAATAATTCCCCTCGGCGCACCCGCTGCGAAACACGATTGCGCCGTACACGATCCACGCCAATATACTCGCGACTGCGCGCCGTAATAACGTGGCGAGCGCGCCGGCGCGCTGCATGACGGTGCCCAGACTATGCCCGGCATCCTCATGATGAACCACAGCGTGAACGACACAGTAAGAGATGGAGAAAACAAGAAGCGCTGGTCTGATGGAAAGCTCGTCAACGGCATCGATGGGCGCAGCGACACGGCCGCCATGAACGGGAACATCGGGCCGGCCACTAATGGCACTCCAATTGCGCCCACCATGGACCAACATCCAGAGGAGGAACCCAGCATCACCCATATCGGTCCAGATGCCTACCACCCTCTGTCGAAGCTGCTTGCACGTGTTGGTCAAGAATGCTACAATGCGCTTGAGGAGACTTTACACAAGATGTCTGGCATGTCATTAGGCCAGCAAGCCAATGGAGCCATGACTAACGGTGTCGTATCACAAGACAATCCAGAGGTGAACAAGCGTAAGAAATTGCTTTTGCTTAAGTTTGCACAAGAAAACCGGGCCAAGTTCATAAAGCTACTGGTATTGACAGAATGGGGCCAGAAGTCCGCGGTTGATATTGGCAAGGTCATCGACTTGTATGCTTGGGCAAAAGAGCAGGCTGCACACATGGATTTCGCGGATGAGCAGGTTAATCAGATCAAGATCCTCTCGGCCTATGCTAGGGAGAACAATCCAGACATCAGGACTGCACTGGAGGTGCTGTCGGTTGGAAAAGCATCCTGGATACCAACTGTGCGCACACCCACTGAACGTAGAGATCATTCAGTACTGACAAGTGACAGCTGGATTACATACCACCTGATCCCATTTCCCCAGACAAGGCGCTTAAGCTCTTACGTACCATGAACACTTCTCTTTCGATACGGCTGAACGTACATGAAACCCTTCCCCGACACCTTCGGAACTGGCGTATACAGTCAGGTCGTGCAACTTTCGTGATTGAGAATGAGATGGAATTCGATGTGGTGTCTTTTGTTGAAGATGCTACTGATCAGTGGTGGTTTCTCGACCTGCGGTTACTGTTCGCCTCTGCACCAACGATTGCAACGGGCAGTAAATTCTGGGAGCAACTCCAGCCTCAGACTGATTACGTCTTGCAGCAAAAAGGCCTCAGTGGGCTCTTCGACTTCTTGCATAACTTCGTCCTTACCCACAAGCTCTCAGTGCTGCGATCGCAAGCGGTCGGACTGGCGCGCTCAGGCTCACTGAAGGCTGAGAAGGTGCATCGCGAACTCGTGGTTCAGTACTGGACCGATAGGCCAGGGAAGAAGAATTGGATAGAGTTCGGTACAACAAGTAATAAGCCAAAGAACGGAAAGACCTCCTGGCGAGGTCCACCGATACCATCCCTGACAGCACGCTGGTTTCGCCAGGGGAAGGAGGTTGTGGATGTCGATCTTGGAATCGACTGGAAGGACCTTTCGATGGACACAATACTCAAACGCGTCATCGCACTCCACACGGCGCAGATACTACAGTCGACGAGACAGCATTTCGATCCGAGACTAGATGTACAATCTAGTTTGTCTGGATCTGAGCCTACCGACTGCAGCCTCACAGCAACCCTAGGAACGCAGTCGAACTCCGTCGCGCTATCGATGGAGCCGGTGACAGGCAACTACATCGTACAACCCGCCAGCGCACTCTCTGCCAGAGCTGAGTTTGCTATGAATCAGGGCAGAGAGCCGATGCAGATAGCAGGCATACTCACATCGATGCTGTCGCAGATGCTCCGGGATCAGATCCAAAGAACTGCGCAGCAAGTAGGGTGGCAGCGAATTACAAGACAGGCCCTCCGACCAGACACAGTGAAGGCAGCTGTGAAGTCAGATGTCTTGGAATATGCCATGTACAGTCCTCGTGGCTGGACATCGAAATGGGCTCTAGCCGCTCTCGTGAATACTGCAGGAGAGTCATGGTGGATATTCGAGCTGGGATCCAATGGTATCTCGATCGACTATGCCGAGCAGATCGTGATGGACAAGCATGATGGTACAAGTATAGCTATCAACCGGGACACCCTCACTCGTATGGAGCGTGTGGCCATGCAACTTCTTTCCTTCCGGGTCACGGCTCGTGAATTGGACAGGGAACACAAGGTGTTTTCGCTGCGCCACGAGTGCGGTACAAGCACCAACCCTACTGAAGTCAATCATGTCGTTCAAGGATGGGCATTGTATCTGCAGACGACCGATCTACTCACAACCAATTCCGGAGAGCGACCATGGCTCGAAGACGGCATTGCTATTACCTGCGAGGGACTTAAGAATGACGGTCGCAGCGTTTGGCACATCGCCTCCGGTCGTATGGTCAAGACTGCAGCCGCAGACATGCAAAAGCTGATGGCTGCGTCTCCACAAAGCAGCTTCAAGTTCACAGCAGACGGTAACTTCAGGATTCTTCTAGCGACTCCATTCGGCAGCGACATCCTCGGCGAACTTCGAGCCCGACTTCGCGACGTCAACCGCCTACGGTCATTTGCAACTACACTCCAGAAACGCGAGATGCGCCTAACATCCTCTTCCTTACAGAAGGTGCAGTTCCAGTATGGGCCGTCTCCTCACACCGCAGCCGTGTCCTTCGCCTCTGAAAGCGAAGTCGCCATCGATATCGCCCCAACAAATCCACACTACCGCATACACCGCCTTCTTACGTCCATTGCTAACGACCGTAATCCGTGTCTGCCACTGCTTCCCTACGGCGACGCAAACGGCCTGGACCACTTCTGCACTACGCTTGTCCTCACGCGCTCCCTCCTCACTGTTCTCCACGAACTTGAGACTGCCACGCCTGGCAACATTCGCAACCCTGCCGTTCATGTCCATTCGGTTTTCAAGTACCGTCTCACCTACGAGAATCCGCTCTGTACATTCGATATTCGCCTTCAAACTAAGAATGATAAGGTGTATTGGTTCATCGAAGACAACTTCAACCACCCGCCCGACATCCGCGCCACACCAGAAAGGAATGCTCGTCTAAGGCGGCTAGAGAACCTCCAAGAAAAGCTGAAAGAGCTGTTCAGGGACCGCGCACCAGGCTGGTTCGGCACCCGCAAGGGTATCGTCACCGAGCTCGACGCCACCCCCGACGCCCTGCGCAAACTCAACGACACAGTCCTAAGCTGCAAAATGGACGGCCCCTACAAGCCCCCACCGCCCCTCGAGATCCCCCAGCCGCAGCCGCAGCCCCAGCAGCCCAACGGCAACACCCCCAAAATGCAGCGCCAGCCCTCGCAGCAGCACCAGCACATGCAGCAGCCCCCGCAGCAGCGGCCCCAGCAGTTCTCGCCCCAGATGCAGCGCAAGCCGCAGCCGGGGCAGCAGCCCGGCGCCCGCCCCATGCAGAACGGTCAGCGCCCCACGCCCCAGCAGATGCAGCACCTCCAGCAGTTGCAACAGCAGGCCCGGGCTGCGCAGCAGCAGCAGCAGGCGCGCCAGGGCAAGGGCGATATCATCGAGATTGATTGATTGAGTGAGTGAATGAGTGGATTGATGCGATTCGGCGGGATTTTTCAGCATGCATATATTTACTTTTTGCGAGGCGCTGGGCGCGGCTTGGTTTCGTGATTCCCGGTACAGCAAGGCAGGGGGACATGGGTGTGCGATAGATGTATGATGGTGAGAGGGTTCAGGGGTGGTGCGGGAGCGCACGTGGCGACGAGGGCATAGATAATGAAATGAAATATCACAAGTACTTTGTGTGTTTTGCGTTCTTTGAATCTTGTGTCACAGGGAAGAGGCACAGCGCGATGTGCTGGAGTCGAATACACAATATCTGAAAGCCGTACTAGGCCTGTATTCCATCCTTTCAGCCCTAACAACACTCGTCATAATAACGGACGTGAATAATCCTAGCCGACAAAAACACCACCCATGCGTAATAATACCAAAACGCCTTATGAACAGCACACCTCAACAATTCACAAGTCTCTACCTCGCGAGCCTCGAAGCAATACCCGGCCTCCTGCCGCTCTGTCTGCGCATGCTTTCTAGCTTCTGCTTCAGCTGTTCGTGGATCTTGCGGTTCTGCGCCCAGCCCTCGCTCAGCTTCTGCATGCGCAGCGCGGCGATGACGGCCAGGGCCGCCGACTTGAGCTTCGGACGGCGCTCGTGCACGGTGATGTCGGGTGTGATTCCCATCTGCGAGATGAGGTTGAGGTCTTCTTGGTTGCTGCGGGGTGTTAGTGCTGGAGGAACGAGGGGAGGGGGAGAATGTACCATTCGTTGTAGGTCTGGATCTGCATCAGGAAGAAGCGCTTCTGGTACCCGAGTGCTTCGCGGAAGGATTCGGCTCGCGAGCAGCGCGCGCGGAGGAACTGGATTTGCTTTGCAAGGCCGTTGATCTCCTTGACGTGGCGCTTCTCAAGAGCTTGGGACTGTGCATCAATGTCGTATGCCTCGTTTTGCGCCTTCTGCTGCACGGCCTTAGCGGAAGCCTGCAGCAGGCGGAGCTGCGATTCCTTCTCGCGCAGACGCGATTCGAGGTCGCGAAGCTCGCGCTCCAGTGATGACATCTCCTCGCGCTGCGCAGACTTGATCTCGTTCTGGGTCTTGCGGTGCTGTGCGTCTTTCTCGCGTAGGCGAGCCTCGAGATCGTAAAGCTTGTTCTCCAAGGCTGCCTTCTCTTCCCGTTGAGACTGAGATGAAGCGACTTCGCTTGCTTTCTCGCGAAGCATAGACTCCAGAACAGTGATCTTCTCCTCAAGTGAAGCCTTCTCCTCCAGAACCTCATCAGCATCTTCCTGAAGGACCTCAAGCTCGTCCTCATACTCCTGCTTTTGTCGGGATGCCATTTCTCTCAGCTCTTGGAGAGCTTCAAGTCGCTCTTCAGCTAGCTGCTGAATGGACTCGACTTGGCCCCTCTGGGCATTGATCTCCTCGCGCAGAGCCTCAAGATCATCATCGCGCTTGCGAACAAGATCTTGCATGACATCAATCTGGGTCTCGGGCTCGTCGGCGTGGTTCCGCATGGCGTCCAGCTCAGCATCTCGCTCGGAGACTGTCTTGCGAACCATTTCCAGCTCTCGCGTTCGGTCGCCAAGGTCACTCCTAAGCCGCCTAAGCTCGTCGAGTGCTCCCTCTTGCGCATCGATCTTCTTCTGCAACGTAGCAACATCTCGCTCCCGAGACTGCATCGCTGATTGGAGGCTTGATAGATCGCGGGAAAGAGCATCTCTCTCTCGCGTGATCTTCTGCAGAGCCTCGATCTGTGTATCATTGCTGGACATAGTCGAGCGCAAGGCCCGCATCTCGCGCTCGATGTTATCGCGCTCCTGGCGTAGGGTGGCGACTAGAGCATCACGATCGTCGTTTCCTCTGTTGAGTCTGTCGACCTGCGCATCCTTGTCGGCCATCCTTGATGTCAAGCTGTCTCGCTCTCGTCGTAGATCTGACACCTCTCGCGAGAGAGTATCGTGCTCCCCAAGATCACGGTCTTTCCGTGTGGCAGTCTGTCGCAGTTGTTGTAGTTGTTGCTCGTACTCAGAAGCGTCGCGCTGAAGACGGGCGACTTGCTGCATCGAGTCCTGGAATTGTCTGCGGTAGTCTTCAAGCTCGTCAGCTCTAGACTCGGCAGCATCAACCCTCGATTGGAGAAGCTCGATCTCGACGCCCTTCTCTCGTGCAACATCAACCACCTTCTGCTGAGCATCATGCGCAGACTGTCGTGCAAGTTGGACCTGGTTGTCCCCCTTGGACTCGGCAAGCTGCACGCGCTCCTGCAGAGCATCGAGCTCGGCATCCTTTTCGTTCTGGATCGTATGCATGCGTCGCTGTAGCTCTTTGATGTCGGCATCCTTCTCTCGTTCGAGCGATCGCAAGCGTTCTTCAGCGAGTGCGAGTTCGTGGTGCTTCTGTGTTTCCGCTGCCTCGAGCTCGCGCTCCGCCTCGTCAAGTTGCTGCTCAAGCTCGCGGATCTCCTGGTCGTTGCCATTCGCAGAAGCATCGAGCCTATCCTGCAGCTTCTCAATCTCTGCTTCCTTCGTTCGCTCGAGCGACCGCAGCTGGTCCTCTAGGTCTTCAATTTTCTCGTTTTGTTCCTCGATCCGCTCGATCTGGGTCTGCAGCTGTCGCTGCAGGTCGACTGTGTCTCTGTCTTTTGTCTGCGAAGCCGCGTGAAGTTGTGCTTCAAGCTCAATGACCCGATCCGCCTCCTTCTGCAGCCGACGGTTCTGCTCCTCCAATGCAGCGATCTTCTCGACCTGCTCGGAAAGTCGGCGGTTCTCCTGCTCCAGCTCGCTCACGCGTTCTGCTTGTTGGCGCAGCTCGCGCTCGCTTTGCTCGAGCTCTGCTATGTGGTCGGCCTGTTCCCTCAGCTGTCGGTCCTTCTTCTCGACGTCAGCAGACGACAAGCCTTGCGCGTTCTTCAGCTTGTTCTCCAGCTCCTCGATTTGGTCCTCGTGTTCGTCGAGGAGCTGGTCCCGTCGCGACATCTCAGCCTGAGCGCTCTCCAGTTCGGCGCTGACCTTCTCGAGCTCGTCTTCTGCACTGCGCGCCTCTTCCAGCCTCTCCTCCAGGCTCTCGATCTCTGCACTGCGCTCATCGGCCAGGCGGCGCAGCTCGTCCATCTCTTCGCGCATGCCGGCGTCGGCGTGTCGCTTCTTAACCTTCTCAGCGTAATCGCGCAGCTGCTGTTTGTAGCCCTCGAGCTCTTTCTCTGCTGCCTTGAGATCCTTCGAGTATTGCTTGATGTCGCGCGACATGGTGACCTTCTCCGACTTGAGGTTGACGTTTTCTTCCATCGTCCTGACGTTGAACTCTGGCCCCATCTTCTTAAGGTTCTCCTCCAGAAAATGAATCTTCAGCTTCAGGCCGAAGTTCTCCTTGTCAATCTGCTCGAGACGCGCTTCCTGTTCGCGTAGGGTGAGGACGTTGCCGTTTCCGTTGCCCAGGTCGAGCTCACCCTCGCCACGCCGTGGCAGGGCCATGGGCGTGCTCATCGCGCTCGAGCTAGGGTCCGGCAGCTGTGTGCGGCCGTCGATGGAGTGGTCGAAGGAGCTGGACTGGACGTCGAGCGCGCTGGCTTCGGGCAGCGGGGAGTCGCTCATTCGGAAGCCATTCTTCAAGGCGGCGGGGGTGGTCATCTTGCCGTTGAGCAGGCCGGAGACCTGGCGCGTGCGGTTGGCGGTTGCGCTCTTCAGCATGGGCGTGAATTCGTTCCTTGCATTGGGGTTGCGCAGGGCGGCAAGCGGGTTGCGGGGTGTGCGCGCGCCGCTCATCTTCTTGAAGAGCTCGTCGCGGCCAGCAGGTGCCTGGAATGACTCCTCCCTGCTGAACGAGAGGTCATGCTGGGTGAGGCGCGTCGCGTCGCCCGCGTCGGTGCGCGGCGTCGCCGGGAGAAAGTTCGCCATTATTGATGCTTTGCTAGAGGATGCGCATGAGTGAGAGGAATGTCAGTCGCCGGCGTGTGGGCACCTCGGTCGGCAGAGGAAGCTTGTTGACTGCTGTGTATTGTTTGTTGTTCGCGCGCATCTGGCTTAGCGTCCCAGAGAGGCAGGGCCGAAAGGTGGGGCGTTCTCTCAGCCAGTCACGTCACTAGTTCGCCGCTCCATCCCATCTTTTTGTAACTGCGAGTCGATAGTCCTCACCACTCAACATGGATTCTGGTGATGACCTAAAATGGTTCGGTGAAGGCTTCGACGGGTTTCCGAAGAAGCTGCCGGAGGACGTCGTAGAATACATCATCTTCATCATCGACGCTAGGTTGTCGGACATCCAGACGCGAGAACGTTTGCAGGCTTTTCAACGTGCTCTGCAGGATCTGAAGAAGCGGTTCTTGAAAGAGTATATCTGGCAGCGAGACGAGATCAAGCTCGACCTTGTGCGGGAACACGACCGCTGGCTCCTGAAAGGGCAGACCAACTACGGTGATAGTGTCGCTGATGAGTGGTTGATTGTATTCTTCTTGCGCGAACTGAGTAAGGAATTCAAAGACGCCTGGATTCGCATATACGACACAGATGGCGAGTTCCTGCTCATTGAGGCTGCAAACGCGCTGCCAAAGTGGCTCACGCCCGAGGTTGCAGAGCACCGAGTCTGGATTAACACGCATCGTCTGCTCATCACACCTCTAGGTAAAGAGGAGGAGCCAGCACCTCTGCAGCTCGACAAAGCGCTCCAAATATTGAAGGACACGCCGGGACGACCGCAGCAGTATCTGAAAGTCGAGAAAGAGGCCTTCCACCGCCTGAACAACTACCCGTCTGCTATCACAGAGAACCAACACCATGCCACCCTCCCCCTTCCACGCAAAGTGGCACATATCCTGCACACGAATCCGTCGTATATCTCTCCTGTCGTGGAAGCCTTCTACCTCCGCGATCCGATATCCTTGCGGCTGCTACAACCTGAAAAATCCAAGACAGCACTCACGTTCCCGCCCGAGGACTTCGTATCTGTCAGCGTCCGGTTCACTAAGGTTCTGTACGCACAACTTCTCGGCCAGCACTGGAATCCACCACCGCAATACGAGGCCGCCATCGAGTCCCTGACGAAGTCCGGCCACCCGCAAGAAAAGAGCGAAGTATCCATCAAGCTCACCGCCGGCATGCAGATGCTCGCCTCGCACTCGCTCTTCGCCGACAAGCAAGTCGTGCGCGAGATCAGCCTTCTGCTGGAGGATCTCGAAAGCGGCGACGACGCGCTGCCCACCGATGCCGAGATTGCGGCGTGGCCAAAGCGCGAGGACGACGAGAGCTGGCTCGACATCGACTTCTCCGAGTTCGAGAAAGAACTGCAGGGCAAGGGCGGAGAGAAGGGGTTCGGCGACAAGAACGCCCAGGACAATCTGAAAAAGATGGTGGAGCGCTTCACCACGTTCCTCGCCGACGACGACGCCGGACACGAGGGCGCAGACGCACACGAGCGCGACCCGATGGACGAAGACAACGACTCCGACCCCGGCCGCGGGTGGGACGACCCGTCGGACAGCGACTCCGACTCCGACGGCGACGGCGACAGCGACGCCAACCCAGCAGCCCCAGCACCCGACCCGCCCGCCTCCACTCCCCCCGAGAACCCCCTCCCGCGACCACCCCCCCGCCCCCAGCCCGACCCCGACTTCGACGCCGACTCCGACACAGACTCAGCCTCCACCGACGCCGACGCCGAGTACGCCGAGTACGAGAAGTCGTTCGCGGCGTACATGACGCTGCCGGCGCACGAGAAGGCGCTGCTCACGGACGACGCGCGCACGCTGGCGCTCGCGCAGGACGCGGAGGTCGAGGAGGAGGAGGAGATTCGTAAGCTGACGGCGGCGATGGAGGCGGAGTTGTTTGGGCACGGGGCGCTGGATCTTGGCGCGGGACGGGGCGCTGCGGGGAGGGTGGTGGAGGGTGGTGCGAAGAAGGGGGGGAAGGCGAAGGCGAAGGACAAAGCGGAGGACAAGGCGAGGGAGAAAGGGGATGTCAAGGGCAAGGGCAAAGCAAAAGCAACCATCTCCTTCGCCTCGCCGGACGACGACATCGAGGAGATCAACCGCGACGAGAGCGCTTCCGACGACGAGGAGATCAACGACGACGACTACACGCTCGTGCAGAACATGCTCGCAGCCTTCAAAGGCCAGGCCGGCGCCGCAGGACCCGCGGGGAACATGCTGCGCGCGATGGGGATCCAGATGCCACGGGACGCGGACGACGAGGTGGCAGGTTCTGGGAGCACGGGCGGGAGCGCGGGTGCGAGTGCCGGTGCGGGAGGGAGTTCTGGGAGCGCGGGAGGCAGTGCAGTCGGCGAAGGCAGGGCGACTGCGAATCCCCTGCGGAGGCCGGACTGGTACATGAAGAAGTAGGCTCCCTGGTGACGCCGTTGCACGCACACGCTATACCTCACTCTTGCAGTCTAGTCTAGAAGTACTAGAATCGACACTCAAAACACCACACCACGACGAGACGAGATAAAACAGGGTAGTGTGGTTTATTATATACACGCTTACACTACCCAACTCGCCAGCGCGCTGGCACATGCTCCATCCACAGCAAAAACACAGCGTGTCCTTGTCCGCACCCCACCCACCCGACACCCCCGTCTACAGTAGATCTACGCATATGTATCCGTCGTCCCATTTCTGCACCTCACGTACCTCAGAAGACCCGTGCGTAACCCCCCCCCCCCCCCCCCCCCCCGGACCCACGCACCAGGCCCAGATCACCATGGAGGCCTGCGGGGGATCGGAGGATCGGAGGATCGGCGCTCGGCAATGGCGACGCGCTTACTTCCGGTATCTGCTCGGATGGTGCTGTGATGGGTGGGTTGTGGCAGCAGTATGTGCAGTGCGGTGTGGACCAGGACCAGGACTTGTGCAGGGCGTGTCGCAGGAGGATGCTGAACTAGTGGGGTCCTGTGTGCGAGGTAGGTCAGGGCGTGTGGAAGCCGTGTTGTGAGACAGCCCGGGATGAGGGTTTGGAGTATCAGTTTGCGCCGTGGTCTCGCAACGCACCGCGCTGCCCCGCGCTCCACAGTCCACGCACACACTCGCAGACCATTGCATCTGCATACATCTCCCGACGGCAACACACTCCGCCATTCCACGACTCGGCCGACACCTGCCAGACCCCCCCTGTGCGTCTCCACGCCAAGATCCGTGCGTTTCTGCATCTTCGCGCACTTCCAACTGTGGCGGAGCGACGCGTAGGATTCCACCGCTGTGCATGTGCTTTGTGCTTACCGGGCTTACCTACTGCTGCACGTCAAGGGTGCGCAGCATATGCTTTGTAATCGGCATTCGACTCATCGACTTGTCTTACTCTGCAGGCAGCAGAATGAACGGTGGCATGGTGCTCGCAAGCGGAATTCAGCGGTACGGTAACCAACTTTAGAAGTGTCAAGACAGTGCAGGCGGGGAGGTGCAGTGCAGTGCAGGCTATTGCCCCAAACGAGCATCGCGCCCAGCACGCAAGAAAACTGTAAGGTCTGGAGCAGCGCTGCGCCGTGGCCAGAGTGGTGCCCGGAACTCAGCATCGGTGTTGTGTGCTCGGGTCTGAGGTGAGCCTCGCTTGCCATACATACCCTGCCATACCGTGATGCTGGGCTGGAGATCCAGTGTCAGACGTGGACAGGTGTGAGGGTGTAATGCAGCATACTATGGTCTTGTACATGCTGCTTAGCAATCCGGCGCAGGTGGGGCTCGACTTCGCTGTGCTGTGTGGCTGGCAATGGGTATGTTATGTCCATTCCTACGTATCGGGACGCATGGTGTAACGGGACGCATTCTCTTCCGGACCCTTGGACTGTCCGCATCTTGCTTGTATTTACACAAGCGCAACACGCATCTACTCTGTGGCTCTTGCTCTCCTAGCACATCAAATTCCAACACGAAACGGCGCGTCATTGACTATGCTGTCGCTCGTTCTGTCAACGCCATCTCCCAGCTCTCCTCTGACAACCCCTGCTCGTCCGCGATGGTACACTTCTGCGAACAGCTCAGTAGACTAGAAATGAAGCTAGAATAGTAAAAATTAAGACTGCAGTGTTAGAATGTTGATTTAGAGTGATAAGTATACATCCCAGCAGTTTCTCCGCGTAAATAGCAAGATCGTCAAAAACGCCTCCTCGAATACATGCGCCGTCAGTGGCACTTGACAAGCAGGCAGCCTGCAGTAGCGTGCTCAGTAATGTCTGCTCCAACCGAATCTGGCACTATACCCATAACAGAAGCTGCTGAATGCAGTTGTGGCGCATGCCTACAGCTTTTCGTAAGCGTCTACGATTATGTATTCATTCTGCTTGCACTAACCCTACAAGTAACGTGAGCATAACGCTGAGGATCCACTAAGTAGCAGCGATTCTCGAGCTGTGTGTGCGGCAGAGGTAGCCCGACTGCTTGTCCGTATCCCACCCACGTTTATGAGACTGAGAGAACAGTAAAATGGACCAATCAATTAATGCGCTATAGATTGCGGCAAATCAGCCTTGCTCCGCCATGGGTGGGCAGTGCATCTGCTCAGATCTGTTATGCTGGAACAAAAGTAGCAGCCTTAGAGAGCAGTTTTGCCTAATCATTATTTGTATAAGTTGCTGTGTTCTGTGACTTTGGACGTATATAAGAGTTTCCTTGCCTACAATTATCTTTATTAGCCCTATTTTACTATGTCATCACCGCTAGCACACCTTCCGTCACGGCCAGAAAGAGCCCGCGTCAAACACTCAGAAAACATTGCGTTGGAGGCGACAGGGTTCCAACCTGCTCTACAGAGCGGCCTGAAGAAGCCCAAGAAAAGAACACGGCGACGGGCTATGCACGAAGTTTCACTGAAGTCGTCTTTACCAATGCCGTCCAAATTGTCCGAAGACCCCATCTTTACTTACTTCCAGGAGGAAACTGAGAAGAAAGACGGTGCAAGCTGTGTCTTCTTGCTATGGGGTTCTGAAAACTCTGAAAGCTTCACAACCTGGGCTGTGGACGTTCCGATTACCGACGTTGAAAGTGAGCAAGATATCTTCGATTCATTAGCCAAGAGATATCACAAAGAACTCGGCCTCTTGCGAAGGTGCTTTTCCTTCAGGAAATTCAATAGACTCAGGCCCGCCACTGTATGTTCCTACCGTCTCATAGCGTACTCATCTGTACTAAACCTAAACATAGTTTCGATTTATCTGTCGTTCCTCGAAAAAGTTTTTAGTCTTCGTTGAACCTTTAGACCTGGACGACTGGCGCAAGAGCTACTCTGAGCAACAAGAAGAAGCGACAAAACTCATTGAATCGATAGAAGACTTCGATTCCACCGATTTTCCAGATCACTGCTATCGCGACAACTCTGGGGAATACAATCATTGCAACAGCGACTGCCCAACCAACTCTTCAAAACTCTCCGGTGTTTCGACCTGTCCGTTCCAGGAATGGGACAGGTGCAATGATCAGATACGTTGGATTAAAACCGCGTCTTTCCTTTCTTGCTACTTTCACAACCCACTAGGTGCAAGCTCTCAGAAGATACTTAATGGCTTGAGTAATCATCACTTCATCCACCACTATAGGTAAGTCTGAGATGCATATGCTAAAGAGATCCGACTAACATGAGTATCACCAGGAACATCTGTTTGCCCGCCGTCGAGTTTCGACCGCAGAACAGATATCTAGAACTACATGGCTTGTACGTTGAGACTGCGTGGTGTCCTAGAAAATGCCTCTGTGTATTTCTAGGTATTCTCCTTTCTGTAGTAATTGGAGGAAAAGTTTTCTGGGGCAGCTGGGAGATAATATTCGGCGCTGGAAGCTTCATTGTCGCTTTGCTGATGTTGGTATTGACGGTACTTAATTTGTATGATGTCTGACAGATAGAAAACGCGATTAACGCAATAGTGTGAGTGCATCTGCCCCTCCATTGTGTAAAGCTATCGCGAAGGGAAATTGCGTTATCGTCGAGGCTGGTAATCGTCGAGGCTGGTAATCGTAATAAAGCCTTCATCTTAGTACTTCAGAAGACGCATCAACTCGTGTGGTGGGCTTGCAGTAGGAACGAAACACGAGGCCTGTAACAGCCTAGTATAACGAGAGTGCGATACTCGTATACGCCTGCAGAATGTTAGCCGCAGGGCTGTAGAGCGCCTGGCGCCATGTTAAGAGCGTCCAATATTCGACCAGCCTTATCCGTGCGGACGACAGGGCGGAAGATCAGAAATAGCAGAGTGCAGCGCGCTGAGGCATATCAGGCAGCGTAAACGGCGTTGGCGGCCAAAGTCGCGCCGCAACAGCGAGACTGAGCACCTGGCCGTAGAGGCTTCCAGAAACTTATTTCTTACGATAGCATATAGCGACATCTGAGCACGCTACTGCGGTCAACCTGCATGCCAAGGGACACCGCAACGAGCGGGGGGTGTGGCGCGCACTCTGCTCGCACTCGCGGCGCGCTGAGTGGCTGGCAGGTAAGCAGGCAGGCAGGTGTGTAAGTAAGAGTATGAGTGCCGGTGACGCGAGGGCGATGAGTCACATGCAGTCTGACAAGGACTGCAAGGCTAGCTAGGCTAGGCAAAGCAAGGCAGACAAACCGGGCGGGCGACGTCTGCACGTTGGAGAAATCTCGTGCGTCGCGCGTGGCGCCACACTCCCACAGCACAGCACAGCACAGAAGCACACCTCGCACTCTCCCAGCGCGTACTCAAAACCTCAACTAGATTCCAGCGCGAGATCGCGCTGCAGCGCCACAAGCACACTCTCCCATCCCACGCCTTTCCCGCCCATTCACCAACTCGCTGTGAGGTACGGACGTTCATCATCTGATAACGCCCGGAAGCAGCCGGAAGCCCACTAGCGAATCCCGCGCGGGAGCCTGTGCTTGCGCCCCACCCAGCGGCGCGCTAAGGAAAAGCTAGGGAAAAGCTTAACTCGCGCGTCCATGTCAACGTCGCCGGCGATCGCGGGATCTTACATTTTCGCCGGGCGCGCAGAAAAACTCTTGCTGCTCGGGGGAAGCGTGGAGTTGTCGCGGACGACGGGGGATCGCGGGCGGGAAGGGGAACCGAGGGAGGGAGGTGAGGCGAGAGAGAAAAGTTTGATGGGAGTGTGAGGAGTGTGGTGCGAGAGACTGCATGAGGCGGGGCTCTGTTTGCAAGCGAATCTGCAAGACGGGGTTGTCAAGTCGCCAAGTCGTGGCTGCAAGGTCGCCAAGTCGTGGGCGCTGGTAGGCGTACGATGTGCTGTGTCCTTGCGTTAACCCTGGTGCCTGTCTGTGGCTCACCCCCCCTCCTCCACGAGCTCGTCCCAGCACTGTACGCTGTGGCTGTGTCCGCGCACCAAGACACCCCCCGGCCTGTGCAATATGATGTGCAGTCAGCAGCCACGGCGATCCGACGCCGTGCCCCACCCGTCCATCAACGTCAACGTCGAAGCCAGCCGAGCGCCTCCCGGCAGCCCCACTCACGCGCTACCCGCCGAGCATTCTGCGTCTGCGTCACATGCACATCTGCGATCGCGGTGTCGCTGACGCGCATCGCGTGATGAGACTTCCGACTTCCGCACGTTCCGGCGCTCGCGGGGTTTAAGACGTGGTGTCGGGCGCGGCGGGGAGGTGGTGGTACTGGATTTCCTGCTCTGTTCTGGCTTCGTGGTGTTGACGGCTAGGAAATTGGACGTTCCGTTGCGTTGGCTTGTTGGCTCATTGACTTGTTTGTTGCATACGACTACATGGCGCGTAGAACCACGGCGGTGGCGGCGGCGCTGCTGCTGCTCCAGCTCGGACTGGTCGCTGCGCATGGCGGCGACCACGGCGGGGGAATGGACATGGGCGCGCCGACCGCGCCGGCACCGCAGCCAGACACCGCGGCGCAGAGCTACTGGCGCCTGGCTTCCCACGTGCCGCTGATGTACTGGCACATCGCGCTCGAGATCGCAGCGTGGATCGGGGTCTTGCCTATCGGTACGCAAACGCCTCCTCTTTCAAACACCCGGTACGCCATCGCTAACACAGCCAGCGGTAATGCTCTCCATAGCGCACTCCCGCCACACCACGCTCGCGCAGGGCGTCTTCCTGCTCCTCAACGCCACCGGCCTGCTCCTTGGGACCGTGTACGCGCGCCAGACACCGGACCTGTACGCGCACAACGCGCACGGCAGGCTGGGGTGGGCCGTGAGCGTGGCCGCGGGGGCGTGGGTGGTGCTGGGGCTGGTGCGGAGGTACGTGGAGCGCAAGAGCGCTGCGTTCGAGGAGGGTGGGAACGCGTTTGGAGAGAGTGTGTTTGGAGCGAGCGAGATGGCGGCGGCGTACCAGCGCGTCAAGGAGGAAGAAGACACTCCGTACCGCTTCTCGGGCGACTCGGCGCAGGGCACGGAGCGCAGCTCGGCGTCGTTTGCGGACTCGCGGGCTAGCGAGGAGGAAGACGAGGAAGTCGGGTTGTTCCTCGGCGCTGCGCAACCGCACGACGACGACAACGACCAGCTCGCGGTCCTGGAGCACGCCAGCCTCGAGAAACGCGCGCCCGCATCGCGCCTCGGGCGCTTCTTCTCACAACTCAAGACCTTCTCACAGCTCAACACCTTCTCGCGCCGCTCCACCACACCCCTCTACATCCTCCACGTCGCACTCGAACGCACCCTCCTCGTCCTCGGCCTCGCCGCCCTGCTCTCGGGCACCGTTGTATACGGCGGCATCGCGCGCGGCCCCGCCATCTTCAACGTGATGGCGCACCTAGTCAAGGGTGGCATCTTCCTGGTCTACGGGCTGCTCACACTCGGGCGCTGGATGGGTGCGTTTGCCGAGTGGGGGTGGGCGTGGAACGTGGCGCCGGCGGGGCGGCGGCGCGCACCGTCGGCGGAGTTTGTGGAGGCAGGGGTGATCTGGGTGTACGGGTGCACGAACGTGTTTCTGGAGCACCTGGCGGCGTGGGGCGGGGCGTGGACGGCGCAGGACCTGGAGCATGTGGGGATTTCGGTGCTGTTTTTTGGGGGTGGGCTGGTGAGTTTGTCGTTCCATTGCTCGCGCGTTCCAGGCTGACTGTCTAGCTCGGTATGATTGTGGAGTCGAAGGCGGTGCGCGGGTTGCTGAACGGTTCGATTGTCGCCCCGGCGCTGTCAGACCCTGCGGCTGCGCCGCCGCGCCACTACAACGTCTCCATGAACCCGCTCCCGGCGCTGGTCATCCTCCTCCTGGGCAAGATGATGAGCGGGCACCACCAGTCGTCGATGCTGTCGGCGACGATCCACGCGCAGTGGGGCAGCATGTTCATGTTCTTCGCGCTGGCGCGGTGCCTGACATATGTGGTGCTGTACATCGCGCCGCCGACGTCGTACTTGCCGTCGCGGCCGCCGACGGAGCTGCTCGCGGCGTTCTGTCTGGTCGCAGGCGGCGTGACGTTCATGGTCAGCAACAAGGATACGGTGGCGGCGCTGGAGGCGTACGGGCTCGACGCCATGTTCACGTTTACGCTGACGGTGGGCGCGACGGCGCTGCTGCTGGCGTGGACGACGGTGGTGGTTGCGGTCAAGGGGTGGGCGGTGCGCGTCGAGAGCCGACACGCCAGGGGTCGGGGTGTGCTGGCGTGAGTTGGCGATGGTTGCAGTCAAGGGGTGACACGCCCAGGGCCGCGGTGTCTGGCGTGAGTTGGTGAGGTGGTGGCGGTCTGTTTTTCCGACTTTTGTTTTTCGGCTGCGTATACCCCGGCTTTACATGTTTGCGAGCTGGTAATGGTAATGAGACTATGACGGGACTTTATGGCTGGTAGTTATGCAGTAATGAATCAGTGGTATATTGCTTACGCTCTCTACACCCACGTCTCGACCTACGCTGCTCTCCCCCTCCCTCGCGCCGACCCCCGCGCGATGCCGCTCCCCCTCCCCCTCGTCCCGCCGCGCGTGGGAATCCCGCCTCGGCCTCGCGCGGTCGGGATGCCGCGCCCCCTGCCCGCAGGCGTCTTCTTCGGCGTCGGGGCCGGACTCGCGGCGTTCTTGAACTTGGTGGCGGCCCGGCCGCTCGGCGGGTTCTCGACAAACGACGTGTCGGTGGTGAGGAAGGTCGCGTCGCCGTCGTCGACGCCCGAGGCGCGGCGGTTCGGCAGCATCGCGGACGGATTCAGGGCGGGGTGGTTCTGCGGGCGCTGGAACGAGTCGGGGGCCGGGGCCTGAGCAGTCAGCAAGCGGCGATGCAGCGCGGCGGCGTGCGCACCTCGGGGAAGTCGACGCAGAAGGCGTTCATGTTCAGCCCGTACAGGAAGCCGGCGAAGCTCTCGCTGAAGCGCGCCAGGCTCTCGTGCATCAGCTGCAGCTGCACAAAGTTCTGCTCCAGGTCGGCCATGGCGTCGCTGAGCTCGGCGAACCCGTCCTGCAGGCCGGCGAGCGCATTGGACGACGCGGCGGTGCGCGACCGCCGGGCGCTGTCGCGGAGCGAGCTGCGCGAGGACGGGCGCAGCGGCGTGGTCGGGCGCGAGCGGGGGGAGCGCGAGCGCAGGCGCTGGGAGCGCGACGAGGGCGGCTCGCGGGTCGGCGTGGTGGAGGCCATTGGTGACGCGGGTGTGTACAGCGCTGTGTGCTGTGGCGTGGATTCAATGGCTGTCAACGGTACTGTCAGTGGTGCTGAACGGTGTCACGTGGTGCGTTGCTCGCGCTTGTTGACGCGGGGTGTTTACAGCCCTGTGGTGCTTCGTATTGTGGCGTCGAGCTGCGCTAGGATCGCAAGATCGCGCACAATGACGCCTGGGCTGCCGCACTTGCAGGGCCCAGTCGCATGCTGTCGGCCGCCGTCGTAGCCGTCGCGTGTCGAGTGCGCGCTTCGTATACAGTACGCGCGGGCTGCCACTTTCGTCCGGAGCGCTCGCAGCCCGTCTTTGCGATCCGACGGAGCCGGCCCACGGTACACACGCCGTCTGACTGCTCAGCCCCCACCCATGTCACCTCGCACTCGTCCGCTGAAGAGACTGTCACTGTCATACGTATCCTCAGCGCCGACACGCAGTAGTCGACGCTCCCCCTTTGCCCCTCCAGCACCTGCTGCCTCGGCCCCCCGCGCGAACAGACACGCTTTTCGCGAACGGGCCCCGCACAATTTCGCGCCCCATCACTTCCAGAGCGGCTCCGGGCTCTGGACTGCTTCTGTGCTCTTCGGACTTGCCATTGGCGGCGCCGTCCTGCTTCCCCTGCTGAGGAATCCCTCCGATACCCTCGACACCCCAGATTCCGCCTTTGACGTCACCACCACCGACTCGCTCCTCGTCATGGCCGCCAACACGCCCGCCGGCCGCCCCGGCACCCTCACGCCGCAGGAGGAAGAGAAGCTGCGCGAGCTGTGGCTGCTGACGCTGCGAGTCTTCGGCGTGCACAGCGCCGACGACGGGAACAACGGCGTCGAGCCCGCGCCCGCACCCGCACCCGCCGCCGCCCCCGAGAAGGAGAAGGAGAAGGAGAAGAAGAAGAGCAAACTGCACGTCTTCTCGCGCCACAAGAAGGACAAGTCCGAGCCCGACTCCGCGCCCGCAACCGGCGCCTCCACACCCGACATCGGCCGCCTGTCGCTGTCGACCGACGACGACAAGTTCGGCCAGACAGCCGACTTCAAGGCCGCCATCGCCAACATCCCGCCCGAGCACCTGCGCACCGCCTTCTGGAGTATGGTCAAGCACGACCACCCGGACGCGCTGCTGCTGCGCTTCCTGCGCGCCCGCAAGTGGGACGTCGAGAAGGCCCTGGTCATGATGGTGTCGACGATGCAGTGGCGCATGGACGACATGCACGTCGACGACCGCATCGTGCTGCAGGGCGAGCTGGGCGCGCTGGAGGCCGCCGCCGCTGCCGACGCAAAGGCCAAGAAGAACGACGAGGACTTTTTGGTCCAGCTGCGCATGGGCAAGAGCTTTTTGCACGGCACCGACGCGGCGGGCCGCCCGATGTGCATTGTGCGCGCGCGGCTGCACAAGGCGGGCGAGCAGACCGAGGAGAGCCTTGAAAGGTTCACGGTGTACACGATTGAGACGGCGCGGCTGCTGCTGCGCCCGCCGATTGACACGGCGGTGCGTGCCCCCATAAACCCTTACTACTGAAATCGCACTGTACTAACACCACCCCAGACCATCATCTTCGACATGACCGACTTCTCCATGGCCAACATGGACTACACCCCCGTCAAATTCATGATCAAATGCTTCGAAGCAAACTACCCGGAATCGCTGGGCACCGTGCTCGTCTACAAGGCGCCCTGGGTGTTCAACGCCGTCTGGAGCATCGTCCGCGGCTGGCTCGACCCGGTCGTGGCCTCCAAAGTCTCCTTTGTGAAATCCGTCTCCGAGCTCGAGAAATTCGTCCCCGCTGCACAGATCCCCAAGGAGCTCGGCGGCGCTGAGGACTGGGCGTACAGTTTCCCCGAACCCGTAGCCGGCGAGAACGACAAGATGAAGGATGTTGCGACGCGGTCGCGCATCGAGGCGGAGCGCACGGCGATTGTGGCCAAGTACGAAGAAGAGGTGCTGGCCTGGATCAAGGCCGGTACGCTGCCCGACGCGATACCCCAGCGCCGGCAAGAGCGCGATAAGCTCGCGGAGGAGCTGAGGAGGAATTACTGGGCGCTGGATCCGTATGTGCGCGCCCGCACGCTGTATGATCGCATGGGTGTTCTTGGGGAGGGGGGGCGGCTGGCGTTTTACCCGGCGGCGGGGGCGGTGCCTGGTGTCACACCGGCGGTGGGGGAGGGGACGGCGAAGGGGACGGGGCAGGTGGAGACTAGTGCCGATGATCTGGATTGAAGACCGAGAGGAAGGGGGTCTGTATGGGTGAGGGGAAATAGAGGGGGGGGGGGGCAAGTGAAGAGTATACAGGAGGAACTAATACGCGGGCTGAGTAGACTACGCATCCAAATCCACATTCAAGCAGATACGCATACCATGAGTATCACACGCGCACCCCTGCACACGCACCACGAGGCGTGTGGACCGCGATGGAGCAGACAGCACGGCATCTGGGAGCAGTGCATACATCGTCTGCGTCTGTTGTCGCTGCATGTGCTTTTGCTGCATGCACTTTTGCATTCCACGTCGTGTTTCTGCCCGCTACTGTACGCTGTATAATACACTGTATACCCTTACAACACCCTCCTTCTCTCCCTCTCTCATCACCCCTCTATCTGGTCGACTTCCCGCCTCCCTCTGGTCGACTTCCCGTCTACTCAGACTTTCTCGCCTGCTCGGCGTCCCCCATCTTCGCAGCTGCAAAGTCGGCGGCGCGCTCAGCTTTGGCGGCGGCAATGTCCGCTTCGGTCTGCGGCGGGACCAGGTTCAAGGCCGGCGAGTAGGTGATTTCGCCCCTGGCGGCGGCGGCGAGGCGCTGTTTGTGGCCTGCTTCGCCGGCGCGGCCGAGGACGCCGGCGATGACTTGGATGCAGCGGAGACTGGGGGTGTTAGTGTCACAAACAGCAATGTTTCGGGGGGGGGGACATACCTGTCGTCGTTGGCGGGGATCGGGTAGGTGACCCAGGTGGGATCGGCGTTGGTGTCAATAACACCAATGGTCGGGATATTGTTCAGCGCGCACTCGTGCAGCAGCACGTAGTTCTCCAGCGGATTGAGGCACACGACCAGGTCCGGCCGCAGCGCCGCGCGGTCCAGCAGCTGCTCCTCGAAGCCCGCCACGGGCGCGTCGAACTCGTCGACCACGCGCGTCGCGCACCGCCCCAGGATCTGCTTGCCGTTGGTGATGCTGCCCGGGATCCAGCGCTCGAACAGGTGGTAGCCGCCCGCGAGCTCGGCGGCGCGGGCGACAGCGCGGTCCTGCCCGTCGCGCGTCCCGACGAAGAGCACGATGCCCGCGCGGTACGACACGGCCTGGACGACTTTGGCGGCGCGGCGCAGGTGTGCGGCGGTGGCTTCGAGCGAGATGATGTGGATGCCCTGGCGGATGCCGTGGATGTAGCGGGCGTTGGCGGGGTTCCACAGCGACGAGGCGTGGCCCTGGTGCGCCTCCGAGGCGAGCAGCAGCTCGAGGGTGACGTCGGCGGGCGCGGGCGGGTGCGTGAGCAGCGTGTGCGGCTGGTAGTGCGGGCTGACGGCGGCGCCCAGGCCCTTGTGCTGCTGCTTCTGCGCCTGCAGCGCGTGGTACTGCTGGGCGGCGGACGCGGCGGGCGGCGACGGCGACGACGCGGGCGGCGATACAGCGGGCTCAGCGGCATCGGGGGCCTCGAGGCGTATGCCCGCCGCATACTCGCGCTGCCATTGCTCGGCAAAGGACCGCGGGAGGTCCTCGGCGATGTTGGGCGTGTGTGTCGAGTAGGCGCGGCGCGCGAGGGCGGGGGCTGGCAGGCGGTTAGCAGGCGCAGTGCAAGCAACGGATAGACGTACCTCTCCGCGCGAAGAGCCGCGGGACAATGTGTGTGCTGGCCGCCATGGTGGTTGCTGAGGGTGCGGCCGCAAAAAGTTCGGGAGTCTGCGTGCTTGGCGGCGGAACGGAGCCCCGGGGGTTGAGCGTGACCGGTGACCACGCAACAAAAAATGTACAAATCTCTTACAGAATGTTTCTGCTTACAAGATGAGATATTCTCAGCCAAATCCCATTTTTGGTTACTACAATGGCTACAAGCGTGGTGTTGAATTCTTGAGCTCGCTGTCCGCCGTTTATCTGCCCGTATCGAGCCCAGTCGGCGCTCGGCCGGGCTGCGTCATGTCGACGGGCGCAAAGTGAGCTGATCTGAGGCTGCCCTGCGCCGCCCGCCCGGCACCATGGCATTTGCATTCCGCATGCGTCAGGCCGCTTCCCCACACGCGCGCCTCGCCCATGAAATGCGCGCCTTGCCGTGAATGCGCTGCCTGCTGCCCGCTGCCCGCTATCCCGGTCGTGCCTGCGCCGTCGCGCTCTTCCCCGGCCGCTAGCGCAGCCCAAGCAGAACACCCACACCACGGCCTCGTGCAGGGTGCCGTGTACACGCCCCGCCGCCCACGCCCACGCCGCCGCCCTGCTCCCCGGCCGCGCCCACCGCTCCCCCATGACCACGACGGGCGCCCACGATGAATGGATACCCCTACTCGTCCCAGCTGGACCTGGCCGCCGACATGGGCGCCTACGGGCCTGCCGGCACCGAGGGGCAGTCGCTCGATGACATCGTCTCGCAGAACGACAAGAACCGCCGCCAGAGCGCTCCGGTCTACGCGCGCCAGCCCCAGCAGCAGCAGCAGCAGCAACAACAACACCAACAACAACACCAACAGCAGCAGCAGCAGCACCAGATGCACCTGGCCAGCCCGACGCGCACCATGTCGCTGATGAGCTTCGGCAACAACGGCGCCACCATGGACGACTTTGCCTTCGACATGACCAGCGCCGCCGGCATGGACAACATGATGCGCGCCAACGCCTTCCCGCGGCCCAACGGCGACGGCGACCTGGCCATCAAGACGCAGTTCTCCACCGCCGCCTCGCCATTCACCAGCATGGCCGCGCCGGGGTCCAGCTACGCCTCGCCCATCCACGCGACCACTGACCTGGACATGATGAGCCCGTACCCCGGCAACATGAACATGTCGCTAGACATGGACGACTCACTCAACATGATGCAGACCGACATGCACATGTTTGGAAATAATTTCAACACGCAGATGATGGAGTCGCCCGTCAACGCCAACAATGCGCCCATGAACGCCAACAACGCCAACAACACGCCCATCAACCGGGGCGAGGACTTCATCGGGCCGCTGCCTGCGCCCCAGCGAGACGGCAGCATGGTTGGCCAGCACCAGGGCCAGCACCAGGGCCAGCACCATCAAGCGCAGCACCAAAACCAGCACCAGCACCAATTCAACATGCAGTCGCAGAACCAAAATCAAACCCACAGCCACTTCACGACCCCGTCCATGAGTAATACGCCAGACGGCCGGTCGGTGCCCTCGCTCCCCAGCGGTCAGAACAGCCAGCCGGACCAGAGCCGATCCAGCAGAGAGCAGAGCCAGCAGCGCCCAGATACCAACAACAACAGCACACCGACCCAGCTGAGTCTGGCATCGCTCGAGAACCAGCGTCCGATCGCACAGAACCCGGCCCAGACTCTGTCCAACGAGAGGCTCGAAAAAATTAAAAGCTTGAAACTGCCCTGGGCAGAACCCTCGGGCGGCTTTCCCTCCTCCATGCACGCCAAACCGCACATGCAGACACAGTTCAAGAACGCCTACTCTTCGTCTGGTTTCGACATGCTGGGCGTCCTCATGCGCGTAGCCACACGGCCCGATCCGCAAATCGACATTGGGTCCGTGGACCTGTCGTGCGCCTTTGTCGTGTGCGACGCCGACATGGACGACATCCCGATTGTGTACTGCTCCGAAAACTTCGAGCGCCTCACCGGCTACACCAGGCACATGATTCTCGGGCGGAATTGCCGCTTCTTGCAGTCGCCCGACGGCAAGGTCGAAGCCGGCATCAAGCGCAACTACTGCGACGACGACTCGGTGCTCTACCTGAAGAACACCATCAGCGCCGTGACGGAAGCACAGATCAGCCTGATCAACTACAGGAGAGGAGGGCAGCCGTTCATGAATCTGCTGACCATGATTCCCATCTCGTGGGAGCCTGGTGGCAAGGTCAAATTTTTCATCGGATTCCAGGTCGATCTCGTCGAACAGCCCGGCGCCATGACAAACAAGAACGCAGGTGAGTCGTGTCTCTACTTATTTTCTAGCATGTCTGACCAAAATAGACGGATCGTATAGAGTCAATTACCAACGCGGCATGTCCATGCCAAGCTATGTCTTCAACGACGCGTCTAAGCCGCAACCGGAACAGGGTCAGACCATCTCCAAGGATGAGGTTTCGAATGTGCTTGCCTCGTACACCGGCACAGGCGACTCGGAAATCACGCGCCGCATCTGGGACAAGGTGCTGCTCGAAAACACAGACGACGTCGTGCATGTCCTGTCGCTTAAGGGGCTGTTCATGTACCTGTCGCCGTCCAGCAACCGGATACTGGAGTACGACCCGAGCGAGCTTGTGGGGACGGCTTTGTCGTCTGTCTGCCATCCCAGCGACATTGTGCCGGTGACAAGAGAACTCAAGGAGACTAGTAATGGTGGGTCTGTCAACGTCGTGTTCCGCATTCGGAGAAAGAAGAGCGGGTACATGTGGTTCGAGGGGCACGGCTCGCTGCACACCGAGCAGGGCAAGGGCCGCAAGTGTATCATCCTCGTCGGCCGCGAGCGTCCGGTGTACACACTGAGCAAGTCGATTGTCCGCGAGTCCGGCGGAATTGGCGACAACGAGCTGTGGACGAAGATGTCGACGTCGGGCATGTTCCTGTTCGTGTCGTCGAACGTGCGCCAGCTGCTGGACCGCCAGCCCGAGGAGCTTGTCGGGACGAGCATCCAGACGCTCATGCGACAGGATTCGAAGATAAGCTTTGGGCGCATTCTCGAGCTCGTGAGAGGCGGGCGGAAGGGAGAAGTCAAACACGAGATGATCAACAAGAGAGGACAGGTGCTACAGGCTTTTACTACCATCTACCCCGGCGACGCCACCGAAGGCCACAAACCGACCTTCGTCGTCGGACAGACTCGCTTGTTGAAGTACTCCAGGAACAGCAACGGCCAGCGTCCCTCGATATACCAGACCAAGGACACCAGCTCGCAGAGCGCGCTGCAGCCACGCTTCAGCAGCGCCTCGCCCATGCCGCAGTCGCTGTCCGGCGCCGGCTCGATGATCGCCTCGCCCAACCCGCACTTCAACACCACCGAAGCCAACGGCACCACCTTTGCCGGCCACGACGGCCTGACCATCGGGCACCAGGACCACAGCCTCGCCTCCGACGACAACGTCTTCGACGAGCTCAAGACGACGCGCAGCACCAGCTGGCAGTACGAGCTGCGCCAGATGGAGAAGCGCAATCGCTATCTCGCAGAGGAGGTCCAGAGCCTGCTCGCCGCCAAGAAGAAACGCAAGCGCAGAAAGGGCGCGGGGCAGCTGCAGAAGGATTGTGCGAATTGCCATACGCGCACGACGCCCGAGTGGCGTAGAGGGCCCTCTGGGAATCGCGATTTGTGCAATTCGTGCGGGCTGCGCTGGGCTAAGCAGGTACGTCCTGTTGATACTCCACCCTGATACTCAAACGCATACTAACGTGTCCACAGCAAGGGCGCGTCTCCCCCCGCACCTCCTCCGCCGCCTCCGACAAGAGCAAGAAGAGCAACACCTCGCCCCTGCACACCGTGCAGACCCAGTCCAGCATCCCCGATCCGCCGTCCGCGAGCCAGGCGGGCCTTGCAGGCCAGTCCGGTCTCGCCGGCCAGAGCCAGCCGGGCTCGAAACGCACGCCCGAGCACGCGGGCATCGAGGACAGAAGCGGCGTCAAGCATGCCAGGCCCGAGGGCGCGCTGGGGTTCGCGGTGCCGGAGAAGATCGAGGAGGAGTGAGCACGTCACTACTCTGCCTGCCTTCTGTTTTGCGTTTTCCGTTTGACGATACCCCTGCCCTTGCAAATCTTCTTCTTCTCTATAACGCACTTTTCTTTTTTCTTGGTTTTCTTCTTTCGTTTCTTCGCTTCTGTCACCTCCCCCCCTGGCACTCACGGCTCTCGCGTGGGGCTGCTGGCGAGGCGGGGTTTTGGTTGGTTTGCTGGTGCTGGTGCTGGTGCTGTTGTTCGGGTGCGCGGTTGCGTGGTTGCGTGGTGCGCATGGATGGATGGAGTTGGCGAGGCGCGGATATTTTTGATATTGCTACAGCTACGACGACGCCGGACACGAGAGCTGTGGATGCGATGTGGAGGCGGTGGACGCACGTTGGATAGGATAGCACGGGACGCGACGGCTCGGGAGGAGACGCGATGGATGCTGTAGACGCGGATGCGGATGCGGGTGCGGATGCGTCCCCTCATTGCGGGGGGATTGTATATATATATATAGATGTTATCAAGCGGCTTACACATTACTGCACACTGTACTACCACTGCACTTCAATCCACTTTACTGCACTTTACTACACCTCACTATTACTGCCACTGCTACCGCGACCTGTACCTAGACCTGGACCTAGTACTACTAGTGTAGGTCGGGTCTAGGTAGGTTAGGCGTATATTATATAATATACTCTTACTCTAACCTACGTCTGTGTAGACTGTGCCCTAAACCTGCCCTACCTTAGGTACCCTATACCTGTTCACCAGCGTAGCCATTGGTACACGTGATACTCACGTCGCACTTCCTCAATGCTATGTAAGTCCTCGCGAACTGGCGCTGGGCTTCTCACTAGAGTGGTATGATGTCGTACTAGTATTCTCCATCACATCTGCGCGCAGGGCATCATATCTTTCGTCAGCAAGAGCTGCGAAGCGGTGAACCTTCATACGGTCTATGTTTGCTTTCGATGTTGGTGTTTCTCCGGTGCATTCGCAGGGTAAACGGCTGAAGCATTTCCATAGGATCTCTTGCCTCGTGAACAAAACCAGGTGAGGGGATATGATTAGTTCCTGGAAGCACCATGCACGCGTCAACAACGGTGCTTCTGGAGGAAGCTGGCACCAATCATGGAACGGCAGCATGCGCTCACGGGTGTAGCTGAATCTGTTGGCCATCAAGAGCAAAGGTGTTGGGGAAAGCGGCTTGTGTGACGGCTCCTTTTGAGTATAACCCCACCGAGCCGTCTTCAGCGTGTACACTTACCAGGGTGACATGGACATTGTTGTACACAGAGAACATCATAGAAGCTTCGCGAAGCCAATCGTGCCTGTCGTCTTGCACGATACACATGGAGTTGATCCAGATGAAGTCAATACCGAGCCGTCTGACGAAGTCCACTGCGTCTTGGAAGGTCTGTGTCAAACGATCCCATGAGATCATGACTAGTTGCTGGGGCAGATTTGTTTGCTTCGTCACGCAAAGTATAGAAAATTTCCCCAGCAGTGGCTCAGCGCGACTTATCTAGTCGACGATGGTAGACTCTTGGTCTCAACCAGCTAAATGTCTTCGATCCTTGAAAAGAGTTGGACACGGAGAAGTTTCGTGGGTACAAAGTTGCCGCCGCTGCTTTCGCAATGCTCGTGCGATCTCAGACAGGCATCGATCCGTGCCTGCACCCACGAAAACGCGTCATCCGAAGACATATCGCCAGACACCCCGGGACGGTGCGGCACATAGGGTAGCGAGGAGGATTATTCGCCATCAGCGGTCGCAAGCGTGCCCGTATGCCCGCATTCGTTTCCCACTTTCCTCTCCTTTTTCCTTCAGTTGTAGACATTCTTCGTCACCGATTACGTTCACGCCTGCCCGACCCAGAAAGGCCTAGCTCTCGAGAAAGCCGGATAGTAACGAGTAGCAGAAACAGTCGTAGGAAATATCTGTTCCGAACTTCGTGACAGAGATGGGCTCATATCGGCAATCATCGTCGTCTTGGTTGCGCAGCTGATTGAATTTGCCGGACCAAAGACATCGCTTACATTTCTTTTGATTGTTGGATCGGAGGCTCAGTTTTTGAAAGAAATGCATGATTTGAGTAAACCTTCATCATGGATAAATTGCCTATGCAATATCTCAAATATCTCCGATTTGCTGCATTGTCTAGCTCAGCGGATCTAGGGCAACAAGATTCAAGTTCACGCATTCAATATACGCGCGCTCCTTTCTGATACAACGCTATCTATAACTCGACCGCTAAAGGTAGGTAGACTCAGGCGTGTAGCATTTGCTGTTGTGTGATGACGACTAAAGCATAAGTAGACTCTGTGTAATTCTTACGCAACATAACTAGATCAACATCAATGTAGCTCAGACTCTTTGTAAAAACTTAAAATTGATTTCTATAAAGCTACAGAGGCAACAACTTCCATTCTCACAATTGAGGAAAATGCCATTTCTGTAGAAATAGTGTTCATACGCCAACACAGACATTTGTGCGGGCCCACATAGTCTGGCAATTTGATCCTACGCCTGTGTTCCACATGACAAAGTCTGCAAGCGTGATCTTCTGGTAGCTAATAATCTGGCTGCTGCATTTCTTCACCGCGGATCTGACAAGCGCCAACAGTAAATTCTCATCCGCTCCCAGTACCGAAGCATGATTGTCTAGGCAGGTGACATTGCAGAAGCTCGGCACTTGGCATGCGCTTAGGTACCTAGGTAAATTGGGAACCGGCGTCCAATTCTACCGTACTCCCTTGTACGGGGCAATCGCCCGTTTCCTAAGCAAACTATCCTCGGCATCCTTCGGTTCCTGTAAACTCATTGTTCGAATGACAGGCCTAGACAAATTGGGACGATCAAGGGACCGTGCGGCTGCTGCATACCTGATAGCCACATGAAAAAGATGCTACATAGATCTACAATACCATGTAACATGATAAGAGGTACGAATAGCATTGCTCTTGCATCCACTCACTTTCCTTAAATCTGCCGTCAGTTTTTCGCCTCCGGCGTCACTGATGATGCGTTCAATCTTTCTGTCCTTCGTTTTGTCCGCTTCCGCCTACGGTGATCACCACGCACATGGCCACCATCACTCTCGTTTCTTCGCGCGTCAAGCTGCGTCCGGTTTTGTCCTGGCAGAGAAAGGGAGCCTTGCTAGCTATAAGCTTAGCTCTACCTGCGAGCAGGTGGTTTACCAGACATTGGCGTGCGATAGCTATGTTGCTTCATTGAGTACCCCAAGATACCATGGCAGCCTTGGTGACAACGAGTTCACCGCGGAAGTCTGCGCTGCTGGCTGCGGTACTTCTCTCGCCAATATGCACCGGAGGATCCTCGGCGCATGTGTATCCACCCCCGAGCTTTTCTCTGGATATCCAGTGCTCGCGCTGGTAGACAGTGTTTGGAGTGGCTGGAATGAGACTTGCCTCGAAGACACGACAACCGGGAAGAACTGCAATGGTAGGTGGTACCATAGGAAGCATTAAGACATGTCAATTGTATTGACTGACTCTCCAACACAGATGTCATTGATGCATGGACCCCAGTCGATGAGTTGACCGACATGCCAAAGGAGCAGATGTGCTCTAATTGCTACAAAGCCAAATACCAAGCCATGCAGCAGAACCCATATGGTGTCTACGATAATCAGACCTGGAAGCCTCGCTATGATCTGATCACAAAGAGTAAGCACTCAGATATTCACAAACTAGCTTTTGCTTACTCACTCGAAGCATGTGGACTTTCAGGGGTGACCTCCAACCCGACACCTTGGCCTATCCAACTGAACACCACGGAGCCACCAGCAACACTTTGCAGCGGCAGGAAGTATATCACACGAACTGGAGATACATGCGACTTGATCGCGCAGAGTAACAGAATATCCGCTGGAACACTGTTCTACGACAATCCCCTGTTGGTTGGTTGTTCGAACCTCAAAGCTGGCACAGAGCTCTGTTTGCCAACCCAGTGCAAAAGTTTGCACCAAATCAAGGAAAGCGATCAATGCGTAGACGTCGCGTTTGCAGCCGGCATTTCATGGCAACAGCTTGTGGAGTGGAACGGTATGGTGGATTGCTCTGGCGCAGACATGCGCGGCGAGGGTTTGGATTGGGGCTCTTACGTCTGCGTTTCACCCCCCGGCGGCACATTCACTACCCCTCCTGCGAACAAGACGGATGGCGGGGTCGGAGGACCAGGCAGTACTGGTGATGGGTATGGCAAAGAGCTAGTCGATGTACCCGCAGGTGCGAGTCTTGCGCCGCAGACCACTACAAAGTGTGGAGGGTACTACACTGTCAAGACTGGAGATACCTGCTTGTCAATACTGGTCACAGGCAATGGCTCGGCTGATTTGTTCATCGCAGCCAATCCATGGCTTCGGAGCTCCCAACTCTGCGACTCTAGATTGATCGTTGGCCGCACGTACTGTCTTCTTCCCCTTAAGGACTTCGACAAAGCTACCCCGAAGACAACACGAACTCTTTCCTTGAGATAGCTCGTATTGACCAACAAAAGCTTCTGACTCTCAATTCGTGCACTGATGGGTACTGGCAGAAGGGCTATCGTGATGAAGGTTGCGAGTGTAATACTATCTCTATGTTTGCATTACCCGTTATGACCCATGCACCAATCAGCAACCTATAAGAAAGCACTTACCGTGAACATTAAAGATCAGTCCCAGTCAACTCGTCGCCTCCCCAGAGGCCACAGTAGACCTTGATCACCATAAATACGCTACGTTGTTCTCGTTGGAAACATCTCGCGCTTCTTTAGCGTCATGTCCTGCTTTCAGCCCAAGCTTGCCTGTCTCATCGATGTAATAGCCTTTGATATCGATCAGTTTAGCTGCGCTTTGACCGTCTCCATTCACAGCGCTCATGTCTGCTCCGCGTTCCAGCAGGCAATTGATAGTCTGTTCCTCATTTCCCAAAAACTGAGTATACGTTCGGTAAGTTGAGGCACTGAGTAAAGGAGTCGCTCCACTTCCATCTTTTGCTTCCAGGTCTGCGCCATGATCAAGGAGTTTTGAAACCACACCAGTGCGCCCGGCAGAACTTGCTGTGTGAAGAGGGGTCTGGCCATACTTGTTCCTCGAGGCCGTATTGGCGCCAGAAGTAAGTAACAAGCTCACGATCTCGGGCCTTGTCACTGCGTGTAAAGGCGTGTTCTCGGCGTCGTCTATAACTTCCAGACTCCCGCCTAGACGCTGGAAGCGATACACCATCTCTTCGGTGGCATCTGGGCGGATCAGGACTTGGAAGAGCGGAGTCCGCCCCATCCAATTTGGTACACTGACGTCAGCGCCTTGTCCGAGCAGATAGTCGATCAACTCTGGAGGCGGGTATTGTAGCTGCACAGCGAAGTACAGCGGTGTGCGTACGCTCCACGGGTCAACAGCATTGACGGATGCCCCGGCGGCGACTAGTATCTGAATGATATGCATCGCGACGTTCCAGTCCTTTCCAGCCTCCGTCTCCATCAATTGGTCGTGCACGTCCTCTTGCTGGAAAACAGCCAGCAGCGCCGCATCCAAAACACTCCGCTTATTGGTATCAATCGTATTTTCATCGTAATCCAGCTTCTTCATCAGGTATTGCACCATTTCTAAGGACCAGGTGTGCACGGCTGCAGGCAGTATGCGTTCAAACGCCTGTACTCTGGACGCATCTGTAAAGTCGTAGCTCATCGTTCCAACCAGCAGTCGGACCATGTCCATATTCTCACTGACTACCGCGAAGTAAAGGGCATCACAGGAAATACCTACTTTGCACGCAATGAGCACTTCCATGACCGCAACCCTTTCGAAGCGCGTGGCGCAAAGCGCAGCATCGTCGCCATCACGGCCGTCGGAACCTCCTAGACCGCGCAGATTTGGGTTCGCTCCGCGCGTAAGGAGAAATCGCACGGCTTCCGGATTGTTTGCTATGATTGCGTAGTGGAGGGCGGAATTATCCCTCTCGCAGCGAGTGTCGATGTCGTGTCCAGTATCGAGCAAGCGGCAAAGTTCGGCCACGTCGCCTCGCGCAGCGGCACGGTGCATGGAAACATCGATTCGGCCGCCGTGGTCTCCAATACCCAACCAGGTTGTACGACTCAGGACAGGGTTTTCCCAGAATACAATCGCGTCTGGTTGTGTTTGCATTAGATTAGTATAGATAAGATGTAGTAACGTACCCCACAGGCGAGCGGATCAACGGGCGAGCGAATCACTTTTGCCAAGCCCCCACCAAAGTATCCTCTATATACCAATGCCTCAACAACAACCTAATCTTAACGCGTTAAAGGAAGCTTAAATACAGCTTGCGCTTTAAGCTCTTAAATAAGACGCGAAACTCTTACAGCGACGCGCTGCAGCTATCTATAACGTTCCTTAAGCTACACTAAGCTATTAACTTACTAGACAACCTTCATAAGGTGATACTATGCCTAACTTATGAGGGCTAGATAATCTAGAGGAGCAGGTGATTGTTAATTACATACTTAAGCTAGATAAGCGAGGATTTGGCCCTTGGCTGGCAGATGTGGCTGCAATAGCTAATTCTCTGCGCGCAGAGCGCAATCTAGGCCCTATTAGCACAAACTAGCCTAGTATATTTATAAAGCGTTAACTAGAGCTTAAAGTGAAGTTTAATTGCAGGTATAACTATAAGCAAGCCCTCTGCGAGGATTCTAGGGTTGTATAGGGCTAGTTTTCCCTAGTGCAAAATATAAAAGCTAAGTATAGTATCCTAGATAATAATATATATAACTTTAATAAGATAGGCTTTATAATAGGCTAGATCTCCTAGGGGGTAGTTATTATAGCTTTAGAGAGATAAGGAAGGCTAAAGGCAGTCTAGCTAGGTAACTAGGAGTAGATAATAGTTATATAGGGTATTAATGCTAAAGGATAGGCTATTCTACTCTTTATTATCTTTAAGGCGCGCTACTACCTCTCTAGCTAGTATAAGGAGGAAGACCTGCCCTAGGATTAGGTTATTATAGTCTCTAGTAATAGCTAGACTACTAATAAGCTTAGTTTTAAGTAGTTAAAGTACTTTAACGCGTATATAAAGGAGCGTACTGCTAGTACCTACTAACTACTAGTTATTAATAGCTATAAGAGCTATAAATTACTCTAATTCTAGAAATACTATAAGGATAATAAGATTATTACTCTATATATGTCTCTATACTTATTGCACCTTCTATAGCTACTTAATATAGGCTGTTTTGCCCCTTTAAAGATAGTATATAGGCGCTAAGCTAAATTGCTTATACGCAACTAAATTAGCTATATTATAAAGACTAAGTTCCTACTATGCTTTAAAGCAGCCTATAATGCAGTGTTTACCTCTAGCAATATCTAAGGAGAGTTTTAAGGTGCTAGATTAGTCCCCTTTAACCTAGAATAGGTTATATTAGCCCTTAATATAAAGCTTTAGACTCTATTACTACTACTCCCTACTAATAATATACTCTAGTAGTTATAAACCTCTAGCAACACCCTAGAATTTAGGTTATAATTAACTCTAATTTAAGAGAAGTATAAGAGGTAGTAGAGTAGCTTACTAAATTCTATTCTAAGCGCGCTTAAGTACTATATAAAGGGGGGAGCAATCTTATCCTATAAGCTAGTTTTAGCTTAATAGGAAATTAAGGAGCTTTAAGCAGCTAATAAGGCTGCTATGCAATAAAAATTATATAAAAGAAAGTAAGTTTAGAAGGAAGGGACCCTAATAGTTAAAGATAGGCAGTAGCTAGCAGCTCTAAAGGAGTTTAGGGCGCGTAGTAATAGGAAGAGAGCAAAGAAGTAGGTGCGCACTTAAGAGGGCAAGCTAACCTAATAGTGCTATAGAAGGTATAATTAAATAGGACATAACGCGTAAATATGCAAGATTAATATAGAAGAGGTCTCTAAATAATATTCTAGCCTGTACTATACTATATAGGACTAAAGTATAGTATTTTAGGCTATAATAGGTTAAGTTTTAGTAGGAGCTTAGCAAAAGTAATTTGCTTGCCTATTAATCTACTTACCTATAGAGTATGTTAATTCTTTAAACTACTTATTAATAAGTAGTAGTTTACTAATATATATTATAGGTAAGTAGCGCATATAGGTAAATAGTATACTTTTACTAAGACTCTCCCCTATTATACTATATTATAGCCTAAAATACTATAAATTAGTGCTATATAAGACAAAACAAGCTATAATATTACTTAGAGACCTTTTCTACTCTATTCTTACACGTTTATATATTATACCTACTCTCTCTATATTTTCTATAGTATTGTTAGGATAATTTACCTTCTTTAGTATATATCTATATCTTTCTCTTCTTTCTATTACTATATGCGCTAAACTCTAATAGAGTAGTCTACTACTAGCTCTCTTTAACTATAAGGCTTCCTTCTATCTAGATATGCCTTCTTTTATATAATTTATATTCTATAGCAGCTACTAGAGCTATATAAAGTATAATATTCTCTTATTATGCTAAAGTTAGCTTATATATAATAATTACTACTCTCTTTAAGACTTTTTTAAATACTTTAACTATAGAGGTATTAAAGTTATACTTTAAGTAAAGCTTATAAGTACTATTTAATTAGTTCTTAGAGATAAATACTATTAGGGAAACTAAAGAGGTCTTGCGCTAAGGAGTATAGATATAATCTATCTATCTTAAGGGCAAGAGATAATAATAAGTAGTATAGAGTAGATATTATAATCTTAAAAGGAACATATAGAGTTAGCAGCTTATAACTAGCAGAATATAATAGATTAACGCTATAAGGATTAAGTAATTATATAATATTCTATAGTTCTTATAAAGAGTCTTATACTAAGACTATAAGATAAGTATAGAATACCTTCTATACTTCCTATAAATATTCTATAGTTCTTATAAGGCCCTCTATAGAAAACTATAAGACTATATAGAATATATAGAATACTCTTTAGTATATAGTAAGCAGGAATATAACCCTTATAGTTTATATTTAACCTAAGTATTAATCTATAATATTAGATCTTAACTTAACCTTTAAGCTAGATAGTCTACTCTATACTACTTATTAATACCTCTTGCCCTTAAGATAGATAGATTATATCTATACTCCTTAGTGCAAGACCTCTTTAGTTTCCCTAATAGTATTTATCTCTAAGAACTAATTAAATAGTGCTTATAAGCTTTACTTAAAGTATAACCTTAATAGTAGACTATCTAGCTTAAAGGTTAAGTTAAGATCTAATATTATAGATTAATACTTAGGTTAAATATAAACTATAAAGGTTATATTCCTACTTACTATATACTATAGAGAATATAGTAGCTTACTAGGCTTAATATAAGCTATATAAGCTAGGCTTACTAAGCTTAATATAAGCTATATAAGCTCTATATAAGACCTACTTTAGCTTAACTACTAAGGAGTAAGCTTATTATATAACTTATAATAAAACTATACTATATAGAATAGCCTATATAATATTATACTAAGTATATTAGTATTTACTAGGTATTAGCATCTAGTTAGTTATAAAAGGTAGATTATAATATTTACTTCCCTCTCTCTTAGATTTATTCTAAATCTATTAGCTATTCTTTATAAGCTTACTCTACTACTACCTTTAGTACCTATAGTAGTATTATATCTTCTATATTCTAAAAGTAACTCTACTTAAGCATTAAAATCTATTAATAAAATACTATTACTTCTATTTCCTATAATTATTACTTTACTTCTAGTTATAATTATTTTATTATACCTTCTACTAATAACTACTTAAAATACTCTAAGTATATATATATTAGTTATCTAACGTGCTTACTGGGTTCGTGGGCCACCTGGTCTAGTGGGCCACTTTTGCCAAGACCCTCCCCCATCACACCCTACTTTGGCCTGCATTGGCCCAATCTAGCTCTATACAAGATAAAACAAGCTGTAATATTACTCAGAGACTACTTCTACATCATTCTTGCATGTTCGCGCGTTGTGCCCTGTCTCTCCGCACGTTCCACAGCGTCGTTGGGATGGTTCACCTCCTTTACCCTGCACCTGCTTCTTGCCCTTCTTTCCATCACCACGCGACCTGAACTCCTTTAGGGCAGTCAATCGCTGTGCCTCTTCAACTGTAACACTTCCCTCTGTCTGTATTCGCTTTCTTTTATGTGATTTGCGCTCTGTAGCAGCTGCTAGAGCCTCTTGAAGCTGGGCACGCTCTTTTCTTAGCAAAGCCAGTTCGTACGCTACCTGTGTCCCCCCCTTTGCGTAGCTCTCAAGCGCGCCATAGATAGAGATTGGTGAGCTGCCCTGGTGATTCTTAAACTTCTCTCGAATCAGAGTCGATTGCGACTCAAATTCCACAAGGTTCTTTGGGGTTTGAGACTGCCAGGGCTCGTCGTTGGTGGGCAACTGGGGTGAAGGGGTCCGCAGCTTCACATTAAGGGTTGATATGACCCTTTCTGGGTCAAAGGGGACCAGTCCGGCCCCTCGGAACCCTCCCTGGATGTTGCTGGGAGTAATAGTCGCATTATAGGCTGCTCTGAAGCATACCAGGAACGTCTGCTTGTCTATGTGGTTGATCCGGTTGCGCAAGAGCTTGTTGACCTGATGCCCATACTCCAGCTTCAAAGGGGCAAAACAACCCACGTCAAGCGGCTGGAGAAGGTGCGATGAGTGAGCAGGCATAGTAAGGGTGATAATCTTGCTGTTCTTGCTGTACTGGAGGAATGCTGCTGACTGGTGGCTCTCGTGGCCATCTATAAGTAGCAGACGGTGGGTCCCAACAGTACGCGCCTTAGTATGCCTGTCAAAGTGCTTCAACCAGTCAACACCAAGCTCATTGTTGGTCCAGCCGTTTCTAGAGACCCCAATTACCCAGTCTAGGGGCAGATCTTCGTCCTTGTACCAGTTGGAGAGGTGTTTCTTGCCTTTGAAGATAATAAAGGGTGGAATAGCCCATCCTGCAGCATTCACGCCCAAGATTAACGTAGCCCACTCTTTACTGCCTGGCTGGACTTGCTTTGCTCGTCCTGGGTTCTCTGCGTCTGCAACAACTGCTCCAGGGGTAATCTGGCCCATAGCAAAGCCAGTCTCGTCGAAGTTGTACGTGTCTTCGTCCACGATGCCGTACTTAGCTTTAACATTGGCTACCAGGCTGAAC